AAACATCTGCCACAGGAAAGACAGCAAACAACCACACAGACAAAATGACTTGGTCAGCTGATTTTAGTCAACAGTTATTGTTGTCTTCCCAGGAGTGTCATGATGGGCATAATAATGGCATGGTCACTGTCGCTATGTATGGGCCTAATAGCATGAACTGCCACTTACTGAAGCAGATATATTTACTTCTTCTGAATGCCAAATGCCTCACTTGTCAGAGGCAGAGACTATAATTGAGCTCCAATATAGAGCTACCCACGTGTGCACACACATACAAGTATGCATATTTTTTAAAGGAAAGTAACTGTCACTTGATGGCAGGTTGATCATATCAGAACTTCTTCCATCCTAGAAGAGCAAGAGTTTTGTTCTGATAGGGAGAGATACCTAGTCAGTTATCGCTTTGCCTTTCCCACTTGCAGAGTCATTGGCAGTACTACTATACATGGGATTACTGGTATAATCATTAATATATTGGAATACATAGACATAGCATGCCACGCTGCACAGCATCTGACCAGGGAACCCACTTCGCAGTGAAGGAGGTGTGGGAGCGAGCACATGACCATGAGGTCCACTACTGATTGTTTTTCATAATACACCACCTAGTCTGTAGAACTTCCGAGTAGCTTTTTTAATAGGTGAAATGAAGCACCAGTTTGAAGGAGGTATTTTAAAACAATGAAATGATATCTGTGATGGTACATTTGTCAATTTGATTGACCTGTATGTCCAGATAGGTGGTAAAGCATTATTTCTGGGTATGTCAGTGAGCCTATTTCCAAAAGAAGTTAGCATTTGAATTGGTGAACTGAGGACAACGAATGGCCCTTCCCAAGGTGGGCGGGCATCATCCTGATATATTGAGGACCTGAACAGAACAAAAGGTGAAAGATGATTCATTCTCTGGTTGAGCTGGGACATCCATGTTCTCTTGTCTTTGGACATTGGTGCTCCTGATCCTTGGGCTTTCAGACCCAAATCAAAGACTTACATCATCAGTACCAGATTTTCTGGCCTTCAGACTTGGGCTGATTATGCCACCAGCTTTCCTGGTTCTCTAGCTTGTAAATGGCTAATATGGGACTTCTTGGTCTCCATGGACACATGAGCAAAATTCCTAAAATAAATCTATCCATCCATCCACCCATCCATCCATCATCTACTTCCTACTGGTTTTGCTTCTCTGGGGAACCCTGACAAATACAACATCCTTAGCATGCAGTACAAGATGGAGCAAAAGTAGGTTTACAGTTGTTTGTATGGAAAATGATAGAATAAGTAATAAGTAATAACAGGAATAAATTCTGTTTCAGGTATTCACAACTGTAAACCTACTTTTGCCCCACCCTGCATATTTATTAACCCAGACATCCCCAAGGGGTCATTAACAGAAAGGACTTATGGGTCTGGGAATGTAGGGATGGGAGTAGAAGTGGCCCCACTTGTGTTGCACAGGGCCCTGCCTTCATATAGCATTTCATAAGCGATACCGTATTTTCCCACTACTTTGATCTCCACGTGTATGTGCTGTGTCCATAACAATGCTCCTATTTATCATCCATTGAAAATTGTGGGTAAATTGCTACAGTATATGTCAAAGCAGTATTCTACGCTGTGCTCCTACTGTTTATCTAAAACTAGTTTTTCCCCTTGCATGTCACACAGTTTAATGAACTGTGAATGCTTCATGAAATAGTTCAATAAATGTTATTCAGTCAGCCTGTTATGGAGTACATATATGCTAGACATTGTTGTAGGCACAGTGAAAAAGTAGACATTAAAAGAAAATAAAGATATCTCTGCCCTCTGTAGCTTACACTCAAATTTGGAAAATATTACTATGTTTACTATAGTCTATGTCCCACAGTAAACAATGCCTCTTAACATCTGGACTACTACTTTTATCACTCTGAATCTTAAATCTTTTGGCAGAATATTTCTCCCTTCTTTTCAAAAGGTAATAGATTATTAATTTAATGTTTAATTCTGTCTCTTTCAGAGTGTGATTTAATTTCTTTTTACTTTCATATTTTATTTTCTAATCACTCCTTTGCAGCAACCTTCACCCTTGCTAAGTTTCTTGCTCTCTAACTGAACCTTTCTTTGGCTTTATGAAAAAAGAGGCTGCCTCTTCTAATATCGGTATCATCTCCCCTCACTTTGCTTTCTAATTTTCCTCATGATGGCTTCTGTCCCTGCTGTTCTGACAGCTTCTAGGAAGGTCTATTTGGCAAACAGAAAAATGCAGCACACAGATCCTCCTTCGAGAAAACATTTGCGACCCAAGGAAGAGTGTGGATAACTGACAGATTCAAATTCTTAGCTGTTTTACCGTCTTCCTTAACAACTGCATGAGCAGCTGAGGGTGCATCAGTTCAATTCCTGAACAAGCCAGTAGCACAGAGTCCTAAACTTTGTTTCCTTTGTCGAACAACCTTCGCTCCGGTGCTCCCTTGTTTTGGAGCAACTTGTCTCATTTGGCAGAAACTTTGTCAGGTCTTTATTACTGTCCTAGACCCTATTTACCCAATTTTGTTTTCCTCTTTTTTCCCAGTGTTACTTTCTAAAAAAAGCAAAACAAAACATTTGGCTCTCTACCTCTTCTTCAGCATCTGATTCCTGGAGAACGCAATGGGGAGATTCATTATTGACTCATTACCACCAATACAATAATCACTTTCTTGTTTCTCATTCTACTTGACCTCTGAGATGCACTTGGAGTTTTTGAGTAATATTTCATTCTGTAATAGTATTTTATTTTCATTTTTAATCACTATTACCATCTCAATGTTTGGTCATTTTATCTTCTACCTGGATTCTTTTTTCTTAATTCCCAAAACATCCGCGTTTCCCATAATTCTGCGTCAGATCTCCTTTTTCGTTCAGTGTTTCTTCACAGACGTTCCTATCCGGTCTTGTTTTTCCTTCCTGTTCTTTAATGTGCTCCCAAATCTATATTTTTCAGCTCTGACCTGATGTATCAGACTGACATTTCCAACTACTCCTCCATAAGCCATTCCACAAGCACCTCCAATTCAACATATCTTTGAACTGAACTCGTTATTCCTCATCCCTCGTTTGCATCTGCTTCTTCTAACATCGGTGCCCTCCTCTCACGCTAGTTGCTTAGTCATCTTAACAATTGCATCAACCTCAACATCAAATAATTTAACAAACCTATTTTTCTCCCAAAATACCTCTCAGAAAACCTTTACTACTTTAATTCTGCCCCCTCCCCCGCCCCACCCCCGCACTCTCTATTCCTGAAGCTGTAGACAGCACTGGACTAAACTATGGAAAATTCTCCTTAATGACATCATTGCTTCCAGACCTCATCATTTCAATCCCTCCACCCCTAGTCTGTTACATGTTATCATTCTAACACAAAAATTTATCATTTATTGGCACTTCAAGTTTTTGTGTAATTTAAAATTATTTAAGGAAAAAGTTCTAAAATGCACTACTATCCATGCAAATCACTCATCCAAATATAGCTTGGATCAAATGTCACATCTGTTTTTTAGCTTCACTTGATATCTGTACAGCAAACAAAATGATCTCAGCTTGTTCCCAGAGAACTTTGAACATCCTTCCAAGAAGGGTTTTTCATTTCTAGCAGTGACATCTCTTGTACATATCCAGTTTTCTGTCAGTCTCTGATGTAGTATGTGGAAATAGAAAGTGTCACACATATTTTGATATTAGCTTAGTTCTAGATTTGTAGTAAGCTTGTAAAAAATAATTGTTGATGTAAACATAAAAGATTTGAATGCCTATAAGCCATGCACATTAAAAATTGAGAAGCTATAACTGATCACGAAAATAAAGTAATACATTTAGATTATAAATACTTATTTCACCTTTTGGTCACTTGACTGAACAACAGAAAATTTTAGTAGAACCATGAACAGCCTTTTAAAACTTATCATGCCTTCTGTGACATATTGTAGACTTCAAAAGTTGGTCAGGTTTAGATAACCAAAAAGGCATTTTATTTTAAGAACAGCATATTAATCCTGATATATTAAATCTTTCACTACTCATATAATCTGTCAAAAAATAAAAGTACTAATTTTATAGTATGTAAATTATTCAAATAAATGAGTATGATGCATAACATGCATCACAACAAAACTGAATAATTAGCTTGTAAATATAAGTAAAACACTGTGTACAGAATTGACTATTTGGAAGTAGAAAATTCTTGTGTTATTATTTGGTACTTGTACAATACTTTTTTGATAAATCACACTAAAATAATTTTTTTAAAAGCATGAAAAAATATGTATTTTTTTAAAAAAAAGGCTAGCCTTATCCATTTACTTGTTTCCTTTTACAAATTGGGAAAATAAAATCATTTAATTTTTTTGTGTAAATATTGCTATTAAGAAAATGCAAGCACAATTATTCCATGGAAGAACAACTTAAGAACTGTCTGGTAAAAAAGTCATTGCAAAATTTAAATTATGCAAGTCACTACCCTGCATATTAAGCCATCAAATGAAAGCTCTTTCCAAATTAATTCCATTGCCTTTCCACATGTGAACTCCACAGTGATGGGGGAAAATGTTTATATTTAACTTTTATTTAGTTTGCTTAACCACAGGAACCAAATTATCCACACAGAATAATTGAGAATATAAGGTTGTATTTACAGGATCACTTCATACTTGTAATTTTTCTCTCCCTGATACTTAAATTGCAACTCCATAATGGGGGATTAAAACAAATACCTAAATACATTTCATATTTTAGCTTTCTATTTAGTTTGTTTAACCAAAGATTTTTCTAAGAAAGAAACTTAGGAGCAATTAAACAATTGATTTATATATATATATATATTTAACAACATCTCTTTATGTTCGTGGGTGTATGTGTATTTGTTTAGCCCTACGACTTAAGTAGAAATCTGGCAGTAGATATGGTTAAAATAAACAACTGTTTGCTACTAGATATTCCGTGAATTTCTGTCTTTTTCCTTCCCTGGAATTATTCAGCCATTGTACCAAGAAGGCTACAACGTGGACTCCTAATGTTGCCAGGAGCTTCATCCTCCATGATCGGCTCCTAGAGGAGAAAGCGGCTTGATAACCTCACGTGACCCTGAAGGCCTCTGAAACGTCAGCTTCGGGGAAATAAAGCACGTGGCAGACCGCAGGCTCCTGTGTTGTCCCGCGGGTGGGAGCCGCCTGCGGTGGGCGGGGCCTCTGGCGTGGGCGGGGCGAGCAGCCTTGCCTTCCACCGGCCACTGCCCTCCCCTTTCAGACCCAGCCCAGGTCTCCCTGCCCTCGAGACAGGGCGGGTGCCCCACCAACCGTCCTCACTCACCGGCCTCGCAATGCTCCTCCTCTTGCTGGTCCTCTCATGCCTGGGCCGGCTGACCTCCGCCGGCCAGTGTAAGTGGGGGAACCTGCGCCACAGGCGGCCGCTGGGGGCAGAGTCCCCGGGCGAGGCGGGGATCGCCCTCCTTGCTCCAGAACCCGGCCGGGCGGGGATCGCCCAGGGTGCTGTCAGAGCCCGCCTCCTTTCAGGGTCCTGCTGCGCCCCAGGGTTGGAGGCCTCGGAGCAGGCCTGGGGCAGTTGTCCCTCACTTACCTGACGCTGCACTGGCAGGAGAGATCGCCCCCCTTCTGGGGCGGTGGGGTCGGAGAGAGCCTGGATGGGGTCCCGGACCAGCGCTTCTCCTCCACCTGGGTGGGGTTGAGGTCCGCGAGTCCCAAGTGTCCTGTCGCGTCGAGAGGAGCCTCTTCCTGGAATTGCACAAAGCGTGTGTGTGTGTGTGTGTGTGTGTGTGTGTGTGTACACACGTTAGGGATATTCATGCATGTTTTCCTTACTGCAGACTCTGAAACATCACATCTGCGAATTACAGTGCCACGGAAGCTTGGGACCAACACCAATGACGGCGATGCTTCAGAAACACGTGTAATTAAGAAATCACTTATTTAAAAAAAAATTGAGTGTCTTATTTTTACTGGACTACATGTCCCAAGTTAATTCATAAAATATCCCTTTGTGAAATTTTGTGTTCTAATTACTGTGTTTAGGAGGTTTTTTTGGTTTTTGTTTTTGTTTTGTTTTTCCCTGAATGAGAGCAAGTGTCTTGATTGTTTTCATTTCTCAAGTGATATAGGCTCACCGTGAAATTATATAGGTACTCAGTGATCTGAAAGGAATTCAAAGTTGGAACCTCAGTAGCAGGGTCTGAAAGGAACACGGAACTGCCAAGTGTAAAAGTATTAGACACTGAGGCAGGTTTTAGAGGCAGAATGATCCACCTGACTGTCTCACTTTTTGCACCAAACGAAGTCCAGTGACTATGTGTTTATAGAAGCTATTACATAAAAAACATAAATATCCACAGGTTAAAATATTTAAAAGAGTAAAACATATCCTGGGAAAATGTGAACAAAAAGAAAATGTGGGTATCCATAATAACAGCAGGAAAAAATGGAAAGCATTTCGTTCACTCCAACACACTTACTACACACACTCAACACACACAATATTTTGAGGGACAAGCATTATTACTTGAAACATTCAGTCCACTAGGAACATATACCAATTCTAAATTTGCATGAATTTAATAAAATGCCCTCAGTACATGTACAATAAAAACAAAAGGGAGAAATTTTCAATTCCATTCTCATAGTGAATCCACAAAATGCTTTCCTCTCTGCATACTACCATCTAGGTCCATCCACGTTGTTGTAAATGGTAAGTTTTCATTCTTTTTGTATGGCCAACTAATATCCATTGTATACACAGGGGTGGGCAAAAATAGGCATATTGACTCTATTATTAACTCAAAAGAATATTACGATAACATCGTGCACTTAGGTATAATCTTCTAAGTGCTTAAATTGCCGGTCTTCATTATTTACACATTCTTGCAGTCTACTGGCTATGTTCAAGTACATTCTGGCATGAGTTTTTTATAAACCTGCTCTTGCCCGTCCCTGTAGCACCACATCATCTTTATCCTTTCGTCTATTAATGGTAACTTAGGTTGCTTTCATATCTTGGCTCTTGTAAATAATGCTACAAAGATGAATACCACATGATTTCACTTACATGTGGAATCTGAAGAGCAAAATAAATGAAGAAACAAAACACAAACAGACTCATAGATTCAGAGAACCAACTGATGGTTGCCAGATATGAGCAGGGCTGGAGGAAGGCTGGGGAAGAAAGGTGAAGGGATTAAGTACACATTGGTGATTACAACATAGTCATGGATATGTAAAGTACAGCATAAGGAATATAGTGAGGAGTATTACCAAGTGGATACTAACCTTAACTAGGGCATCATTTCCTGTAAATGTGTAATCACTATGCTGTACACCTGAGACTAATATTGCATGTCAACTGTAATTGAAAAATAAAAATTAAAAAAACTCTCAGAGGAAAAAATGTTATTTTCAAATGTTGGTAGAAACATCATAAAGATATAAACAAAATGTGAACAACAAAAATAAACATTTTATTCAATGACTCAATATTTACAGAAGTGACCCCACAGAGTGAACGCACTTTTTCCCCCTTTCTGCTCTTTATTAGGACTCACTAAAGCCCACACATCAGGCGTTTTAATGGCAAAGCATTTGGTGCAGCAAAAGAATGAGAATTCAGACAAATATCAGGGCCCGAGAACATTAACAGTTAGGTCCCCACAAACCCAATCTCTGTTCCTCAATTGTGCTGAGTCTCTGGTTTGACATAACAAGACCTATGAGAGGAATTTTGGCCTCGATAGCATTCCTTATAAAACATTCTGTGACTGTGAGAAGCCAAGCAAGCCCAGTCAATCTAGGTAGGAGAACGCTAGGGAAGCTAACTTTGGCCGAAGGAGTTCTGAATCCTAAACGGTACATTATAAATTTCACAGCCCTTGTTTTAACTGAGTCAGAAACACTCAGCTTTTCTGTCTAATGCTGCTTAAATCAGCTCTGTCTTGACAGTAAATGATACACATGCTTCTCAAGAATGTACAGGTAATTCACCAAAATTGACAAGAACAAGTTAAAAAATTAGAAATCAAACAGGACAGAACTCATTATCTGGTAACAATTTAATTAATTTAAAATTTATCAAAAAGGCTGAAAATGTATTTGGTAATTTAAAAGTACACTTGTACATAATTCATGGGGTGAAGGAGAAAGCATAAATTAGAATGGATATTAAATAATAACTAATGGTCAAGAAGGAAAAAATTATAAACCAAAATGTGAGCTATGCTTTTAGATGGTATAAGGAATGATTTAAAATTACAAATAGTTAAATAGGCAAAAAAGTCTGAAAATTAGAGGTTGAAAATAATTATAACCTTAAAAAATTTAAAGATATAACTAAAGGTGCAGAACTAACAAAAGAGAACATTAAGCTAAAACAACCTGGATTCACAAGGTCAAAAGTTGAGTTATGAAAAAAAAAAAGATCTTTTGATGAGGTAGACTAAGGAAAATGGAAAGAAGAGGAAAAACATGTAATATTAGAAATGAGAAGTATATAAAGGAATAAAATATCAAAACTATATGCTCCTTTATTGTTACTTAAAATAGTTAAATTCATAAAAGTGTAACAAAGTGACCTAAGATGAAACAAACAGCACTAATCCTCTTTTCCTATGAAGAAACTAAAACATTTTTAAAATCATAAGATCCCCTGCCCCCTCTTAAAGTTTTTAAGAAAGTTGCTCTAAATTTGTCAGGAGATATTTTAATTTTCATTTTAGTAAAACACCCTCATTTTTTTTGTGTGTGACAGTGACGAAGGGAGGGGGAAAGAGAGGGTGAGGAACATCGATGTGAGAGAGCGACATCAGATGGTTGCCTCTCGGACTTGCCCCAACCCGGGACAGAACCCGCAAACCAGGCGTCTACCCTGACTGAGAGTTGAACTAGGACCTTTCGCTTTGCCGGCCCATGCCCCATCAACTGAGACACGCCAGTTAGGGTGAAACCTTCCTTTTCAGTGGAGCCCAACCTTTCTGGCACCAGGGACCGGTTTTGTGGAAGACAACGGTCCACGGATGGGGGAGGGGGGAGGGAGGGGACAGAGGAGGCAGAGCTCAGGTGGCAATGTTATCCAAGCTTCCCTGCCTAGCTGTTCCCCTCCTGCTGGGAGGCCCGATTCCTATCAGGCCCCAGACCGGTGCTGTCTCCGCGGGCCCGGGGTTGGGGAGCCCCGCTCTATTTCAGCAATTTTCTCTGTGGCATGACAGACACCAAAGAGACATCATATTTATATAATTGCAATATATATATATTCATGTGATGGCAAAGTAGAAAAGTAGAAAAAAGATAATAAACTTCGAGTTTCTTCAAGGATATTCAGCATTTATAAATGTAATCATTTTAAAATAAAACTTGATTATGATACTTAATAAACCCAGTGATGAATGCTCTTAATTTGAAATAGATTTAGACCCCTTGATTTTCTGTCATGCATTCTGCAGGTAAAGAAAAGTTGCAATGTACTTCTATATGTACATATAATTTTGAGACGTGTGATACAACCTGTTTATGAAAAAGTACATTGAAAAAATTGTGGCTTTTGACTTTTAAACATTTTAAATTTCTACTAATGACTTGGTCTTTGAATACTTTGCTGTAGGTCATTTATGCTATCAAAATTGACAGAAAAACATACACTCTTCACCTTGAAAAACAGTAAGTAGCCATTTTTTATATGGTTTTTAATTTCTTAAATTTGTACAGTTGCTACCCTATATTGAGACTAAACAAAAGAATGACTATTACGTTTATTTAACATGTTATATACTCTTCATGATTCATGTCAGACTGGAATTTGTCTTCATCTTGAGAAATCTAATTTTTAAGCCAAGTTTTAGTTTAGTAATGTAAATATGAAGATCTGTTAGATAGATACAAATTACTCTGTGTAACTCCTTAAATGTAACCACAATTGCAACAATGAAGGGAATAATTTTATTTGTCAGTGTTTAGCTTTGTCTTCACATTAGTTCGCGTACTTATGTGATTTTAAGCGTATTACTTGATATTCTACAATAATATTCTCTCATTGTGCTATGGCAGTATTTTTAATGTCTTAAATATTCTATTTTCATTCTTTGCTCTAGAAAATCAATATCAATAAATTTGTGTGTCTATTTTCCCAGTTTTCTATTGAAAATTTATATTTCCCTTAAATAAAACCTATCAAATTTTTTGTTTTTACACAAATGGAAATAGGGCATTGTGAATGACAAATCATATTAAATAACAGTGCTTTTTTCTTACTTTATGTATATATTGTAACTCGTTCTTTAATATGTAACATTTCATAGTATGTAATATTTATAGGTAATGATGTTATTTCCAGGGATCGTCACTATTAAGTCCTCCAGTACACATTTTGATTACATATTCTTATTTATATAGATTTTGTTTTGTAGCCTTGATATCAAGAAATAGGTTTCTGGATCAAGATGTATGAACAATAATCATAATAGTGATAATACTAACAAAAACAACTAAAGTAATTAACATTTATTGAACACATACCACTTGATGGGCATATTTCTAAGCAGTTTGTATATAGTAACTGATTTTTTTTCACAGAAACCTCTAAGGTAGGCACTCTTCATTACTCACATTTTATACTACATTAAACACTTGAGAGACATTGCCAGTGTCTTTCTGAAAAGATAGTAGCAATTTAGGTTTCCAAAAGCCTGTGTGATGTACTAAAATAGTCTATCTATCTTAACATCAGTTCGTATTTCTGTAAATACTCTAAACAATTATTGGTTATTTACATTCGCTTGTATAAGGCTTGCCTTTCCATAGAGCTCTCTCATTATTATTTTAATATACTTTATTTTGTAGAGCAGTTTTAGGTTTGCAGCAAAACTGACCGTATGTACAGAGATTTCCCATATGCTTCCTACCCTACATATGTAGTCTCATCCCTCGTCAAAATGATACGCTGTTATAATTGTTTATATCAAATTGACGTGTCATTATCATCCAAAGTCCATAGTTTATATTAGTCCAATACATCTTCTATACTGGATTTTTTTTTGGAATAATGAAAAATAAAATGTGTAATTGTGAGAATAATTTAAACAGTTAGTTACACACATGTAAGCATTGTGTCTACACTATTTTAAAAGAAGTGTACATGGCCGGTAATAGTGAAATCTATTATTCCCTTACGCAGACCCATTCATTTTTCTCAATCCTCAGTGCTAATCACAATTGTGATATTGACATATATTCTTCTGTCATAGTTTTCATTTATCTATGTGCCTGGAGATGAATAATCATCGTAATGTTTTAAGTATTAGTTTATAGATGTGAAGACTCAACACTGTATATTCCATCAATTTATTGTAACATGGTAGACCACAAAAGTGACTCCAATTCTTTACGTTTCCCTGAATCTTCACCCTTTGCCATACTAGGGGAGACCCCAAAAACCCAGAATTTGTAAAAAATTGTGTGTTTACTCTTACATGTTTTAACTTCAGCCACCTTCAAAATTCTCTCCATTTGATGCGATACACTTGAGATTTCTTTCCACTCCTCAGATCAGTTTTTGAACTTGTCAATTTTGATGCCGCTTTTTAGTGCTTCTGCTGCTTTTTGTGCCACCTATTCCACATTGGCAGAACAGTTTCCTTTGAGGACTTTTTTATCTGGGGAAACAAAATAAAGTCACTTGGGGCGAGACTGGGTGAATAGGGAGGGTGGGTCACAGGGGTCATGCCGTTAAGACAATGAGAAGACTGCGGTTGTTTTTTACCACAGCATCACTTCATGAAAACCAACAATAAAAGCATATTTTCTTTGTCTTTACCAGTCAATGTCTTCTTGTTAGCAAATATTAAATAACATATTTATGCTATTAAATCTATTGATGGTTAAATCTAAAAGAAAACTTTGTTGTGGGAATTTGAAAGCTCTGGTTTGTACTACAGATAAAGCTGTGTCATTACAGCATCCATACTGGTATCTGGTTATACTGGTCACTATTTTTTCTTATGTACACAATATGCCATCAGAAAGCAAGTTAAATAATAGAGAGATGAGCCCATTTAATTTTTGGATATTTGAGCTTGTAAAATAGAAATGAATTTTGCTTAATTTCATGATTCTGTAAATTACTTTAATTAATGAAATTATTACAATGAAGTGTCATTATCTTGGTTGAACTAGGTCATTTTTAGACCCTCATTTCCTGGTATATTCATACAACGAATCAGGAACATTGTATCCAGATTCGTCATTTACAAAGGTAAGTTTTTCTTTACGTTGTTTAGATTTTATTATTTTATGTCGTTTAAGGTGGGAAGAAAAAGAATGTTTTCTACTGCACAGAATTATTGGGCAAACAGATCACAAATCCAAATATAATGTGTCAATTATAATTAAATCATATTGAATGGAATGCCTATTTTCTTTTAATTTTCACCTGAGGATGTTTATTGATTTGAGAGAGAGAGAGAGAGAGAGAGAGAGAGAGAGAGAGAGAGAGAATCGATCAGTTGCCTCCTGTATGTGCCCTGACTGAGGATCGAACCTACAACTTTGTGGTGTATGGGAGGATGCTCCAACTAACTAAGCCATCTGGCCAGAGCTAGAACAATTACTTTTTAAATTTAAAATTCAGGAATCACTTATCCAAGAAGGTCATTTAATCTACCTGGGTGTATTAGTAGGAATTTGAGAGGAAACAAAAATAAAATGGGTGAAGGAGCTAAGAAGTCCTAAGCACAGTGAGTAATGTAAATTGATGTATTATAGAATCGGAATGGTGGAGGTAATGGTGGAAATTATAGCATGACCACTGGGAATGTGAAGACACAAAAGCATATTGGCTACAGAAACTGAATATGTTTACATGTGAAATATAGGAATTTGAATTGTATTCTGTAACACAGGTAGGAGTCAATAAATTTTTCAAAGACATGAGAAAGTTAGCTTTAGTCTGTATGACTCTTATTTTACCAGAACATATGATTTGGAAGAAACAAATGTTTGACAAGTGATTGGAGAATTCTATTTCTTTATTGCAATTGAGAGATTAAAAATGTGCTAACTGGTACAGCATCTGTCATAACATCTACAAGAAGAAAGCATAACAAAATATTATACATGAGGTACCTGCTTTCAGGCATTTGACAATAGGCAGATCAGGGATTTTCTCTCTGAGAGAAAGGATGCATAGAAGGTGAGCCTCACATTCAACTTGGCTCTCGGACTGGGAGTCATATCTTAAGTATAGTGTAGGGGTCGGATGATGAAGAACCCATGAGACAGAGAACATTTTCTCTGGCTGTTTTCCAGCCACTGCATGTCAGTGTGCTTCTCATCTGATCTCTGCTAGTGTGTCTTAGTTAAGAAAGGTCCTAATTGGGCCACTTTATGCTGCTTAGAGTTAGAAATGTAGGGAAATCTCTCATGAGGGTAATTTTCTCTGAGTGCATGCAAGGCCAGGGGCCAACAGTCTGAATTGCTCTCTGCTGCTGTGTAGAATTCGAGAAATCTGCTTTGTGAAGGGCTTGTAGCTGCAATGGCTGTTGACGCCAGTGCAAGTGGAGGTAGCTGCACTGTTGCTTGGTATGGAGCAGAGTGTGTTTAGCTTCTGTGGTTAAGCCTAGTTTTGAGAAAAAGCAAATGGTGGAGATGTATTTCTGGGAACGTAAAATGCATAAGCAAATTCATAGGAGAGAATGTGATGATACTAAAATTTCAAGAGCGCAGGATTAGCAAAGGAACAGGACTGATTCTAGATATCACTAGATTTTTAGGGGAAGAGAAGGGAAGTTTGATTGAAAGACTATCAGAGGAGAATCTGGGAACACATGCTATGAAAGTCCATAGGGATGAGAGTTTGAACTAAGGATGGTCAATATGGTGAAATAGTAAACAGAAAAAAATATGAGGAAATGTCAATTAAGATATTTTTGAGTAAGAGAAGAAACAAGTGAGATGTTCACAGTTGAAGTATAAATTACATCGTTAGCAATTACAGACCATACATTAAGAAAAGCAGCTGAGAAAGGAAAGATAAAAAGCTTCTGTAAAAATTATATGTAGGTATGTATACATGTATTTAGACTAGTGTTGCTATAAATATTAGTGTACAATTTTTTGTTACAAAACCTGCTTTCAATTTTTGCGGTATGTGTTTAAAAATGGAACCTCTGAATCATAAGGTAATTCTATGTTCAACTTTATGGGGAACCTGCAAACTGTTTTCCAAGCTGGTTGCAACATTGAGCATTCCCGCCAGCAATGTACAAGAGTTCCAATTGCTCCACATTTTCACTAAAACTTATTATTTTTTATTTTTAATTGTTCATTCTTGTGCATGCGAAGTGGTAACTCACTTTGGTTTTTCTTTGCATTTCCCTGATGACTAATGTTTAGCATCTTTTCAAGTTTTTTTTTGCCACTTGTATATGTACTTCGGAGAAATGTCTACTTAAGTCTTTTGCATATTTTTAATTATGTTATTTGTCTTTTAGATGTTAAGTTGTACACTAGAGTCTTTTCAGTTGTATGATTTGCAAATATTTCCTCCATTTCATGAGTTGTCTCTTTCCAGATAATGTCCTTTGATATACAAAAGTTTTTATAATTTTAATGAACGCTAGCTTGTGTATTTTTTCCTTTGCTGTTTGTGCTGTAGGTGTCAGATCTAAGAAACCATCACCCATTACCACATGCAAATGTATGAAGATTTACCCCCATAATTTATTGTAAGAGTTTTATAGTTTCAGCTCTTATATTTGGATGTTTGATCTGTTTGGACTTAATTTTTGTATATGGTATAAGGTAATGTTCTAATATTATCTTTTTCATGTGGGTATTTAGTTTTCCTAGCACAATTTGTTGAAGAGACTATCCTTTCCCCATTGAATAATGCTGCCAGTCTTGTTAAAAAAAGTTTATTAACTAGAGATGTAAAAGTTTATTTCTAAACTCTTAATTTCATTGCATTTGTCTACATGTCTGTTCTACTACAGTAACACCCAGTGTGGATTATTGTAGCTTTATAGTAAGTTTTTACAATAAAAAATTCTTAGTCACTTTTAATTGGGTTAATATATCTTTTTATTACTGAGTTGTAATAGCTCTTTTTATATCCTGGGTACATGTTCTTTTTAAAATATATGTAATGTACATAGATAAAGAACAGACTTGTGGTCACTAGAAGGGAGGGAGATTGGGGGACTGGGTGAAAAAGGTGAAGGGGTTAAGAAGTAGAAATTGGTAGTTACAAAATAATCAAAGGAATGTAGAATACAGCATGGAAAATATAGTCCATAGTATTATAATAACTGTGTACGGTGCCAGGTGGGTACTGAAAATATCAAGGAAAACCCATTGCAAATTATAAATACTATTCTGTACACCTGATACTAATGCAAAATAATATTAATGGCAACTGTAATTAAAAAATAATATTTTCACATCAAAATCAAAACGAGAGGACTTGTAGTCAAGATGGCAGCATAACAAATATGGCTCATCTCCTCTCAGAAAACACATCGAAATTAAACTATAGAACAGCCATTACTCAGAACCATCATATTGAGCTGAATGGAAGTCCTATAACTACAGAATTAAAGAAGAAACCATGTTGAGACTGGAAGGAGGGGCAGAGTTGTGGAACAGTCTGGTCCCACACTCATGTGTGGCAGATAAAAATCAGGAGAGATTTCTGAGGAGCTAGTGGTTCCAGCTCCCCACTAGACCCCCCGACCAGTGCTCCAGTGCCAGGAAGATAAGTCTCCATAATTTCTGGCTGTAAAAACCAGCAGGGGTTGAAGTTGTGGAAGAGAGAAATTTCTGGAATCCCAAGCATTTCCTCTTAAAAGACCTGCACAGAGACTTACTGGGACTCTCTCTCAGCTTCAGTGCTGGGGTAGCAGATTGAAAGGCATTGGAGACATAGAGGGAGAAACCAAATTGTTTGACCTCAGGGTGATAGTTAGGGGGCAGATTTCTCCCAGACAGAAGAGCTGGCAGAGGCCATTGTTCCTTTTCTGAGCCTTATCCTCACATAGCTAGCAGGCAGGTACCATTTCTGAGACTTCATCAACCTGGCTCACACTGTTTGCCCCACCCTGGTGATCCCCTGAGGCCCTGATCCACCCAATTTTCAGGCCCACTCAAGCTGTTTCCAGTGGCTTTTTCATATGAATGGCTTGTCTTGGCCCATGGTTCAGATTTTTCTAAATTCTCTCAAACAAACAGCACCTGGCTTTAGCAAGCTCCATACTTCCCACAGTGTTGCCCCGGGCCCAGCACTAGCAGCAACCAGCTTTGGTTCACAGCTTGACCTCTTGGGGGCACCTCCAAGACCAGCACAAGTAGCAGCCATCTACAGATCACTTTGTAGCTAATGCTGTGTGACCAGGTGTAACACTGGTGGTGGCAGACCTTAGACATGCCAACAGCAATCAAGGCTCAACTACAAGGGGAGGGTGTCTGCAGCCCCACGTGGTGGGCATTCCTCAAGTACCCAGCTAAGGTAATAGGAGAAGCTCTTCCACTAGACTACAGAACACCTACTGCATTAAGCCACTCTGTCAAGCCTGGGAGATATAGTAACTCTACTTAATACATAGAAACAAATACAAGGAGGCTGCCAAAATGAGGAGATGAAGAAACATGGCCCATATGAAAAAACAGAACAGAACTCCAAAAAACAAAACAAAAACAAAAACAAAAAAACCCTAAACAAAACGAAGAAAAGCAATCTATCAAATGCAGAGTCCAAAACGCTGGTTATAAGGATGCTCAAGGAACTTAGGACCTCAACATCATAAAAAGGAACCAGACAGAAACAAAGGACACACTAATTGAAATAAAGAATGATTTACAGGGAATCAATAGTAGAGTGGATGAAGCCAAGAATCAAGGAAACAAAAGCAACCAATAGGAGCAACAAGAAGAAAAAATAATCCAAAAAATTAGGATAGTGTAAGGAGTCTCTGGGATAGCGTCAACCAAAACAACCTCAAGCAAATGCACCATGGAGGTGCAAGAAGGAGAAGAGAAAGCAAGAAACTGGAAACCTATTTGAAAGAATAATGAAAGAAAACTTCCCTAACGTGGCGAAGGAAATAGATATACAAGTTCAGGAAGCACAGAGAATCCCAAACATGATGAACCCAAAGAGGCCCACTCCAAGATGCATCGTAATTAAAATGCCAAAAGCTAAATACAAAGAGAGAATCTTAAAAGCAGCAAGAGAAAAGCAGTTAGTTACCTACAAGGGAGCCATCATAAGACTGTCAGCTGATTTATCAAAAGAAACTTTGCAAACCAGAAAGTATTGGCAAGAAAAGCAAGGACCTACAACCAATATTTCTCTACCCAGCAAAGCAATCATTTATAATATACAGACAGATAAAGAGCTTCTCAGACAAGGAAAAGCTAAAGGAGTTTATCATCACCAAACCAGTATTATGGGAAATGTGAAAGGTCTTCTTTTAGAAGAAGATCAAAACTATGAACAATAAAATGGCAATAAATACATATCTATCAACAACTGATCCTATAAAAAACCCAACCAAAATAAACAAGCAGAACAGAACCGGAATCATACATATTAGAACGTTTTGATGGTTGCCAGATAGGCGAGGGTCAGGGGGATAGGTGAAAAAGATGAAGGGATGAAGGGGTACAAATTGGTAGTTTGAAAATAGTCATGGGGATGGAAAGTGCAGCATAGGGAATAGAGTAGCCAAAGAACGTATGTGCAAGACCCATGGACACGGACAATGGTGTAGGGATTGCTGATGGAGTGTGGGGGGCTGGGCAGAGAGGGACAAAGGGGGCAAATTTGGGACAACTGTAATAGTATAAACAATAATAATAACAAACAATAATGTAGTTAAAAAGAAAAACAATTAAAATTTAAAATAAATAAAATAAAATATACGTATTGTGTATTATTTCATGTAGTACATGGCTTGCCTTTTTGTTTCCTCAATAATATGTTTAAAGAAATTAATAGAGCTAATTTTTTTTAGCAGTTTAGCTTTAAGAAAGATGAAGTAGAAAGTACAAAAAAGTTCCCCTACACCCTCCCAAACCCTTAGTTACTTTATTATTAACATCTTGCATTAGTGTGGTATTTGGGTTATGTTTAAAAGTCAATGTTGATATATTACTATTAATTAAATCTTATAGCTTACAATAAGGTTTTTTTCCTGTTCCTGTTCTGTTTGTTCATTTATTTTGCTTTTTAGATTCAATTGTTGATAACTATGTATTTATTTACATTTTATTATTTTGATCTTTTCTTCCTTCTTTTGTAAGACCCATTAACATTTCATGTAATACCAGTTTGTTGGTGACAAACTCATTTAGCTTTTTCATGTTCTGGGAACTCTTTATATGTCCTTTGACTATAAAAGCTTCTGTCAAAATTATAGAATTTAGAATTATAGAAAGGCCTTTAGGGGGTGGAGGTTATAGACAGAAGAGTGTTAAGAGGAAGACATTGTAGGTAGATAAAAAAGGAATGGAATATCTGGTGAATAATGGTGACTATTGGCTAAATCTGCACATTTCATGTCTAGGAAGTGAGGATAAAACTTTATTTCAATCATTCATGAATGTGATGTTATTTACTCCCATTTAGGACCATTGTTTATATCAAGGATATGCCGCAGAGATTCCAAAATCAGTCGTGACACTTAGAACCTGTTCTGGACTCAGGTAATGGCATATTCCAGAGATGTGCATGACTGACGGTCTTGTGTAACACTTTAATTTTTAGAAATTCCTTGAATGGAAGAAGAGTGACTGTAAAGAAAATATAGATTTTGATTGTGTTTCTTCTCATATGTATACTTTTCCCTTGTTCTCCTCTTGCCATTTATATATTATTTTGTCTGCATACTAGGCTTACAGTCATAAAATGTATTTAGCAAAAGCTCACTAGTATAAAGAATATTCACATTTATTAAGCATGCTAGAACTACAGGACTCATAAATGCCATATGGACGGAAGGTGTAAAATTGGCTTGAAGTTAATTTGAGTAAGATGGGACTATTCTTAGGTTAAATTAGACCATAAAGACCACTATAAAATTTCTATAAAATGTTTTCACTTAATTTTGACTTACAGTTCTCAGTGGGAAATCTATATTAATCACTATTATGTGTTTTTATGTGTTTAAATATTCAGGGGATTATTGCAGTTGGAGAATGTCAGTTATGGAATTGAGCCATTGGAATCTGCAGCTACATTTGAGCATATACTTTATCAAATAAAGAATAATAAAACTGATTTTTTCCTTTCAAGAGGAAATTATCCTACCACTCAATCTGCAGATCAACCCTATAAAATTCTTGTGAAGTCAGAAGTAAGCAACCATTTTCTGAAATCTTCATTTTTTCTGCTTTTGATAAACTTATTCACACTAAAATGTGTTATATTTGGAAAACAAAAAAAAAATGAGTCTATTTTTGTGTATGGTGTAAGTCGGTGGTCAAATTTCAATTTTTTGCATGTAGCCGTCCAGCTCTCCCATCCCCACTTGTTGAAGAGGCTATTTTTACTCCATTTTAAGCTTCTGTCCTCTTTGTTGCATATTAATTGACTGTAGAGACATAGGTTTATTTCCGGGCTCTCTATTCTGTTCCATTGACCTATGTGTGTTCTTATGCCAGTAACAGACTGTTTTGATTACAGTGGGCTTGTAATATATTTTGATGTCAGGTATTGTGATCCCTCCTACTTTGTTCTTCTTTCTCAAAATTACTTCTCCAAGGAGGACATAAACAGGGCCCAAAGATGTATGAAAGGATGCTCAGCATCACCAGCCATCAGAGAGATGCGAATTAAAACCACAATGAGATACCACTTCACACCTGTCAGAATGGCCATCATAAACAAATCAGCAAATAAGACGTACTGGCGAGGCTGTGGAAAAAAGGGAATCCTAGTACACTGTTGGGAAGGCAGACTGGTGCAGCCACTGCGGAAAACAGTTTGGAATTTCCTCAAAGTGCTAAAATTGAAACTACCTTTTGACCCAGTGATTCCATTGCTGGGATTATACCCTAAGAATCCCAAAATACCAATTCAAAGGAACCTATGCACCCCAATGTTCATAGCAGCACAATTTACAATCGCCAATTGTTGGAAGCAACCTAAGTGCCCATCGGAAAATGAATGGATCAAAAAACTGTCGAATATTTACACAGTGGAACACTACACTGCAGAAAGAAAGAGCTACTACCCTTCACAGCAGCATGGATGGACCTGGAGAGCATTATGCTAAGTGAAATAAGCCAGAGGTGAAAGACAAATGCCATATGATCTCGCCTATAAGTGGAACCTAATCAACAAAACAAACAAACAAGGAAAATATAATCAGCAACATTGAAAGAAAAAAGAAAACAACAGTAGTAAGAGGGAAGGAGGGAGGTGGGTAATGGGGAAAGGAAGGAAAAAGGAAGGGGAAAGATCAGATTAAGGAACATGTATAAAGGACCCATGGACAAAACCAAAGTGGGGAAGGACTGAGGGAGGGAGGTGGGGGTGGGTGGGGCAAGGGAACTGGTAGCGGGAAAATGGAGACACAGGTATTTGAGCAATAAAAAAAAAATTTTTTTTTAAATACACACGCACTTAAAGAAAGGGCTTATCTATTAAAAGAATATTGTACCCTTGCCCTTTCCTTAAACCCTGCTAAAGGAAAAAGCGATTTTTTAAAATGGTGTAAACTATAAGCACAAACAGGAGAGAAATAATAACATTGGAAATTAAAGTCAGAGGTAGCAAGCTAATTTAGCCCCCAAAAAGCTGAATCCTAAACTGGCATTGGGATAAACTATAGGCCATTTGATATATCCAGCAGCACTACTCAAACATTTCTGGAATTACATGTCCAAATACCGAAGTGATTTTAAAAGTGGACCAACGAAGAGTATTGGTTGAAAATAAGTTCTGTTAGTATCTAGAAATGCTGATTCCCTCCCCTAATCGATTGTCTCTGTTGTAGACAGATAGATAATTGAAGGCTATTTCCTGTGGAGAATCTGTGAAATGGGACATGAGGAACAAATGTTCTATTGTATGTCACAAATATTCTATCGTATATCACAAATATTCTATCATATATCACAAATGTTCTATTGTATGTCACAATAGAGGAGAAATAGCATTCTGAAAGTAATGTGACTAAGTTAAACTTAGCACACTGGGACTTGGGACCCAGGCTTACACATTCTAAGAAGTATATCGAAGATGCCTTTCTAGGAGGCAATTGTATCAGCCAAAAGAATCTAAATTGACCACATTGACAGCAAGTTTTTTCCTAATCAACAACCCAGACAAATTATGCTCTGTCAAGACATAATTCCTAAACTCTGCATGTGGTCACAGGTATTGAAATAAGCTATTAAATGCCCAATTCCTAGTATGAAGGGGACAGCAGACATACGATGAAACAATTTAATACAGAAGATAGGGACATTAAAAAATAACAATTTTAAAGAGTAAGACACCAAATATAGAGGGTAAAGAAAACAAACTGATGATGCTTTTACAGAAGTAAGATAAAGTATTTCATCTACAAAATAAGAACAGAAAGCTACCTAAAAAAATAACGTTCAACAAATAACAGTTCTTGGAAATTAAAAGCATAATAAAAAATGTAAAAACTCAATATAAAATTCACAAGATAAAATTCCAGAAACACACAAAAAGAAAAGTAAAAGACAAAAAAATGATGGAGACATATAATAGATAAGAAATTAAATTGAAATATAAATATGGATGATACAGTAAGAGTTCTAATTATACTGGGGGAAATAGAGTTGAATAAATAAGAGAAAATTCAGCTGAATAAATGAGAGGACAGTCCAAGAAAAGTTCTAAAAATTAGTTGAGTTTCTTTACTTATATTTTAAAAAACTTTATTTTTATACACGGGGGAGATCTAGAGTGGCATAAAATTTCTCAGCAGCCACACTAAAAGCTAAAAGGCAGTACCTACCCAATTCCTTAAAATGGGGCAAAGTAATTTCCAGCCTATAATTCTGTCCCCAGCCAGAACTACATACTTGAAATTTTTGATTGAAACCATTTTATTATTCCTAATGTGAAATGTCCTTCATAATGTATAAAACAAAGAAGCCACCGTTAAACAGAAAGATAGAACCTCTAGTCTCATCCTGAAGAAGAGTAGCCAGCCACAATGACAACACAGTTACGAAGAATACTTGCCAAATACAGTCAAATTTCAACCAAGTGAAAAGACAGAACTACTGTGTAGCAGCTGCCCTCAAACTGTATTGTTCATGAGAATCATTGGTAGGTCAAATGCCAGTAAATTTTTTAAATCTTTATTTTTACTGTTGCCTCTCTCACAGATGTCCCCGTTTTCCTCCCTTTCGCCCAACTCCGCTCAGCCTCTGCACCCGCTTCCCTCGGGCCATCACCACACTGTTGTCTGTGTGATTCATGCACATATGTTCCTTGGCTGATCCCTTCACCTTCTGTCATTCAGCACCCTCCTCCCTCCTCCCCTGTGACAGCTGTCAGTGTGTTCCATGCGTCCATTTTTTTTGGTTTCTATTCTTTTGTCAGTTTATTTTGTTCTAGTCCACATATAAGTAAGAATCACATGATGTTTATGTACCTAATTATGTACCTAATTACAATCAATATAAGAATTTAAAAAATGTTTTATTTAATTCATTCTTTCTATTTCACAGAAAAAATCAGGTGATGTGCTATTGAAAAAAACTCTGAAAATACAAATCATTATGGATAAAGCCTTGGTATGCATTATTGAAGCATTTCATCATATATTTACTTTGTGTTCAAGTACAAAGGAGCAAGAAAAGAAAAATATCTTTTTGTAATATAGATATGCTATGCTTTAAGCTTTTTTATGTTGATGCAACTGTTATATTAATTTATATATCTATCCTAATATATGACATCTGTTTTTTGTCTAGTAGTTTCCTGGTAAATATTTTCATGGTTTGACTCTTAGTATTTCTGTTTTCTTAATGTAGGGGTTTTAAAATTTTAATTTGCATACAGTGGCTTTATTTAAACAGTCTTTGTCATTTGGTCTATTGATAATTTGTGATTACTGACATATGTAGACTCATTTCCATAACCATATTCTTTATTTCTTTTGTCTTGCTTTTCATATATTTAGCCTTACAACAGATCACCTTCACATATACCCACATGCATGCTGCATTGTGTGAATATACAATATGGTTTATTGGGAAAGGTCACATACAGAAAAATAGCAAAGTCTAAACATTTACTAAAGAACTAGAATGGCATTCCTTTTGTCTAAATCAGAGAACTCTGTCCATTGCATTTCTTGTCAGTAATCTTCTGCAGATTTGCTGGAGATTATTGAAAATCCCAAGCTGCCAGTTTTTATGTTTTTCACAAACACTTAGAGATGTATGTGAACACACAGTTAGAAGTATTTCACAGATAATGCTATGATTTTTGTTCCCTTAAGTAAGGACATCTTCTTTTTTTCTTTATCCTCACCTGAAGACATTTTTTTCATTGCTTTTAGAAAGAAATGGAGTGGGACTGGGGGCGGGGGTAAGAGGAAGAGAGAGAGGCATCGATTGGTTGCCTTCTCATGCATGTTCCCACGGGGGATCGAACTGCAACCTGGGTATGTGCCCTGCCCTGGAATCGAACCCATGACCTTTGAGTCTGTGAAACAATGCTCCAACCAACTGAACCACACCAGCCAGGGAAGGGCATATGCTTGAGATTGTTCATGACTATGGTACTAAGACCTCTGTGTTAGACAGAAAGACTTCGTAGCTTAGTTAGAGATTTGAGGTCTGGTTCGTACCCTTAGTATTTATACAATCTTGGAACCTTAACTTTTGGCCCTTAAATTCTATATGTGTAAACAGAAAGATAATCATGACCCTATCTTTTTAATATTATTGATTAATTTGTAAAGACCCTAGGTTTATGCCTAAAACATTAAAATTCAATAAATTTTAATTCTGCTTCTATCTTTTCACTTAAGCTCTTATTGTAACATTTTTTTAATCTATTTAAAATGTAGTAATATGGTAATTTTCACTGGTGATTAAGAAACAGAATTTGTCTTTCAGTATGATTATATGGGCTCTGAAGTGGCAGTTGCAGTTGAGAAAGTTGTCCATATCTTAGGTCTCATCAATTCTGTAAGTGGTTATGATTTATATTTTAAATAAGAAACATTCCTATTAATGCAATAACATTATTAGTATAAATAACATTTACATTTCTATGCAAAGTATAGATCTACCAATCTACCAATCAATTTTCTTCACCAATGAATTTCGTCTCCAAATAACAGGAAATTGAATGGGTTAGCATTATGTATAGAGATGTAATGTTATATTTGTGATTGTCTAAGCTGCATATCATGCATCTTTCTTTTCAGATGTTTTCCCAGCTAAACATGACTGTTATGTTAACATCTTTGGAGCTCTGGTCGGATAAAAATAAAATTTTATCTAATGGGGATGCTAATGAAGTACTGCAGAGATTTGTGTCATGGAAAGAAAGTTTTTTGTTTCGAAGATCCCGTGATATGGCATTTTTATTAATGTAAGTACCTTATTTGCATTGATATGTGGTTTATCAAATGATTTGACATGTTAGCTATCACAATTATGTATAAAATCGACTATGTATAATGATAAAAGATAGTGTATGAGTACAGTGTTTGTAAAGTGCAAAACAAAAAGAATAACAAGGTAACATGAAAAATCATGGTAGACCATTATTCTTAGAGTGGACTATGTACCTATGAACAATTAAGGAACTGGAAAGTATAGCAAGTCTTGAGGTAAACATGGGCCTCTGTGGTTTTAAAGATTTTCTTAGACACAAATAATTGATACCATCATTTTAACATTAAATAAAATACAAATAAGTTAACAGAATGCAATAATTCTGTATAATGCTGGGTACAGTACAAAACATTAAATTGTAATACCTTCTGATATTTCTTTATTGACATAAGTGGTAGGTATTTAATTATTGCACTTTATCTTTCAAGAGAATATGTAGATTTTTGTTTTAATAATCTGATTATTTTAGATGGAAAAAACAAAAAACATAGTTTTGAAATCTCAAGCAATGTGAAATACGTTTATAAGTCCATTGGCATCTCTTGTGGAACCGTAGGTCAGGTTTAGGAATTAAGGAACGACATGAACTAAGAGGTAAAATGAGTAAGAGCAGTTTGTACATCCTATCTATTTTTTTCTTAGTGAGCCTGCTGAATATTTGTCTCTATTTGTCTTCCAATCAACATTTTTACCTACTTTACATGTTCATTATGAGCAAATCATGGCAATAAGCTATTCTGACTTTCACATTTTAGAATTATATCCATTCAGCACTGACAATTGTGTTGATTAATATTTTTTTTATTCTCACTTGAAGACAGTTTTTCATTGCTTTTAAAGAGAGAGGAAGGGAAAGAGAGAGGGAGAAACATTGACGTGAGAAGGATCAGAAGCATCAGTTGGTACCTTCTCGTAGGTACCCCGACCGGCAATCGAACTTGCAACCTGGGTATGTGCCCTGACCAGGAATGAAACCCGTGACCTTTCACTCTACAGGACAACACTCCAACCAACAGAGCCATACGCTCCAAGGCAGATTAATCTTTTTGGAAGGATTAGGCACTGCTGGGTTCTGGGATGTGTGTCAAATAATGTTAAAGTATCCTTTAGAACCTAACTTTGTAGGAACTATGGGAGATTACCCAAACCCAAAATGATTAAATACATTGGACATGATATATATTATTCACATTTTAAAGAAAACATAGTTCTATTGAAGTATGTATCCAATTCTTAAAAGGTCATTAAGATTAAAAATTAAAAACGCATTTGTCAGCCCTGGCTGGTGTGGCTGAGTTGGTTGGAGCATTGTCCCACACACCAAAAGGCTGGGGGTTCAAGTCCTGGTCAAGGAACATACCTAGGTTGTTCTCCGGTTGAGGCACATACGGGAAGCCACCAATCAGTGTTTCTCTCTCACACTGATATTTCTCACTCTCTCTCAAGTTAATAAACATATTTTTAAAAAGCTAAATAAATAAAACACATTGATCCTTAACAAAAATTTGTATTATTTAGTTACAGGGATTCTCCTAATTATGTGGGAGCAACATATCGTGGAATGGCATGTGATCCAAAACTAGCTGCAGGAGTTGTTCTGGTATGCATGTTATTCCTGCCTCTTCAGAAGTTATATACTGTTTGAAAATTAATAGCCGCTTCAAGGAAAGAAAGTACTTACCAGTGTATCTACCGTACTGTTTTCACAGACTTTTAGAAAATGTTTTTTTATAGATTTTTGATACTCGAATGGTAGAGTTTTAAAAGAACTTTTGTAATGATAGACTACATATAACACAAAATATAGTATCTGAACTATTTTTAAGTATACTGTTCAGTAGCGTTGCTTATTTACATTGTGTGAAACAGATCTGCAGAGTTTTCCATTTTGCATAACTAAAACTTTTTACACTTTGAGCAACATGACTCTACTTTCCAAATCCTCCTGTCCCTGGGAACCACCATTGTATTCTTTGCTTCTGTGAATCTGAAATTTTTAGATTCCACATATAAGGGAGGTCATGAAATGTTTGTGTTTGTCTGGCTTATTTCAAATTCACATTGTACTATTAAGCTCTCTGCATGTTGTTGCAAAAGGCAGGATTTCATTATTTTTTTGCTGAATAATATTTATGTATGTATATATGCATGCATAGATGAATATATGTGTGTATATGTGTGAGTATAACATTTTCTTTGTTCCTTCATCTGTCACGGGCACTTAGGTTGTTTCTAACCTTGGCTATTGTGAATAATGTTGCAATGAAATGGGAGTGCAGCTATTGCTTTGATTTCAGTTATTTGGGATATGTACTCAGAAGTAGGTTCACTGTATCATATGGTTCTATTTTTAATATTCTAATCAATCATCATACTGCTTACATTATTTCATAATCCCAAAGTTCATATCGTATTTATGAAAACATCACCAATACATTTTTTCTCTTTTTTTAAATAGCTGTCATCTTAATTGGTATGAGGTGATTTCTTATTGTGGTTTTGATTTGCATTCCTGTGACTATATTGAGCATCTTCTCTTATGCCTTTTGGCTTCTTGCATATCATCTCTGGAAAAATGGGTACTCAAATTCTTAGTCCACATTTCACTTTTTTTATTTTTATCATTTTTAATTTTCAATTACTGTTGACATGCCTTATTATATTAGTTTCACATGTACACCCCAGAGATTAGACATTTTATAGCTTAATAAATGATCATCCCAATAAATTACATCATCTATCTGACACAATATATAGTTATTAGACTATTATTGACTGTATTGCTTATGCTGTACTTTACGTCCCTGTGACTATTCTGAAACAACCAATTTGTACTTCTTAATCACTTTATCTTTTGCACCCATCCACCTGACCCCTCTCCCATGTAACAACTGTCAAAACGTTTTCTGTATCTACGATTCTGTATCTTTTATGTTGGATCTTTTGTGTTTCCTACAAACAGGATCATGCCAGCTGTGAACAGAGAGAATTTTACTTCTTTTCCAATTTAGAAGCCATTTAGTTATTTTATTGCTTAATTGCTCTGGCTAAATCTTCCAATTTTATGTTAAATAGAAGTGGTGAGAGAGAGACTATTTTGCCTTATTCTTGATCTTAGAGGGAAAACTTTCAGGAATTCACTAGTGAGTATGATGTTAGTTGTGAGCTTTTCGTATGTTGTTTATTATGTTGACGTAATTTCCTGATATTCCCATATTGTTAAGTGGTGTTTATCAAGAAATGTGTTGAATCTTGTGAAATGCATTTTCTGCATTAACTGTGATCGTGTGGATTTCACCCTTCATTCTGTGAAAATGGTATATTACATTGACAGATTTTCCTATGGTAAATAATCTTTGTGTTCCAGAAGAAAAAAAACTCAGTTATGATGTGTAATCTTTTGAATGTGCTATTGAATTTGGTTTGCTAGTATTTTGTTGAGGATTTTTTATGAATATTCAGCCGGTATATTAGTCTATAATTTTTTTTGTTGTTGTTGAGTGTTTTGGTATCGGGGTAATGCTGGCCTCATAGAGTCATTTTGTGAGCATTCTCTCTTCAATTCTGTGGAAGAGTTTGAGGAGAATTGGCATTAAATCTTTGCTGAATATTTGGTAGAACTTACCAGTGACTCAGGTCCATCAAATCCTGAATCACTGGTAAATTCTGACCTAAAAGCTTGATTCAACACCACTAGGTCCTGAGTTTATTTTTTTTTTGTTTGTTTTGTCGTTGTTCTTGGAAGGTTTTTGATTACTGCTTCAATCTCCTTACTAGTTGTTTGTCTCTTCAGATTTTATGTTTCTTCATTAGTCAATCTTGATGAGTTATATGTATTTTTTTCTTCTGACTTATTAATAACCTTAATGTAGTAAGGTGTTGAATCTTGGTCTCAAGTGTAATAACTACAATCATGTGCCATATAATGTTATTTAGGTCAACAATGGACCAGCTCTTTGATGGCGGTCCTAGAAGATTATCATGCAGCTGAAAAATTACCATCACCTTCGAAGGTTGTAGCCATCATAACTTCATAGAGCAACACATTACTCATGTGTTTCTAAGGACATTGGTGTAAACAAACCTGCTGCACTGCCACTTATATAAAAGTATAGCAATGCAATTACTTATAGTACATAAAACTTGATAACAATAATAAATGATATGTTACTGGTTTATGTATTTACTATACTAATTTTTATTTTTATTTTTTAAATTTTTTATTGTTGTTCAATTACAGTTGTACCACTTTTTCCCCCATTGCTCTTCCCTGCCGTGCCCACACCCAATCTGTCCACCCTGTCAGTGGCCACCCCATTGTCTTTATCCATGGGTCTCTTATACATGTTTCTTGACTTGCCCCTTCCCCTTCTGTCCACTCTCATTTCCCTCCCTTCTGTCCTCTGGTCACTGTCAGTTTATCCTTTATTGCCATGTCTCTGGTTCTATTTTGCTCCCTTGTTTGTCTTGTTGATTAGGTTCCACTTATAGGCGAGATCATATGGTATTTGTCTTTCACCACCTTGCTTATTTTGCTCAGCCTCATACTCTCAGTCCCATCCACGCTGTAGCAAGATGCAGGAGCTCCTTCTTCCTTTCTGCTGTGTGGAATTCTATTCTATAAAGGCACCACAACTTTTTGATCCACTTACTCTCTGATGGGCACTTAGGCTGTTTCCTGCACTTGGTTATTGTAAATTGCACTGCTATGCACATTGGGGCGCGTAGGTTCTTTTGAATGGGTGTTTCAGAATTCTTAGGTTATAATCTCAGCAGTGGAATTGCTAGATCAAAAGGGAGTACCATTTTTAGTTTTTGAGGAAATTCCATGCTGTTTTCCACAGTGGCTGCACCAGTCTGCATTCCCACCAACAGTGCACCAGGGTTCCCTTTTCTCCACATCCTCACCAGCAATGTCGTTTATCGATTTCTTTATGATGGCCATTTTGACTGGTGTGGAGTGGTATCTCATTGTGGTTTTGATTTGTATCTCTCTGATGGCTAGTGATGTTGAGCATCTGTTCATATGTCTCGGGACCCTGTGTATGTCCTCCTTGGAGAAGTGTGTGTTCAGGTCCTTTGCCCGTTTTTTAATTGGTTTGTCTTCCCGCTGTGCAGTCATGTGAGTTCTTTTTATATTTGGAGATCAAACCCTTGTCCGAGGTATCGTTGGCAGATATATTTTCCCATACGGTTGGTTCCCTTTTCATTTTGCTGATGTTTTCTTTAGCCATGCAGAAGCTTTTTAATTTGATGAAGTCCCATTTGTTTATTTTTTCTTTTATGTCCCTTGCACTAGGGGAAACATTGGTGAAAATATCGCTGTGTGGAATATCTGAGATTTGCCTGCCTACATTTTCCTCTAGGACTTTTATGGTGATGTGACTTACATTTAAGTCTTTTATCCATCTTGAGCTTATTTTTGTGCATGGTGGAAGGTGGAGGTCGAGTTTCATTTTTCAGCATGTAGCTGTCCATGTCTCCCAACCCCACTTGTTGAAGAGGCTATTTTTACTCCATTTTATGCTCCTGCCCAATTTGTTGAATATTAATTGACCATAGAGACATAAAAGAAAATACAAGAAGACGGGAGACTCCTAAACCTATTTCTGAAGTCAAAACAAATTGTTAATTAATCCTTAAGAATTTGTGTATTTTTTCTAAGTGTTCACTGGAAAAATAATACAGTTACCTAAACAATGCTTCTCCTTCTAAAAATTTTTTAAGGTTTTTGAATTTAAATCAGTAATATGATAAAAACATAAAATAGCACTATTTTTACTTGTTACATGCCAATGCCATTTGTATTAAAAATACCATTTTTCAAAAAACCACCAAAATTTACCATTTTTTTTGTTTTTCATATTTCTAAGAAAATATTGAGCTTTGGAATACTATCTTCTTATATTTGCATTTACATTTAGGTAGTATGCCTACAGATTACTTATTGAAAAGTTAAAAGGGGTGAAGAAATAACTTTGGCAACTTTTTTTTTGTATTTAGTATCCAAAGAAGATAAGTTTAGAGGCATTTTCAGTTGTTATGGCACAGTTGCTTGGAATTAATCTGGGATTAACATATGATGACATCTATAATTGTTACTGTCCAGGAACTGTATGCATTATGAATCCTCAAGCAATGTAAGGTGGTGTTTCTTTTTTTAAATCAAATCTGTATCTTTTGGGGGGAAATGTTTGTAGTAGTCTTTGATGTATAATCACGTGCAATAAAATTTGAGTAAGGTGATTTTTATTTTATATATATATATATGTGTGTGTGTGCTTATTTAAAGCTTGTTAAATGAAATGAGTATTTGATATTGCAGAAAATGTGCTTAATATTTCTATATTAATATTACAGTCTACAGGGAAAGTGTTTATTGATAATGACTTTCTGGGGTTTACTAGAGCCTTGTGGTGCAATTTATTTATTCATTATAAAATATGTCACAAAGATTGATTCTGTTGCAAGATAGTGTGTGTTTGTCTTACCAATGCTACAAGATAGATAAATCCTAAATATCTTATATTAGTCCATTAGGGACAGAAAATTAAAAAGCGGCCATAGAATAAACAAAATATAAACATCTTATGATAGGTGTTAAGAGGGAGATAAATAGGGAATAGAATGGGAAAGGAAACTTTTTAATGAAGTGGTCTAGGAAATAATTATGTTGGGACCTGGAAGAGAAGGAACGAATCTGGTCATGTAAAGAACTTGTGGAATACTTTTCAGCGTAAGCAAGGGAGTGATATGTAGAGAGCAAGAAGCTTGATGAGTTTAAATGAAAGGAATAAGGAGACTGTAGCGGGAGAGGGATAAAAATGAAAAACAAAAGAAATGGCTGCAACTGTACGGAAGCATACACATAAGACATAAGACAAAGAAAATAAAATACAAGAAGGCTAAAGAACAATGAGGGGAAGAAGTCCAGGAGGTAACTAACATAGAATATGTAGGAAAGAGCCTGATGATGTAATCATGTGAGAGTTGAGATTTTATGATCAATGTAACAAACCACATTTTAAATTGACTTATGCAGTATAGATAATAAAAAAATATCTTTAAATGAATGAATAATATATCAGAGGGACCAGCAATATAGCAATATTTGGGAGGCGAGTCTCATAATAATCACAGCAGATTATTAAAGCTGAGAGAAATGGAAATAGCCAGAATTATTTGTAGATTTTTGAAAATCATGACTTATTAACAGATATTGAAAAAAGCAAGTATTTTAGGAAAGGAGAAAATGGGAAACCTTGAGGCAGTTTGTATATGTTATATTGGGGGCTCTGAGTCATTTATTAGAATTAAGTGCACAGTTATATAGGTCAGGATCTTAGAGGACAAGGGATCTAAAATGTGTGATCCATCAGCATATTGATGGGAATTAAAACCATGACCAGATCATTTAGAAAGAATCTGAAAAGAGTTAAAAGAAGTGCCTTAGGATGTAGCCTTGAATACTTGTCATACAAAGAAAGAAAATATTAACATAAGAACCAAGGTAGGATGTAGCTTTACCTATGGAGGAATTTGTTTTAAGAATAAGGGAGAGGCCCTGGCAGGGTGACTCAGTTGGCTGGAACATCGTCCTGTGCACCAAAAGGTTGCAGGTCCCACTTTGGGTCGGGACACATACCCGGGTTTCCGGTGCGACACGTCTCAGGTCCGATCCCGGGTTGGGGCATGTACTGGAGGAAACCGACCCATGTTTCTCCCTCACGTTGATGTGTCTCTCTCTCTTTCTCTCTCTCCCCCTTTTTCCCATTCTAAAATCAATAAACACAGCCTCAGGGGAGGATTTTTAAAACAGAGTAAGGGAAAGGATAGAAGTAAAATGATAAAAGTATCAGCACGGTATTTTAGTCTTCCCCTGATTCTCTGATGAAGTAAAGAATAACACTAGGAAAACAAACAAAAAAGGAAAGACATATTCTTTATTTCCAAAACTGGAATGTGCCAGAGAGAGCAGCATGTGGGGTCAATCTACTGACAAAATAACACCTGCATGAAGGAGGTAGCTGTGTAGGAGGAGAAAACATTAACACAATGAGATCTCGAAAAGTCTCACAGACCTGGGAGCTCAGAAATCACTGACTAACCGACACGCCAAAAAGCTGTCCACCCTGAGGCTGAAATATCAGTAAGCTCATGCCATTACAGGAGCCCAGACTGGCGGGGATATTGCAAATTGCAGGTTATAGCAAAGGGACTGAACATTTCTTAAGATGCTGGTATGGCCTTGGTCTCTGTGCTTTAAAAATCTTATAACTAACAGCTGTCAGGGAGGAAAGGGTGGAGGGAGCTGGATGAAAGAAGATGAAGGAATTAGCTCCAAACATAGATGCATAACCAATAGACACAGACAACAATGTGGTGATGGCCAGATGGGGGGAGGACGGGGGGACAGGGTACAGGCAGGCAAAGCGGGGAAAATGGGGACGTTTGTAATAGTGTCAACAATATAAATAAAGAAAAAGAATCGGTCAGATATAATAATAGTTCACTATGAGTTTTACCATTTATTCCAAATGCTATATCTAAAATATTTACAAGTAACATATTTCTAGAAAAGTACAAATATTTTCAAGTGAAAATTTTCTTTAATAAAAGCAATGTTTTATTAAAAATCTAATAACAGTGAGGACATGTAACACCCAGGTAATATTTTTAAAATATTGTTCCTCAGTAGGACATCCAGGGGCACCTTGGAGAAATGATTGATTCCAAGGCTAAGGCAGAGAAAATAGAAATGAGCCTGGAACACCTTGTGTGAATATGAGGTGTCGCTCAAAGAATATGGAGATTTGTCAAGACACAAAAGCCAGTTTGAAGGGGCTCCCTATAGCCAGATATGTGACCATTTGAACGCCGTAAATAATGATAGTAGTGTATTATAACCCATTTAATATAATATTGTAGAAAGACATGATTCCATAATTATATAAATCGTTAATGAATAAATTGGAAAGTTAGAAATGGGATTTATACACAAAACCAAAGTATTTCCCTCCAAATAATTATTAACTGATAAGGAAATAATGTAATTTTAGAAGGAAGACTGGCAGACATACCTTTCATCAACTAATCAAAGTAATTTCTATCAGTAATAGAACAAATCAAAATCATGTGCCATTTGTTAGGATTCTGTGAAATAAACACAGCAACACTCTTGTGATAATGTTGCATAACCTCAATCTATGAGGAAGCATTTCATAAACCAAAATTACCAAATAATTGACTTGTAATCATAAAACTTTTGAGGTTATGCAATCCAACCAGAAAACCTAAGTAACTAGACTAAGGAGACATGAGAACCAAAAACAATGGTTGGTTCCGAGCTTTATCCTTTTGCTATAAAAGTTACAATAGTGTGCTGAAGGGAAAGTCTGAATGAAATTTTAGGGTTAGGTGTTAACAATGTTTCATTATTTCTGGTTTTAAAGCACCTGTTTTAGGAAAATTTATTTCTATGGAAGAATTATACATTAAAATATTTAGAGTTATCAAAATACTCTGATGACAATTTACTCTTATCTTCTTCAGGAGAAAAGTTATTCTTAGGGCTGTATTTGTATCATTTTCCTAAGTTTGAGATGATTACAAAGTTAAACAAAAACCCATCCAACAGTACACTTAGAGATATAGAAATTTAAAAATAAAAAATAATCTAGGCGTATTTATATTTATATAAATATGTTCATTAAAATATATTTAATGTTGAGATATTTTAATTGATTGTTACCAAGGAACATATATTTCTGATTTTTTCACCAACACAGTCAACTATCTTTTATTCCTTTAGTTTTCCATATAAATATCCCAGTATATTTCATATTCTTAATGATAATTATACTCTATAATAATGATTATAATTATGATGCTGACTAATAATAATAATAAAAATAATGACTAATAGGACGTGGTTAAATAGACCATTTGTGTGCCAAGCACTGTGGTGTTTTAATGTATTCTAACTCATGTCACCTTAAACTTCCTCCACTTGCTAGATTTCTATTATATTACAGTACAGTATAAAAGAACTCGTTTCTTAAGTTTATGAGTTGTATTAAAAATGAAAGCACTCTCCCCTTCTTCTTGGCTTCTCTGTAACTGAAGTTGCACAGAATCAATAGTGTTATATTGAAGAGGGTTACTTTGATAGTGATTTTATTCCATTTATCTGAAGAATATAATTTCATTTTAGACGTTCCCGTGGTGTAAAGTTTTTCAGCAGTTGCAGTGAGGATGAATACAAAGGTATAGTTTCACAGCCAGAATTAAAATGTCTTCAGAATGGAACTGTTTTCAAATTGGCTGCCCAAGGAAGACAAATGACTTGTGGCAATGGGATTTTGGAAACTGGAGAACAATGTGATTGTGGCCGTGTTCAGGTAGGTGACAAACATTGATAGTTTGTCTGAAGATTTGGTTTTTCATTTCCATATAGTGCTATAAATGAAGATGTAATACCAAAGGGGAGGGCTTTTTTTCAAATGCTGCATTATTGTACCAAATATCTAAGATATGGAGACATCGGCCATGTGAGAACTGACTCATCCTGAATTTGAAGCATTTGAAGAATTTAAGTATGGAGTAAGTGTAGCATGGATTCAATAAGACTTTCTTCATTGTGGCACCAATAACGGCAACACTCACTCTTATGTATCATAAACATCTGTATCAGCAATAATATAATCATCATTTAAGTTGTCTCCTGAATCCTTCCCAAGTGACCACGTTGATTCCCTAAGTTATAAAATGTGTTATATACCTTCTCATCTCTTAATTTTAGTCCTTGCATTTGGGGATTTTCATTTACTTTAACTTGGTTGCATAGAATTCAATTAATCATAAGCCATGGTTTATTATTGTTATATTTAGTTTTTGGCTAATATTTTTTTTCCCAGTTGTGCTTGGTAAGATCGCTAATCACTGAATTTTGCTGTGCCTGCTTTCCTATACTTCTGCATGGTGATTTTTTTTTTGGAATGATACATATTTTCTAGAAAAGATAAAAGGCCTCTAATTATTAGGAACAAAATTCTGTATAACTTGACTGCATTGTAATTGTAAGTGAATGACTCAAAATTTCTGCATTTTTATTAATTTTGATTGGCCCCTCAGCACTTGAGAAATAATATTGATACCTCCAATGATTCAGTTGGATTTGCCGGTCTAATTATAATATACTCAATTCATTCTTTATATTTTGAAGCTGTTTTATATGGTGCAAACTTATTTACAATTTTTATACCTTTCTAGAAATTTAACTTTTTACCTTCAAATAGTGAATCTTTTTACCTCTAATGTTGCTTCCTCTTTTAAAGTCTATTTGGTCTGATATGTCTCAATCTCCGTCTCCCTCAATCTCTATCTTCATCTCCATCTCTACCTCTATCATCTCCATCTCTCTCTATCTCTATCATCTCCATCTATCTATCTATCTACCGTCTATATATCTCTATGTGCACAGTCTAGCTTCCTTTCATTTAGCATTTCCCTGATATTTCTGCATTCCCATTTAATTTTTCTATACAATTAACTTCAATATCTACATTGTTTTAATTTATTATTATTTGTATTTGATTTATCAATCATCACCTTAGAAATTATTGTGATTAATATATTTGCATACCTTAAAATAAACTAAAGTCCCTACGTTATTCAGATTTCCTCTGTTTTTACCTAATGGCGTCTTTCTGTCCCAGGATCTTTTCCAAGATACCTTATTATATTGAGCTGTTATGACTCCTTACACTCCTCTAGAATGAATTTCTTATATGTTTAGTTATCTCAAAATTTTTATATTTTCTATGTTCATCTTGTTACACTTGTTTTCTAATTGAGCTTTACCTTATTTATTTTGATCTGTGCTTTTTCTTTTTTCCCATTATTTCTTTTAGTGGTTTACTGGATATGTATATTTTTCCCTTTACTGATCATCTTTTTATTTTTGCCATGCCTATTTAAGGTTTAATTACATCTGGGCTACTCTCTCCAAAATAACAGAGTCTAAAACTCAATTAGCTTACATACAACTTTTGTTAATATTTTATTTCTGTCACCTTTTCATTTTACAACAAAAAGTGCAAGAAGACTTTATTCAGGAAATAGTTGTTTTATGTTTCCTACTATTCCTTTTGTTTTTTAGGGGTTTTTTTGCATACCAAAGATTGTTTCTAAAATAATTTCCTTTGGAATTATATTTTATTCTTAAAATATATCTTAGGACAACAGTTCTCTGGATAAGACAGTCTCCCATCTACCCCCGTTTGGCAATAAATAATTGTCAGTCTCACCATTTCTTTGTAATATGTAATTCACATGAAGTATATGCATGAAATATGGATGAAGAGGGTAATACATAACAAACACCTGAATAATCTGTACTCAAGCCCAAACAAATTTTACTTATGCCAAACAAGTTCTTTGCACATCCTCTCTCAATAACATAGCTCTTCCTTTCAACCATCATTTAGTGGAATTTAATGGTAATTATTTTAGTGCTTTGCTATTCATCATAGTTTCACATCCTATTTTTTTGCATCTTTGTGCAATGGGATCTGGCTGATTGTCTTCTACCTTTGTGTGATTTACAATCATAGGGCTTAAACCATTCTGTAAACTGGTCTTTTACTCAATATTGTAAAGTTCATCATATTTGAACACAGGTATAGTCCAATTGTTTTCATTGTTTGTAGTACTAATTTTATGAATATTATAATTTATCCATTCTGTGTCAATGAAAATTTAAGTTATTTCAGTTTTTGACTATTAAGACTCATGCAGTTATGACTGTTCTTGCACATTTCTGCCCCTGCACATGCGTCTCCCAATATGTGAATGTGCTATTCAAGTGACATATATGTATATTAAACTCTGAATGGAGGATATCTTAATGATTTAGGAGTTTTTACGCTTGAATGATCTTTTCATATCTTTTACACATTTTCATCAGTATTCACTGCTATGCAGTATCATCAGTTTATCATCAACATAGTAGAAGGCTAAGAGGTATGCTGTTTCTCCAGTAAACTAAGTTTCCTTGACCTGAGACAAGTTTTGTAGGGAAGATCGGCAGTGATCTTGCAGTTTAGGTAAAGCAGTAAGTGGGCTGCTTTTGTTTCTTTATTTTACAGATGTACAGTGCCCTGTTTGTGGGGTTTACCAGTGTCAGAGGCCATTCTGTCTATGTGAAACTTTGAAGGGTTACCCCACTCAATTGATTTGCATTGTTTTATAAAGGGCTGTCAATGGAATGGGAATATTGAAACGAAACCTCTTCTTCACTTAATCATGGGATAAAGATTTTTGATTCAAAGTCCAGGCACCAGTGAAAATCAGAGGAAATCCAGTGTGGTGGTGGCAAAATGGAGACAAATGTATTTGAACAATAATAAAAAAAAAAAGAAAGGAAGAAAAGAAATCAGCGGTGTAAGTGGACAGAGATGCCTGCAATTGCATGAGGTCCTAGTTAAATAAGGTGCCCAATGGTAGGGCTCTCTCTCACACTCCCCTATCCTGGACCACTTTTAATGCTTCTCAATGCTGAACTCCATTTACCCTCATTGGAACTTAGTTGATATTTTGGTAACTCAGTATAGTAGGATGTGAAGAATATTATTTGGATGATATAGTCTCTCTTTAGTCATATATTCTTAAAAGGCATGCAGCAAAGTTACCAATTTTCTCAGTGCAGGCCATTATAAAAGTGTCATGGTGATAGCAGACTACCTATACACGCAATGGTATTTTGCTTTTGCAAGAATTTGTATAATTCAGAGACCACACATCACTGTGGGAGACCAGAAGAAAAGAAGTGGTGTGCTAAGCCATGCCTGATGAAATTAAATTGAGTTTTGCCAACTTCCCTTAATTGTATAAAAACATACTAGCAGTACCTTACATTTTATATCAAAAGCTATTAGTGGGAAACATATTATAATTGTCTTTCATTTGTCAGTCATTGTGGAAAAATGGTTTCACTTCTTGTTTAAATCGCAACAGTATAATGCAAGGCTCTAATTACCCATGACTTTTCTTTTGCCAGGCAGTAATTATTTTTTTCTGGTATGCAAAATTTTGTACACTTGAAATGCTTTAGGAGCATAGTCAGTTCTTGGTATATTCAATTCTTGTAGAAGACACTGGCATGCAACATCTCTGAGAACCAAGAACAAAGTTATCATATAGTGAAGACTAAGAGAACACATGAAAGGCATGAAAAGCAAACTAATAGCTAGGTTTCCACTGTTTAATAGGCTTAAACATACACATTTGCAGAATATATCACTGGGCCACAAAGTCCCAAGACCCAAACGTAAGACCTGAAACAATAAATTACACAGAAGAAAACATAAGTACTAAACTTGTGAACCTTGGTCTTAGAGAGGATTTTAAAATTCAACCTCAAGTTGAGGAAAGTAAAGGCAAAAATAAATGAATTGGACAGTATCAAAGGAAAGAGCTCTGCGCAGCAAAGAGACCACCAACAAAACAAAAAGGCAACCAACCAAATGGGAGAAGATACTTGCAAAGAACAGCTTCAACAAGGGGTTAATATCCAAAATATGTAAAGAACTCATACAATTCAACATCAGACAAACAAATAATCCGATTTAAAAATGGGCAGAGGACCTGAACAGACACTTTCCCAAGAAAGTGTACAAATGGCCAACCCAACACCAAGGGTGATGCGTGGCAAACTCTAGGAGACTATGGGGTGGGCTGCGGGGAGGGATTCCCGGCTTCCTTTCTCTGTCGGGACTGCCAACGGCCTGACGGCTGTGGACACCCTTCCCTGCTGGGTCCTGGCCCAGTCCCCTGGGCTCAGGCTCAGCTCATGTGCTCACTCCTGCGGTAACACCCGCGGTTTCTATTTTTATTTTTCTAAACGTTTAGATTTGTTTTTATTAGTGTAGTGATTAGGCAGACCTGTAGAAAATGGGCAATTTCCAATTTCTTAGAGATCTAAATATGCTTTTTAAAAAATTGTTGTTCAATTGCAGTTGTCTCCATTCCCCCCCCCCCCGCCATTACTTTCCCCTGCTCCACCCACCCCCACCTCTCACATTCAACCACACCCCTCTTCCCCCACCCCCGCCAGCGTTGTTTTGGTCCATGGGTCCTTCATACTTGTTCCTTGAGGACCCTTCCCCTTCCTACCGTTGCTCCTCCTGACTGAGGGGCGTGGCAGCCACGACCAGTTTCCTCCCATCTCCGGCTGAGCCCTGCACGAGCTTCCCACTGCAGCCTGTGTCCGTGGCTCTTAGCCCTTCTCTCATCTCGCCCTTCTCGTTTGTTTTCACCTGCCCACCTTTAGATGTTTCAGTGTATGGACCTCTAAGGCATGTCTGTGCGTTGAGCAGAGAATCCTTTGCTGAGTTCTAGCTATTTAAATGGCTGAAACTTCAAGGGCTGAGGCCAAGGGGATCTCTTATGCCGCCATTCTTGGAATGTCACTCCTTCATGTAACCTATTTTTATACATGCTATAAGGATATCACCTTAAACAATCATAATTTACTAAAGGCTGTCCTCCCCTCACTGCTAGGAAGCAGTCAGTCTTGGTCATCGGCCATGTAAACATTTGTGAGTTTTTCTACTTTTATGCCGCTATCTTAATTATTGAGGATTTCTATTAATTCATGGAATATGATATTATATATCCTCCAGCATTGTTGTTCCAGTTCATGATTATCTTGGGTAATTTTGGCCCTTTGCATTTTCATAAGAATAGCTGATTTGTTTTTGCATTTCTGCCAACAAAGAGCTAGAAGACATTGGATTGAACTTTTAAATAGAATTAGAAGTTAGATAAAATGGAGGTATTTTCTTCCATTTTTTATTTCTTTTAATTTCTCTCAAAAGTATTTCCTAGTATTCAGTATAAAGGTCTCTCACTGATAAACTTTTAGATTTTTATTGCTATGTTTTTAAATTTTTTATTGTAGTTTAAATCATACATTTAAAAATTTGGTCTTATTACTCAGATTTTGAAGTACACTAGATATTTTTATGTGGAATTTTTACAGCAGTCCTGTAGAATTCAGTTATTAATGCCAGTGGTGTTTCCTTAGACCAATGTTATCTGTTAGAAATATAAAGTGAATCGCATGTGTATTTTATATTTTCAAGTAGCTACATTTATAAAGTAAAAAGAAAGAGGTGAGATTAATTTATACATTTTGACTTAATATATCCAATATAGATTTATTTCAACATGTATTCTATATAAAGTTATTGCTGAGTATTTTTATTTTTTATATTTATATGTTTATATGCATACACACATATTTACATTATATGACTAAAGATAGAAAGAGAGAGATATCACAGGAATTGGTTTACCCAATAATGGAGGCTTTGTCACGGAGCTTAACAAATTCTCACCAAGCCGAGGAGTCAGACAAACTGAAGGAAGATCCAGGAGGAAGGAAGAGCAATTGCAGACCCAACTGTTCCTTCGCTCCTTTGAGACAAGTCAGCAGATCGACAACTTTAAGTTAACACTGTAATGAGCTTTGATTTTATGGATGCTGGGATGGCGTGCATGTACTTTGCTTAGGAGGTGAATGTGATGAATCTTTGGTGATCAGATGGTGAAATGTGCAAGAATAAATCCTAAAGTTTCCCATGTCCTAATACTCATAACTTGTCAATGTGTTACTTTACATGGCAAAAAGGGCTTTGATGATATACTCAATTTAAGGACCTTGAGAGGGAGATGTATCCTATATTATCTGAGTGGGCCCAATGAAATCCCAGGGATCCTTAGAGGGACGGAGGCAGGATAGTCAAAGGCCATGTGACAATGATATTTGAAGATGTTATTCTGCTGGTTTTGAAGATGGAGAAAGAATCCATGAGCCAAAGAATGCAGATGGCCTCTAGAAGCTGGAAAGTCAGGGATACAGATTTTCTCTGTAGCTTCCAGGAGAAATGAATAACTTAGAAAATCTTCATTTTTAGTCCAATGAGGCCTCTCTTGCTCTTTTGACCTTCAGAACTGTAAAAAAACAAACAAAAAAACCCAAACAAACCCCAAAAACATGTATGCAGTTTTAAGCTACTAAGTTTTTATTAATTTTTTATAGCAGAAATAGGAAAATTAATATAATGCTCAATCAAGTTAGAATTCCTTACGATGAACAAATTTCTCGAATGGTTTTAAAGATACCCTGCCAAACAGATTGCAGTTCTTTGAAGAAAACAATTTTGCTCTCACAGCACAGGTAGATCCAACACATTGGTCATTTGGGCAAAATAATTTCCATCAAGACATTTGTAGAAACCTCAGCAGCATTTGTCTGGTATGAGGTCAAGATACACGTCTTAACAGACCAGAAGTAGGGATTGTCAATGTGAGAAAGGTGTAAGTACACAAAGGAACACTGTAGGAGAGAACCAATGTTCTGAAGGAATGTTCAAAGGAGCTGCTAACGATGTTCATCAAGTGGGTCAGTGGTATGATAGATCTAACAATCAGAGTAGAAGCTTTAGGCCTGAGGAAAATTGGAACCATATCAATATTCAAAAGTTTATCTGGGACAAAAGCTGTCTACCACATTTAAGTCAACAAATCTGATTCAGTTTTCCTGAGAGAATGGGTATCCGGTCCTTAGGTTAAGGGCGGTGGTGATAATCTGGAATAAGATCACCAAAGCATTCTGAGTTATATTCATTTGTATCGTTTTTCTTATGGTTAGTTGAGTTTTTGCATTGTATATTATTATTATTATTATACAAACACTTACAAACAAGGGAAATAAAGAGAATACTGCAACCAAAATTTATGTATGGAAATATAAAATAAACCAGAATGTGCATATATGTTAAATTTTCAACTCCTTTTTAATGAAAATAATAAATTGAAACAGACATAAATGCTTAATTATTTTCTCTATAAACTTGAGTAACTTTTAAATATCACTGTCAGTCTAGTAAAACATCATTCTTGCACTGCATAGACAACTGTATAAAAATAAGTATAGTGTTATAAAGTATAGTTACGATATCTGTACTCCATGACTCCAATAACATTTTGAATTAATTTTTAATATAAACTTCTAGAGCTAAAAAACAATGACAATTTTTGAAACATTATTTATGATACTAAAATATTATAATTTAGAAACTTTTACATTGTTACAATCATAAATTGTTATATATTCCCCAAATTATTTTTTTAGGCTTGATAATATGGAAAAGTACTTGTGATGTATTCAATGAAAAAAAAAAATCTCAAAATTCATTGTGCAAATGTTTGCAAAAGCAGAGAGAATTGAAAGGAACTGCACTAAATTAACAGCTCAATTTCCTGAGCATTAAATCATGAATAATTTAGTACCATTATATTCTATACTGAAAATATGTTAAATTTAAATGAAGCAATGTTACAAATAAATACAGATGTAAAAATTATACTGTAATTGTAATTAACTTAGAGACAAACTTTAGTATATTTTGACAAAATTATTTATTTGATTAAAAATTCCTATTATTTAACTTGATTGTATTTGCTTTTAGACATGCGCCTTTAAGAAGTGCTGTAATCCTGCAACTTGTGTACTGATTGGATATGCAGAATGTGGCAGTGGACCATGCTGTGACAAAAATACTTGCCTGGTAAACTTTCAAAGTACAACATTATTTTCCTTCATGGATCTCTTTGTGTACTTGTGAATTCTTCGTATTTTAACTTTAAAAAGACTTGTTTTTACACATCTTTCGAGTATGTTTTTTACGTACTCAATTCATACACAGTTGGTTTAGAATTTAGATGATGTCCTTAGTTCTTTTTCTACTGCTTTTAAGCTCCATCAGTCACTGTTTTGTTTCAGTTTCTACTCAAGACCCATCCAGTTATTACATTCAATACCAATTCCAGATTTTTTGGATGCTATCAGTTCCTCTTGGTCATGCCTGAATAAAGCTCTTTATCATGAAACATCTTATGACAAAATTATAAATGAGCTATCCAACACACACTTGACATGCAATGCACAAATAAATGACAGCAATTTTTTAAAAGCTCCTTTTGAAAGTAACAGAAAAGGAATTCATGTAGAAGAGTAAGCAATATGTAGCATATAAAATAATGAAGTTTAGTTTGACAAGGACTTCTAGCCTAGAAGTGGATTGAATCTTTGACTTCCCTTGGGGAGTTTTTCATTCAGGTTTCCTCTATAGCCACATCTGAGAGGAGATTGGTTAGAATTTGTCTTCTGGGGAGTGCATTATTATAGCCTCTCATTTTGTGTCACTTTCAGGAATCTATGACAAGTATAAGAGCTGATTAATGAGAGATTTTGCTTGTCAGATTTATTTTTCCTCTGTCAATGAACTCTCTCCCAATATAATTCTACTTTGTTCTGTATGTGTTCTTTATTACCCTGTGGATTAGTAATTAGAGCCAATGATCACCTGTTTTCAAAGTACATGAAAGCAGAGGTCAGGTTAGCATTTCTATTTTTTAGCAATAAATCTTGTTGCTTTTTCCTTCATCAGAGCCCTCATTTTGACCTTTGTCTCCAAAGCAGTGGGACTGAGCCACTGAGATGTGTCTAAACAGTACATTGCCCTTTACCTGTATCCCAAAGATAGTTCTTTAACATGGAGATAATCACTACATTGGGTTGAGTGAAAGTTCACAGTACAAGTTGCTAAGGAGGGCTTCAGGGCAACAGCTAAGTATACTATGTGAGATTACATTAACATAAACACAAAATATCTGACACCAAGCTACGCATATTTGTTTTTCAACTGCTGATTCTTGGGGACTAATTGCACTCCTGAAATGCTGTACTAACTCAGGTGCTAGTCTTTAACGTATTTCTAAAATACTGCTTCACGGACATCTTTTTCATTTCAGGTAATTTTTCTTTCACCTCTACCATGAGGGGGTTATAAATCATGAATCTGCTTCTGACTCAGGATGATAATCAGAAGACTTCTCCCTACACACAGTGAATGGAACAGTGGTGGGAAGTTTAACTCGGCCGGGTCCGTCATGGTTTCCTCCACTACTGTGCACTGAGGCAGATGCTGGGAAAGAAAGGATCTCTCTGCTCTTCTCAAGTGTTGCTCTAGGGACTAGAAAAGTCAGGCGGTGCAATGAGCTATCTGAACTATACACGGAGGAACTTTGTTTGAGACCTGTCAACAAAAATGCAAAGATATTCAATAGATGCATAGAATAAGGATTTTCTTTTTTCTGTTTTAAATGAAGATTCACCTGCGTATGAAGTTAGATTCATCTTTTACTAAAGCTTCATACGTGTTTGTTTGTTCTCCTTTGCTTGGCCATTGTCAAGATGCAAGCCCTTAAACAGCATGAGCGGACCTAGAGATTATTATGCTAAGTAAGATAAGCCAGTCAGGGAAATACAAATAGCATATGACTTCACTTACGCATGGAATCTAGTAAACAAATTAAAAAACAAACAAAATAGAAACAGACTCATGAAAACAAAGAACAGATTGGCAGCTGTCAGAGGGGAGAGGTCTAGGGGCCTGGGTGGAAAAGGTGAAGGGATTAGGCAGTACAAAGTGGTAGTTGCAGAGTAGCCCCAGAGAAGCGGTTTGCAGCATGGGGAATATGGTCAATAATATCGAGGTGAATGGCTGTGGAGACAGATGGATACTTGCGGCAGCAGCGTGACTGACGACTCATTAGGATGCGTGGTTGTTTGGCCACTTTCCTATACATCTGAAACTGGTTTGGAACGGTAGAGAATGTAAACTGTGGCTGAAAAAATTAAGAATAAAATAAAGACTGAAGGGGTAAGTGTGGGCTATCATTTATTTTCTTTATAAAACCAATTCCAGAGAATTTTGATATTTTAATTTTAACCACTATTGAGAAAAGAGAACATTTCCATTTATTTTTCTGAAAAGAAAGTCATGTAATGTCAAATGATATTTTAGTCTCTTGGTATTTTAATAACAAAAGCCTTATATCTAGAAGTTTTCACCTTTGTTGTCCCACTATGCCATTAAAATTAGAGCATCTCTAAGCTATGAAGTAAAAATAATATTGGGAACTAGCTTTACTTCAAATTCCTAGTAGGCTTGAGATAAAATCATGCAGTTAGAACTATCATATCTTTAACTATTTTTTACATATAAGTGTATGTATTAATAAATGAATAATAAACATCATTTTGCACAAAGTCAAAAAGACACAACTGACCAATACATAATTGGTATTATATAGTACCAATTACAATTTTTTAAAGGTTTTATTTATTTATTTTCAGAGAGAGGGGAGGGGAGAGAGAAAGAGAGAAACATCAAGGAGCGACAAAATCATGGATTGGTTGCCTCTCGCATGCCCCCATCTGGGGCCCTGGCCTGAAACCCTGGCATGTGCTTTGCCTGGGAATCAAACCAGCAACCACTCAGTTTGCAGGCCGGTGCTCAATCCACTGAGTCACCAGCCAGGGCCCAATTACAATTTTTTTAAAGACTTTATTTATTTATTTTTAGAAATGGGGAGGGAAGAAGACAGCGGAGAGAAGCATCAATGTGTGGTTGACTCTTACACACCCCCAACTAGGGACCTGGCCCACAACCCAGGCATGTGCCCTAACTGGGAATCAAACTGGGAACCCTTTGGTTCACAGGCCAGTGCTCAGTCCACTGAGCCATACAAGCCAGGGCCCCAGTTACAATCTTTTGAAGCACATAGAGAAATGTCTGAATACTAGTTAGAAACAAGTTACTCAGTTATGTTTCAGCAAAACACTGGTTAAACTATTCTCTTTCATATCTTCACATTTGGAATTGAGTCTATCTAAAGTGAAATGTTATTTTTAAAATATTGGATCAAATTGTTAAATTTTGGAAAAGCGTTGGTGGAAGCCAGCCTCACTGAAAGCAGACAGAGAAGAAAATAGGAAGCCGTTTGCTTTTGGCCAATAATGAAAGACAGTAGCCTGTAAGATAACTACCTGTCAGCCTTAAATGACAGCAAAAGCCAAATTCTATGCTATAACCCATAATATAACACAAAATAATAGGAAAACAAACAAACACATATGAAGCTTTAGTAAAAGATGAATCTAACTTCATACTCAGGTGAATCTTCATTTAAAACAGAAAAAAGAAAATCCTTATTCTATGCATCTATTGAATATCTTTGCATTTTTGTTGACAGGTCTCAAACAAAGTTCCTCCGTGTATAGTTCAGATAGCTCATTGCACCGCCTGACTTTTCTAGTCCCTAGAGCAACACTTGAGAAGAGCAGAGAGATCCTTTCTTTCCCAGCATCTGCCTCAGTGCACAGTAGTGGAGGAAACCATGACGGACCCGGCCGAGTTAAACTTCCCACCACTGTTCCATTCACTGTGTGTAGGGAGAAGTCTTCTGATTATCATCCTGAGTCAGAAGCAGATTCATGATTTATAACCCCCCTCATGGTAGAGGTGAAAGAAAAATTACCTGAAATGAAAAAGATGTCCGTGAAGCAGTATTTTAGAAATACGTTAAAGACTAGCACCTGAGTTAGTACAGCATTTCAGGAGTGCAATTAGTCCCCAAGAATCAGCAGTTGAAAAACAAATATGCGTAGCTTGGTATCAGATATTTTGTGTTTATCTCAAAACAATTATTTAGCATAACCACAGCATTGTAACTATGAGAGCTTTCATTAAAGCCTTTTTAAAAAATGGAGGTAAAAGTCACATAAGGCAAAACTAGCTATTTTCAAGTGAAAAATTCAGTGACATCTAGTACATTCACAATGTTGGCAGCTGCCGCCTCTATCTGGCTCCAAAACAAACTCGTCATCCAGACAGAAAACCCCTCACCCATTAAGCACTTGCCCTCCTTTTCTCCTTCCTGTCACGTCTCCAGCAGCCACCAATCTGCATTCTGTCTTCATGGGTTTACTTATTCTGGATATTTCATGTCAGTAGAGCCATGCAATATGTGACCTCGGTGACAGGCTTTATTTAATGTAGTGTTTTCAAAGTTTATTCACTTTTAGCATATCTTAGACTTCCGTTTCTATATATGGCTGAAAATATTTCATTGCGTGTATATACCACAATTTATCTATTCATTCATTGATGGACATTTGGGTTCTTTCCAATCTGTTTCTCTAGAACTTTTAAGTAAATTTATAATTATCTTTAAGTAGTTAAAATGTAATAGAATCCAAATGATAATTACCAACACAATACTCTTATTTGATCATTTTACATTTTAGGTTTACAACTTAAAAAATATTTGTTTCAGACAGACCAAAAAAGAAATCAGCAGCATGCTTTGTCTCAAACAGTTAGGTGCAATCATGAAACCTGAGCAACAGCCTTGGGAAAAACTTCATCCTAGAACCTCTACTTTGGTAACAGCGCCCCCTTACTCTGTCAGTGAAAACCACGTTCAGTTTCCCATTGTTCTCACCTGGGAAGTTACTAGGAGCCATGAGAGAGCCGAATGCTATTTTAAAGGCACTGTAATGTTTTCTGATGAAAGAACAGATGCTAACTTATGGGTTTAACATTTACCCATCTTTCAGAAAATGACATACATACTTGCCTGCGAATTTCACGTTGGGTGTGAGTGCATGATGGATGCCATTATGTCCACGTTCACTTAAATTTCATACTAGTAAATTATATATTTTATATATATTTTATATATATTCAGATAGTAAATTATTTCAAAAGAAGGGTGCCGTGCTCCGTGGATAACATGCACGGTGGCTGTGCTTAATGTTAATAGCATCAGTCAGGAATCTGAGTTGTACCACTCCAGTACTGAACTAATATGTGATCTTTGACAAGTCATTTAATCTCTCATCATTCTTAACTATAACGATCGTTTATCTAAATTATCACAGCAGATAATAATATCTTGCTTGGAGGAGTGTGATAAGACTTTATTGTAGTGAGAAGCACTTTAAGGTCATTGGATACAGTGTATAACAAAAATATATATTTGTTTCTCTTTTTCTCACAGATACGTGAAAGAGGACATATATGTCGGAGAAGCATCGATCCATGTGATTTTACAGAATTTTGCAATGGATTATCTGAGTTTTGTATGCCAGATATGAAATCTGCTGATTTAGAAACATGCAATAATAAAACCGCCTACTGCTTTAGTGGAATATGCCAAGATATGGATAAACAGTGTGCGCAGGCTTTTGGAAAATGTAATAACTGTATGTTTTTTTCTGGGGTTCATTTTTAAACTGTACTTTTCTAAAGTCAGTAATCTACCCTATAAGCCACACTAAAAGGTATTGTTTATTTAAATCCAAATTTGAAAATGAGATTGCAAATCAAAGCACTTTGAATTATGTTGAGGCAAAATAGGCTTTATAATTGTAGGACAGAGAATAGAACATTAGTCAAATCAGGTGACAGGTGCAAAGGAAATAGATTGCTAGAATTGTAGATAAAAGAACAAATGACTGTTTGATTTCTTAATCATTTCTGCATGTCAATACCAATTTTTCTCTTCCCAAATTGGTAGTTTTTAGGGAGTGTTTCTCCTTCTTGAATAGCCAGTAGATGACGTCAAAACTTTGTAGCAGATGACGCTGACTGAGCATTGCTGCTGTCTAAATATCTCTATATTAATTTACCACACTTTTAGTTTTGCTTTTTTTAAGATGAATAATTTGAACTTCATGTTTTCAGATGCTAAAGGTGCTGATTTTCTATGTTTACAAGAAGTGAATATTCAGAATGATTTGTTTGGAGATTGTAGACACAGGCGGTGTTCTTATATGTATGTATTTAGAAAACTCTCTATTTCCCAAATGCATGTGTGATTTGTGTGTATGTTTTCTGCAATGAGTCACTTCATTCAAATGAGAGGTGAATATAATACATACAGAGGAATTTATATGTTGTACTTCATAATGGTGCATGTTTTGAATAGCATTGCTGTTATGGTCTGAGCAACATTTTGAATTATCCTCGTATTTTGAACTGTTATTTACCTAATACATTGTGTCATGAATTGACATATGGGAAATTTTCTCTGTTTTATATTGCCAGGGATACCATTTGTGGAAAGTTAGTTTGTCACTGGACACATACAAGTCTCTCAATACCAACTTCAGGTTATGATATTCAATATACTTACTACGGAGGCCATGTATGTATGTCAGGAAATCTCAGACATGGTGCAAAAATTAAAAACCTCTTTGTAAGAGATGGCACTATGTGCGACGAAAATCGAGTAAATACAAATTTTACTTAATTCTATATATGTAGTATGTGCGTGTCTCTGTGTGTGTGCACAAGAGAGAGATTCAAATGTCAAGATTTCTGTTATTCAAAGGAACACTTGCTTTCCTATCATTTTTATTATAAACTTTGCTATAGATATTTAAACTTGTTTTCTCATACTTGAGAATCTAAGCCTCTTCATTAGGCTAGGATTTGGTCTGCTATAATTTGTAAAAATTTGTGAAAAAAATCAAATAACACTAAAAAGGTAGAATAGAACAATCTGAATAATAAGAACAATGACATCAAATAAACAAAAACAAAACCAAAAAATCCCCAAGTATTTAGTCTTGTAGTAATTGATAAGAACTAATTTGGCTATAACAAAAGTAAAACATTTATTTGCTTATCAGCCTATTCTCCTAATTCTTTCTCCAAAAGCATAATGTACTTGTTAAAAGTTTGGCCCTCCCACAAAGCACAATAATGAAACAGGTGTAAGTTTTATTTAATTTCTTTTTCTAAGTTTGGAAACATAATATACAATCGATTTTTAAACTATTACCACCAAAAGTAGTTGACTAAAAATGTGCATAATTAACTTATATTTTAATTAAAATAATTTATATTGAGAAACAGTATTTTAAGAAATAAGAAAAATAAGAAAAAAAGTGAGTGAACTTCTTTTAGAATGGAAAAGGTATCTTCAAATTAAAAATAATAATCACAAAGAAACATATTGGTACTGACTACATTGTCAACAAAAGAATGTTTAGCCTAGTAAAAAAATCTTAAAAGAATTTATTTGAGCCAAACTGACAACTCCTGGGAAGTAAAGATCTCAATGGATTGAGAAAATGCTCCGGAGAATAGTAGTTTTACTGCTTATTTTATACATGAGAGTCAAAGGAGGAGTTGTAGGGGTGGTTACATAAAATCCATTGCTGGTCGATTAGGGAGGCTGGAAAAGGCAAAGCTGGGAAATCTCTGGCCTGGAAATTATTGTGCTAAGTGAAATAAGCCAGTTGGTGAAAGACAAATACCATATGATCTCACCTATAGGGGGAGTCTAATGAACAAAATAAACTAATGAACAAGCTAGAACCACAGGCACGGAAACATGGAAGAGACAGAAGGGGACCAGAAGAGGGGGAGGGTGAGGGAGACAATAGGGGATAGAAGGGGGAAGGAGTAGATGTAGAACATTTATAAATGGACAACAATGTGGCAATCGACTGTAGGAGCAGGGGGTAAGGGTGGGATGGGCGGAGGAGGGCAAAGGGGGGAAAATTGGGGCAATTGTAATAGAATAACAGTAAAAATGATTTAATAAAAAAAGAAAATTAGGTTAAACAAATAAATAAAGTAAATCTTGTATTTAGTGAGGGTTTACTATGTGTCAAACACTGCTTTTGTTTCTTCATATGTAACAAATTATTTAATCCTCATAAACTATATGTATACTTTTTAATCACTTGGGTATAATTACCATTTCAAATTCTAACCTGGATAAACTGAGGTATGGAGGAATAAATAACTTGCTCAAAGTCACATTGCTAATGTAAAAGATTAGAGATATTGTTACTAGAGTTTGAAAAAGTGTAAAAATGAAAAGGATGCTAGAATTTCACGTTGACCATTAGGCTGTGAGTAAAATAATTCTTGCACTGAATATTGACCCAGTTAATAACTCGTCGTGTGGCCTTAAAAGTGCAAAGTGAATCCTTAGCAAATATAAATAAGGATAAAAACATCTCTTTCACAGGGTCAGTATGAATATACCAATGTATTATGAAAATGCATAGAAGTGCTGAGATACAGCCTAGCAAATGATCAGTACAAGCTGGCTGTTTTCATTTTCATGCTGGTGGACATCAATTAACTCACAGCTCTGCTCCCTCAAGGAAAAAACAGTATCTGATTTTCAATATTTCATTTTGGTAAAATAAGTTGTTTTATTAAATGAATAGATGTCATAAAGTCCAGATTCATCTGCTTTTATACACAAGGGTGGGCAAAAGTAAGTTTACAGTTGTGAGTATGGGAAACAGAGTAGACTACAAGAATCTGTAAACAATGTAAATAATCATAACCTGCAGGTCTTTTTTCATACAAACTACTATAAACCTACGTTTGCCCACAGCACATACAAAGTGTGTACATCTGTTTTGCACTAAGAACAAAAGAACAATTACACATTACATTTCATCTCTTTACATTTCATGTGTTTTATTGTTGTTGTTTGTTTTTAAAATTGTAGTTTTGTCAACGAAGTTATTGCAGACCTGTCGGTGAATATAACAGAACAATAACGTGTAATGCAATAACCAAATGCAATGGACATGGGGTATGTAATGATTACTCTATTTTTATGCATAGTTTTTTAAAAAATTCATATCAGTAACATTTCCAAGATAGTAAGGTTCAGAATTATTTGATGTGGAAATTTGCAGTCAAATAAGGAAAGCAGTTTCCATTATTCATAGACAGGTACATGAATTATGTGTTCAATCAGATTGTTATAGCCCTTATTAGTTATAAACTTTGAATTTTGTACAAAATGCAATATAAAGCATAATGTTTTATTATAACATTAGATCAAGATTGTGAAATTTGGGGAATTGATTTATTAAAGGTTATACATACACATTTATACACATAAAAATTATTTATAATTGACTATGTTTAGTTATATATTTAAATATACAAAACATATTTAATGACATATATTACTTATAGTCTAATGTTCTTGTGAGAGCAGATTTTTTTTGTCTATTCTGATCCATTTCACCCTTCAATGGCTTCAATTTGTGGCCTGTATGTCTGTTCCACACGGTATTTGAAGTCATTCACAAATGGACTATGGTATAATGTCAATTTTTACTTACCTATTATAAATAGTGGTGCAATGGACATTGTTGTGGATTCATCTTTTCATATTTATATGGTTTCTTAAATTGTTAGCAATAAAATCTGATGGACCAAATGTATGCACTGTTAAAATTTTCAGTAATATTATATTGTCTTCAAGAAAGAGTATACCAGGTTTACCCCCACTTATCATGTGTGAAAAGGTGCATTTCCTCAAACTCTGGCCTGACGAGTTTCTCAGTTTTTTAATCTCTTCTAACGTGCTAAATCCATTGTTTATTTGCATTTATTTAATAATTAATGATAACAGTTTTTAAGTATGCATGTATGGTCATATTTGCCATTTACATTTCTATTTGTCTTTCCATTGTGAAATTATCTACTGGGTTACAGAAATGTTGCAAACTTTGAAGGTTTCCAAGTGTGCCTTTGGCTTTCATGTTTTAGCTAGTGTCCTTTGCCATATGGATACTTCATATACTATATAGCAATCCAGAAAAAAAGTGATATGTCTGTGTCTTGATTCAAAATTTCCTCCCACATCATTAAAATGTCCTATTCTTTACAGTTTATTTTCTGTTTTTTTCTTCTTTATTTAATTTTGCATGAACCTATTTCTAGATTCTCTATTCTGCTTCTGACCCCTCTTTCAATTCATTTACCAGATCACATTTATAGATATTTTTTAAAAATATTATTTTTTCTTTATCCTCACCTGAGGATTTTTTTTTTCATTGCTTTTAGAGAGACGGGAAGGGAGAGAAAGAAACATTAATGTGAGAGAGAAATTTCAATTGACTGTCACCCATTTATGCTCTGATTGGGGCTTGAACCCATGACCCAGGTATGTGCCCTGACTAGGAATCAAACCCTCAACCTTTTGGTTATGGAATGACGCTCCAACTACCTGAGCCACACCAGCCAGGGCACATATATAGTTATTTTATAGGCTTCTTATTTTCCAGCAAAATAAATTTTGCAATCTGTTTCTGTTTAAGCAAGTCCTTCCTTTAATCCACCCCCTGCCCCAATTATTTAAAGGTTGGCTCTTGTCATAGCTAGCTTTCTATCTACCACAATTCATAATACATTTAAACTCCTACAGTTTTATAATTTATGGCCTCATAATTTCTATGCTTTCTAGAATAAGCTATTTCAGCTGTATCAATAATGTTATCTACTTTAATTTAATACAAGAGACAACAGGAAATCTCAGTGACATTTGAAAAGATGTTGCATGGACATTTATTTTATCAAATTTTATTTTAAGAATTATTTTCTGCATTAAAATAAACACTACCTATAACATACTAAATTCTAATACCTTAATGATGTACATTGACTAACAATGACAAAGTGTATGTACTTCTTTATTGCATATGTAATGTTCTCAGTTTTCATTTGGATTTGGTTGGAGGTTTGTAATTCTAGAGGCAACTGTCATTGTGATGCTGGATATGCTCCTCCTTCTTGTGATCCATCAGTGTCATCCCCAGGAGGAAGTATCGATGATGGGTTTTGGATTTTATCTGAAGGTTAGTATCTAGATCAGTGTGCTCCAATAAGACTTTTCTGCACTTCTAGAAATGGTCTACATCTCCACTTTTGATGTGGTTCTTGAGCACCTGGTGTGCGGATAGTGCAACTAAGGAACTAAAATGTTCATTTTATTTTACTGTGTTTAATTTAAATTTAAAAACCACTTGTGGCTAGTGGCTATTATATTAAACAGTTCAGCTCTAAGTCATATTGTCAATCAAAATTTTGTATACACTTTTAATTCAAATCCAGAAGTGAACATTTTAATAGGCTTCCCCTTAATTTTAACCATGGTTCCCCAAATATTCCTATTTATTCAGCAGAGTTTTCTAGATTAGTGTTATTAAATTATAGAATGGGTGATAGTTTTATGATATAATTTATATTCCAAGGATGTTATCTATTGTGATGTTCTAGTTTGTAACCAAGTTACATTCTTAAAGTTAACCATGCTATAGAAAGGTAAAAATAATAAAATCTTTCATACCCATAGCATATACATAGCAGGTGGTAAAAAACATTTTTGCAATTTTTTGAACATTCAGGAACAAGTGTAGTATTTTTCTAAACTTCACAATGTAAAAATCTCACAACAGTTTAATTGTATTATTGTCCTTCCATTATTGATACTTTTGTTGTTTTATATTTTCTTTATATATTATGTTGTACCTGACAGTATATTATTATTTTCCATAAATGGATAATAGATAATACATTTTTTAATGTAATTATTTACATATGCCCACTTATTTACTGTTTTGTAGGACTTTTCAGCTCTTTTGACACATTCAAATTTCCATATGGGTCTTTTTAGCCTGAAAAACTTCCTCAAATATATATATTTGTGTATATATATATCCTGTGGTGACCATATGTCTCACTCTTAGTTTTTCTTGAAAACATTCTTGTAATGTTTTAATTTGTGAAGAGCGTTTTTCACTGGAAGCATATTTCTACATTGAGAATTATTTCTCTCAGCAGTTCACCGATGTAATCACATTGTATGCAGACTTTCATTTTCTGATGAAAATACAGCTGTCATTATTCATCTCAATAATATAGTGATTCTTTTATTTTTTGTCTGAGTTTCAGACTTATATTTTGGATTTTTCAGTTTCACTATGGTTTACCAAGATGTGTTTTTCTTTGAATTTATCTTGCTTGAGTTGGCTGAGATTCTTGAATCTATAGGTTGATGTATTCTGAAAATTTTGGGGAAGAAAAACAACCATTGTCTTTTTAAAAAAATTTATTGGCTTTTGAAAGTTTATACACATTAGCATATTCACTCTGTGGTATACAGTTCTATGGGTACAGAAAAAAACTTATCATACTTTTGTTCCCATCAACTATGGTCATGATACACAAGAGATCTATCACCCCAAATCCTCCTTCTGGCTTCCCCTTCACATTCAATTCCTACTAATTCCTAAAAAGGAATTATGTGTTCTCTGTCCCGAAAGATTTTCCTTTTCAGGATGTCATATACAGAGACTTCCAGCCAAGATGGAGGTGTAGGTAAATACACTTTGCCTCCTTGCACAATCAAAAGAGACAACAACAAATTAGAAACAAAAAATAACCAGAACTTCCAGAAAATCGAACTGTACAGAATCCTGACAGCCAAGGAGCTAAAGAAGAAACATTCATCCAGATTTGCAGCTGGGGCATAGAGGACATGTGGCAAGGTGGCGGCAGGAGGACCCAGCAGATGAGGTAACACTTGGCTGACTAGGTAGTGCCACGTTTGCATGTGGATGAACTGGAGAAACAGCCCGGGAACGAGACAGACTGCGCAACCCAGGGTGCCAGTGCAAGAAAAGAAAGCCTCAAAACCTCTGGATGTAAAAAACTTGTGGGGATTGCGGAGACAGGAGAAACTCCTAGCCTCACAAGAGAGCTCGTTGGAGAGACCCATGGGGTCCTAGAAGGTACACAAACCCACCCACCCGGGAATCAGCATTAGAAGGGCCAATTTGCTTGTGGGTAGCAGAGAAAGTGACTGAAAGCTGGCAGAGCAAGGGCCATTGTTCCCCCTCAGACCCCTCCCCAACACACAGCGTCACAAGGCAGCCACCTGGATTGCCCTGCCCTTGTGAATACCTAAGGCTCTGCCCCTCCCAACGTAACAAGCAGGCTGAGACAAAGAAATATGGCCCAAATGAGAGAACAGATCAAAGCTCCAAAGAACTAAGTGATGAAGAGATAGCAACCTATCAGATGCACAGTTCAAAACATGGGTAACCTGAATGCTCACTGAATTTGTTTAGTATGGGCTCAAAATGGAGGAAAAAGGGAAGCCTACACAAAGTGAAATAAAGAAAAATATACAGGGAACCAACAGTAAAGGGAAGGAAACCAGGATTCAAATCAATGATTGGGAGCAGAAGGAAGAGATAAACATGCGGACAGACAAGAATGAAGAAACAAGAATTCAAAAAAATGAGGAGAGGCTTAGGAACCTCTGGGACAGCTTTAAACGTTCCAACATCCGAATCATTGGGGTGCCAGAAGGAAAAGAAGAAAAGCAAGATATTGAAAACTTACTTGAAAAACTAGTGAAGGAGAACTTCCCCAATCTAGTGAAGGAAGCAGACTTCCAGGAGAGCCAGGAAACTCAGAGAGTCCCAAAGAAGTTGGGCCCAAGGAAGCACACACCAAGGCACAAGATAATTACATTACCCAAGATTAAAGATAAGGATAGAATCTTAAAAGCAACAAGAGAAAAGGAGTCAGTAACCTACAAAGGAGTTCCCATAAGACTATCAGCTGATTTCTCAAAAGAAACTTTGCAGGCAAGAAGGGGCTAGCAAGAAGTATTCAAAGTCATGAAAAACAAGGGTCCTACATCCAAGATTACTCTATTCAGCAAAGCCATCATTTAGAATGGAAGGGCAGGTAATGTGCTTCCCAAATAAGGTAAAGTTAAAGAGTTCATCATCACCAAGCCCTTATTATATGAAAAGTTAAAGGGACTTATCTAAGAAAAAGAAGATCAAAAACTAGGAACAGTAAAATGACAACCCACAACTATCAACAACTGAACCTAAAAAAGTAAAAACAAAAACAAACTAAGCAAACAAGTAGAACAGGGACAGAATCATAGAAATGTAGGTCGGGGGGGCGGCGGGAAATGGGGGAAAAGGTATAGGGAATAAGCAGTATAAATAGGTACAAAATAGGCAGGGGAAGGTTAAGAATAATATAAGAAATGGGGAAGCTGAAGCACTTATGTGTCAGACCCATGGACGTGAACTAAGCGGGGGAGAATGCTGGGGAGAGGTGTGGTGCAGGGCAGAGGGGAATAAAGGGGAGGAAAAAAATGGGACAACTGTAATAGCATAATCAATAACATACTTTTTTTAAAAAAGAATGTCATATGCATCTGAGAGTCATTCCTGTTGTCATATGTTTTAATACTTAATTCATTTCTATTTTTAAGTAGCCTTCTATTGAAAAGACATACTATGGTTTGCTTATCGATTTGTTTTGTTTTGATTTGTTTTGTTGATTAGGTTCCACTTCTAGGTGAGATCATATGGTGTTTGTCTTTCACCCCTGGCTTATTTCACTTAGCATAACACTCTCCAGGTCCATCCAAGCTGTCACGAAGGGTTGGAGCTCCTTCCATTCTGCTGCATAGTGTTCCACTGTGTAAATGTACCACAGTTTTTTGATCCACTCATTTATTGACAGGCATTTAGGCTGTTTCCAGCACTTGGGTATTATAAATAACGCCGCTATGAACATTGGGGTGCATAGGTTCTTCTGAATTGGTGTTTCAGGATTCTTAGGGGGTAATGCCAGCAGTGGAATTGCTAGGTCAAAAGGCAGTTCCATTTTTAAGTTTTTGAGAAAATTCCAAACTGTCTTCCACAGTGGCTGCACCAGTCTGCATTCCTACCAACAGTGTACTAGGCAGCGTTCTCTTTTCTCCATAACCTTGCCAGCATTTGTTCTTTGTTGACTTATTAATGATAGCCATTCTGACCGGTGTGAAGTGTTATCTCTCATTGTGGTTTTAACGTGCATCTCTCTGATGACTAGTGATACTGAGCATTCTTTCATATGTCTCTGGGCTCTGTGTCTGTCTCCCTTGGAGACGTGTCTGTTCAGGTCTTTTACCCATCTTTTTAATTGGATTGCTTTTCTTCCCACTGTGGAGCTGTGTGAGTTCTTTATATATTTTGGAGATCTAACCCTTGTCCAAGGTATCATTTGCAAGTATGTTCTCCCATACAGTTGGTTCCCTTTTCATTTTGCTGATGATTTCTTTAGCCATGCAGAAGCTTTTTAGTTAGATGCAGTCCCATTTGTTTATCTTTTCCTTTATATCCCTTGCCTTAGGGGATGTATTGGTGAAAATATTGCTGCATGAGATAGCTGTAATTTTCCTGCCTAAGTTTTCCGTTAGGACTTTTATAGTGTCATGACTTATATTTAAGACTTTTATCCATCTTGAGTTTATTTTGGTGAATGCTGTAAGTTGGTGATCTAGTTTCATTTTTTTGCAGGTACTTGTCCGGGTCTCCCAACGCCATTTATTGAAGAGGCTGTATTTGCTCCATTTCATGTTCCTGCCTCACTCTGTCAAATATTAGCTGACCATATTGACATGGGCTTATTTCTGGGCTTCCATTCTGTTCCATTTGTCTGTGTGTCTGTGCTTATGCCAGTATCAGATTGTTTTGGTTACTGTGGCCTTGTATTAGAGTTTTATATCAGGTTTTGTGATCGCCTTACTTTGTTCTTCCTTTTCAAAACTGCTGAGGTTATTTGGGGTCATTTATGGTTCCATGTAAATTTTTGAAATATCTGTGAAATATGTCAATGGTATTTTGATAAGGATTCCATTGAAGCTATAGATTGCTTTGCATAGTATGGACATTTTAATGATGTTAATTCTTCCAATCCATGAACACCGTATATGCTTTCATTTATTTGTGTCTTCCTTAATTTCTTTCTTCAGTGTTGTGTAGTTTTCTGACTACAGGTCTTTTATCTCCTTGGATAAGTTTATTCCTAAATATTTAATTTTTATTGTTGCTATAATAAATGGGATTTTCCCCCGAATTCCTGTTTCTGATATTTCACTGTTGGTGTACAAAAATGCCTTCAATTTCTGAATGTTGACTTTGTATCCCGTGGTTTGGCCAAATTCATTTATTACGTTAAGTAGTTTTTTTGTGGAGTCTATAGGGTGTCTAGATGTGGCATTCCCTGAGTACGAGTAATGCTTGTTACCTGGTGGGGACAAACTGTGTTACAAATCTCAGTCTTATAGGGCTAAAGGTAGAAAATTCAGGATCACGTGTTTTTCAAAAATGAAGAATAAACCTTGGAAGACTGTTAACTGAAAAAAAAGTGCACTATCATGTCATCTGCAAACAGTGATAGCTTTACTTCCCCCTTTCCAATAAAAATAACAGGTTTAAATAAATATGTTGACACACAAGATAAAAATAATAGCTCATAAGCCCACAAGATTGTCCTGACCATTTTAGGAAAATGTTAATCAAAACCATGCAAGATACTAGTTCAGTCTTCTTAGGTTGATTTTAATAATAAAAAAAAAATTACAGGTCACATGTGATTAATGTGGTCGTGGAGAGACTGGGATCTTCTTGGTGCTCTTTTTCCAGCACTGCTCAAACTCTAGTATCTCCTTTTCAATCTCAACCCAGTAGAGCTGCTGTTTAATTAGCTTCAGGTTATCCCTCTACCAATGACACTTGGGAGTCAATCACGCTTCTGGGATCCCTAATCTGCAGAGCAACTGTGTGGTGCTGCACCCTACAGACTGAGCCATTTCTGCTGTTGTCAGCTCTGTCCTCTGCCTCCTTCACTCAGTGAAATGTTGCACTTTGCCTGGGACTCCAGTTCTCTGTTGAGATAAGCAGATTGTCCACAGGTGGAACTGAATTTTCATAAAATCAACATATTTTCTCTCAGATATTGTGGTTTTCCATCTCTTGTTGTCTTCCAGAAATCATTTCTCTCATGTATATTGTCTTGTTTTTTATTTTTATTGTAAGAGAGTTATTTTGGCACCGATTAATGAAAAAATTTTTATGATAGCTAAAGTGGAAGCCCTACCTTCATTCCATAGGGTAATGAATATCTCTCAATCCAGTAATAAGTAGGTGCAATTTCTTTAATCAGCTTTAAGTACATTAGAAGGAAACTCCTCTTCCAATACGATATTTTAAGTGAAGATGGACTAATGGAGAACTGAGCTTTTTTGATGGATGAAGCAGGAAAGGAGAGTTTTTAAACTGTTGAGTTCTACCATAGTGTAAGACTACTGCATGTTGGGTTAATTTCAATATTTTTCCCTGTATTTGCCAATTGACTTCTTATATACACGAAACATTCTGAATCACTTTATTTTAGGTGAATCACTTTTTATCCACATGTATTGGATTGTGTGTGTTTTAAAGTTATTGACCTGTCTTCCTTGGGGAACATTCATTTCATTTACACTTAATATTATCACAGTTATGTTGGTGGTAATTCTGCTTACTTAATTTAGCTTTCTGTATTTTAGTTTTTCCTAGATTGTTTCTTTCATTTAATTAGACCAAGCTTCCATAGATTTTTAGTTTTTCTGTAATATAACACCTAGAAGAATATATATTATTGTAATTAATATAATCATAAGTAGGACAATGTCACTTTATACAGATAATTTGGAAATTTAACCTAGTGTACTATCCTTAATTGTGCTTTACAATTAACTCTTAGCTATGTCAATAATTTTTCATTAAATCATTTTTAAAACACTTCTTTTGTTTGCTCCATATTTTAAATAGAAGAACTTATTACATAGTCATATCAGTTTAATGTGTTCTACACGGCAATTCACAGATGGGAATATGATAAAATGCATTAGAATATAGCACATAAATAAAGATTATGCATATAATGATTTAAAATAAAGTATAACAATGATATTGATATGTATTGAGTGACATAAACATACAATGCACTTTGTGCCATAGGCACAGAATATTGGAAAACACTCAAATTTAATTTTATTCATCCATGACTATTATTTGAAGCACATATTTTTATAACTCAAAATTCTAAAATGCTTTGAATGTCATTTTTGAAAAAAAATAAGAGGTACTCTCATGTTTTCAGAAAAAAATGTGAACTTCCCAAAAAGAAAACCACGTGGTTCTCCTCGAAAAAATGGCCTCTTGATCAGTTTCTGCATTTTTCTACCTTTCCTTATTTTAATTGCCGTCATTGCTCTTAAATGGAATAAGATAAAATTTTGGGTAAGAGAGGAACCAGTAAGTGAAGGGTAAGTAAACTTATTATTTCTTATATTTACATTAAAATGCATAATGGAAGAATTCAAATGTTATTCTGAATATTACAAGTGGGAATTTGTGGATGGATTGGTTTAGTGTATAAAAATATTGAGTCTTAGTATGAATATTTTTTCCAGATTTCAGGCAGGTAGGTATCCCTCACGTGTGTATAGGCCCAGGAACAACTGAAGCTACTCAGTAAATCCTAAGTGGCCTTCAAACAGGAAGCCGTTTGGATATAATTGCTTTAGGAGGTTTGTCTATTTCCCAAGCAACTCCATGTTCAGCTGTGCCAAGGAGATTAATAGAGATAGAGAAGCAAATTTTGTGAACATTAATATGTAGAAAGTGAGAAAAACATAAGATAGCAAAGATCAAGAGAGAGAACACAGGATACAGACCACTTTACACATAGTATCACTCATGTGTTTCTAAAATTATAATTAAGGCACTTGGACAGCTTTTTTTCTTTAACTATAACACTGATACGAGCCGCATTTTGCTTAGTGAATATTTAGGAAAATGAGAATGCAGAATTAAAGATAAGTGGGCCTCACTATTCCAAAGTAAGGGAAAATGGTTCTCTTTCTCACTAATGAAGAGAGAAATAAAATGAAGACAAAAAATTTCTGTCAACACTTCTCTTTCCCGTCAGTTAATTTTATTTGTAAACAAGTTTGCAGCAAGTAGTTAAATTCAGTAGAGTATTCTGCCTGATATTTATAGACATTTACATAATCATCAAACTATTATAAATTGACTTGAATGAGCATCTGGCATCAGTCTTTTTGTACTCTTAAGACATCTTAAGATCGGAAAAATCGGAATAGTTCCTAGAAAAAAACCTGACCTTTGAAAGAGATGTTATGACAGGGCGTAATTAGTCATAAATAGCTAAAACTGGTCTTGAAAGCCTGAGTCTCAGAGCAACATTACATGGTTTCAGGTTTGCAAGGAGTAAGAAATGGTGTAGAGCTGATGCACCGATGGGTGGTAATGAACTGTGTATGGTCAGGAGCTACGTCATTCTTTCCATCACTTAAAGCCCTTATGGCTGACAGCATCTCTTTGTTTATGTCCATTCTCTGTAGAACGACTTCTCTGCTTGCACATGGCAGAGAATACTATTTAAACCTTGCTAGTTTTGTTTTCAAATAAAAGACCAACAATCTGTCCATAATGAATGCCATTTAGTTCACATTCTCAAGAGACAGAAGGATATAGTAGTGGGAGCACACCTAAGTTCAGGCTGTGTTCTGCCTGGATTTATAACACGGAGGTGTTCAAACCTTATCTCATTACCTGTGGCCCAGGAATTGTAGTCATGTTGCAGGAATCTGGGCACCAGGACTCTGCTCTTCCTCAGGCATTGTGTGTGTATTGGAGTTTTCCAAAGAAAACATCGGAGACTCTACATATCACCGAATGTAACTAAATGTAGCTTAATTATAACGTGGAAACACATGTAGCTGGAAGACATAGAGGCCTCACTGAGGATTCATTGATGAAATTAAAAAAGTTAATTACATAGTTTTTGATAGATATATCATAACCAAACAGATGATAATTTAAGAATTTGACAATTTTCATGTAAATTACCTTTTTAACTTCAAAGGAGCATTCTCATAGATATATTAATATACATCTTGTTTTCCTTGTAGAAGAATAATAGATTGGTTTTTAGTTTGAAATTTATATATTATTAACATAATTAGTAGTTTGTACAACATTAGAGAGACCAAATATTAAATATAGGATCACTGAGTGGAATATGGGAAGCAAAGTGGATCTTGGTATATGTTATTTGAGTAATGAGGACAAGTATAGCTTTATTACTCTTCTTGATTTTGCTTAAGACTACAATGTTTCCTAAACCTAAAATAATGGTATTCCTTTTATACAGATCTATATCAGAAGAAAGCAGTAGTAACAGCAGCGAGTCACACACAGTTTTAAAGGTAAATTGAAGGATTTAAACTATTGACACAATATCATTTTTGAAATATATTTAAAATAATCATTAACAATATCTCAGTATAAGACCTATTATTTCCATGTTTCATCAACATCTCTCCTATTTGTCAATATCATATACTAAGAAAACGAATTCAAATTGTTTTCTACTCTTTAGAAATATTTAATGTTAACCAGTATTAGAGATTTATTAATCAACTTGTATAAAAGAGTAGTGACTCTGAAGAGATTTAAATGTTTTCTTAAAATAGTTATGAGTTATCCTGAATCTTGTTCACTCATTCAAGGTTCTAATTGATGGACTTCTATGGATCATTTCCAAACATTTACATTTCTCCCTCACTAAGATTCCTTGGTTATTGTTATTTTCCAAATGAGAAAACAGACACAAGAATTTAAATAATTATCCATGAGTATAGAATTTTAGTAAATTTTGGGATTAGCATTTAGTCAGATCCAGGTTTAAACTCCTAATAACCATAGAGTTTTGACACATGTAGACTGATATATAACTAGGGATGGGGAATAAAAGTTATATTTATTGAGGATATATTAGATGCCAAGGAAAATGCTAAATGCACTTTCCCTACAAGGCAGAAAGACAATTATTTACTATAAGATGGAATGAAGAAAGCATCTCTATATATTTTTTCAAATTTTTAGATGTGTAAAAAAATCATAATATTTGACATGCTAGAACTATCACTTGTAACAAATGGAAAAAATTAAAAATTCAACCAGGATTGGGGTCAGAGTTCATCCAATAACTTAGCTGCCATTCCTCCATCTCTGACTTTGATTAAGAATTAAGTCACTGGATCTGTTTCCTTATCTGCTACCAGAGAACGCATAACTTCTACCTTGAAGGTAAATTAGTCTTATTTCTGACTGGACCAATCTCTACTACTTCTTTGATTACTCTATTAGAATCCACATCATAAGCGAGGATTTTGGCATTTGTTGTCTTCCTCCTATGTCCTTCAATAATAGTCTCATCCTCATTTTTTTCCTAGAGCAATATACTTATCTTGCTATTTCTCTGATTTCTTCTAACTCTTAAGTAATAAATTCAGTATCTCACTTTGTTTTACATTTTTTCATAACCTTACCCTGCCACCAGTACTTTATGGTTACATAAAGATATTGCCTCAAGAATTTGAAATAGTGGGTTAGGCAGTCAGTACATAAGCAATAAACACATTTCATAAGTTGATTGTATAGTGTATTCAAAGTGATTCATCATATGGAAAAGATTAGGGCTGAAGAGTTGATGTTGATGAAGGAATTTGTTAGAAATTTTTAAAAATATAGTTGATTCCATTTTGCTTTCTGGGTAAAGGGGGGATATATGAGGATGGAAGGAGACTTGATTTGGGATGGTGAACACACAATACAATATACAAATGTATTGTATAATTGTGTTCCTGAAACCTAAAAAATTTTATTAACCAATGCCACACCAATAAATTCAATAAAAATATGGTTGACTCAGTTGGCCTTATTGAGCAAATGATATGTAAACAAAGAATTGAAGGAGGTGAGAATATTTATCCAGGTTAGATATTTGAAAGAAGTCACCTGGACTCACAGGGTCATCTCATATAAGGCTCTTCTTTAAATGCAAAAGATGTAGTACAGCAAGAGAGAGTGCAGGCAAGCAATGGAGGAGGTCAGAGAGATACCACATGCACAAGGCCTCAAGGTTCTTCTTTGTAAAATTTTACATAACTGATCATCAGTCTTCAATTAGCACAAAATGAAAGCAGACAACCACCTTTCCCAGAGATAAAGATAGAGCTTTTTCAACTCCAGCTATAAATCAACGCTACCTTACACAGAAATACAGCCGGTAGAGCTATCCATGTATATATCTGGTCAGGAGCTTTCCAAACACAAGAATGATCCAATGAAAAGTAAAAGTCAGGAATGTTTGATAAGTAATAGTGATGTCAGTTTATCTGGAGCAGAGTTAGCAAAAGGGCTCATGGCTTACACTTGTGAAGGTTGTTTTGTTGAAAGTAGTCTGTAACAACCATAGGGTAAAAGTGGAGAAACCAGCTGGTGGCCTATTACTGCAAAAATCCAGGAGAAACGTAGGTGGTACCTCAGAGCAGAAATACCAAAAATGGCTATAGGAAGAAATTTTTAAGATGAACCAACAGAATGAACTGACAGTTTGGATGCAGAGTATAAGAAAAAGTGCTTAAATAATGTTTACTGATACAAAGCAGGAACATAGCAAGGCTAAAATGTAAACCAGGACTTGTTTCTAAATCTGTTTTCTAATACATTTTAAAAATTATTTTAAAATTTATGAATATTGAATGATAAAATCTACTTAGGTAATTGTGAGCCAAGGAAAATGCCTGATGTGCCTTGATAAGGAGGTTAAATATTCTCATATATGAATGGGAACATAAAATACTCTTGAAGTAGTGAGAGAGTGATTTAGCATGACATGTTTTGCTGGAGTGAAGCAGGGGGAAATTCAGTCAGATTCAAGCCAGAACTGGAGATGAGTGAAACAGCTATGAGAGTATGGCACACACAAGACAGATGTGATGAGGACGGGATTGAAAGAGAGGAAAGGGTCAATAAGTTTTGTGAGATACACAGAAGTAGAATAATTAAGTGGTAGCTGATGGATGTTTTGGATGTAGAATAACAAACACTTCCGACACAATGGACAATGACACAATGGACACCTCTGACACAATGGACAATGACCCCTTTTACTAATGAAATATTGTACAGTGAGGTAACCACTTTGGTACCTGAGATTTTACTGCCTATGTTTTCTTCCATGATTTTTATGGTTTCATGACATACATTTAAGTTCTTTAACCATTTTGAGTTTATTCTTGAGAGTGGTGTCTGTTGGCAGGCCAGTTTTATTTTTTGCATGACCTGTCCGATTTTCCCAAGGCTCTTGTCTCCTCTGTGAAATATTAATTGACCATATAGGCATGGATAATTTCTGGCTCTCTGTTCCGCTGCATCGATCTATATGCTTGTTCTTACGTCAGTACCGGGTTTGTTTTGGTTACGGTGGCCTTGTGATATAGTTTGATATCTGGCATTTGATCCTTCTAACTCTGTTTTTCTTTCTTGAGATTGCTGAGGCTATCTGGGGTCTTTTTTAGTTCCATATAGATTTTTGGAATATTTGATCCAGGTCTGTGAAATATGCCATTGTTATTTTACTCAGAATTGCATTGAATCTCCCAGGGCAAGGGAAATAAAGGAAAAAAAATGAATAAATGGGACTACATCAAACCAAAAAGCTTTTGCACAGCAAAAGAAACCATCAACAAAATGAAAAGAGAACGCACTGTCCAGGAGTACATGTTCACGAATAATACATCCAGTAAGGGATAATTTCTAAAATACATGAAGAACTTACACAACTCACCACCAGGAAGACAAACAATTCATTTAAAAAATGGGCAAAAGACCTGAATAAACACTTCTTCAAAGAAGATATACAGAGGAATAATAGACATAAAAAATGCTCAGTATCACTAATCAGAGAGATGCACATTAAAACCACAATGAGATACCTACTTGCACATGTCAGAATGGCAACAGTCATAAATCAGCAAACAAGTGCTGGCAAGGATATGGAGAAAACGGAACCCTCATGCACCTTTGATGGGAATGCAAACTGGTGCAGCCACTGTGGAAAACAGTATGAAGTTGCCTCAAGAAATGAGCCATGGGACTGACTCTGACCCAGTGATCCCACTTCTGGGAAGATATCCTAAGAATCCTGAAACACCAATTTGAAAGAATACATGCACCCCTATGTCCATAGCAGTGTTATTTACAGTAGCTAAGCTCTGGAAACAGCCAAAGTGCCCATCAGTAGATAAGTGGATAAAAAATCTGGGATACCTTTACACAATGGAATACAGCATGGTAGTAAAAAAGAAGGAAATCTTACTGTCTGCAGCAGCATGGATGGATGTGAAGAGCATTATGCTCAGTGAAAGAAACCAGTCAGAGGAAGACAAATACCATACAATCTCACTTATATGTAGAATCTACAGAACAAAATAAACTGACAAAAAAAATAGAAACAGAGGCATGGACACATAGAACAGACTGACAGCTGTCAGAGGAGGGGAGGGAGAGGAGAAGAGATGAAAAAGATGAAGGGATTAGCCAAAGAATATATACACAAATCTCATAGGCATAGACAAGTGTGTAGTGCCGGCTAGAAAGAACAGGGGTGGGGGTTGCGTGGAGGAAGGCAAAGGGTGGGAGGGATGGGGACATCTGTAATAGTGTCAACAATAAAAATAAAGGAAAAAAAGAGAATGGGTTTGGTGTTCAAATCATGATGTGGAGGGGAGTGAAGAACGAGTTTGGTTTTGAACATGTGCATGTGGGAAACCTGTTGAATAAACACGGAGAACTCTTGAAAGTACTCATCTTTTGCAGATAAAAATAGACCAATTAATATTATTATTTATTCACATACTTTTTATTGTTGTTCAGTTGGAGTTGTCCCCATTTTTCCCCCATTGCTTGCCCTTGCCCTACCCACCCCCACCTCGCACATTCATTCCTCACCCTGTTGTCTTTGTCCAAGGGTGCTTTATACACATTCCTTGACTTGCCCCTTGCCCTTCATTCTTCTTTTATATCCATTCCCTCTCCCCTCTGGTCACTGTCAGTTTGTTATTTACTTCCAAGTCTCTGGTTCTATTTTCCTTCTTTGTTTGTTTTGTTGACTAGGTTCCACTTAGAGGTGAGATCATGTGGTATATGTCTTTCACCGCCTGGCACATTTCACTTAGCATAATGCTCTCCAGTTCCATCCATGCTGTCGCACAGGGTTGGAGCTCCTTCTTTCTTTCTCTTGTGTAATATTCTATTGTATAGATGTACCAGTTTTTTGATCCACTTACTCACTGATGGGCACTTAAGCAGTTTCCAGCACTCAGGTATTATAAATAATGCAGCTATGAACATTGGGGTACATAGGTTCTTTTGAATTGGCAATTCAGGATTCTTAGGGTATAATCCCAGCAGTGGAATTGCTGGGTCAAAAGGCAGTTCTATATTTAGTTTTCTGAGGAAATTCCATACTGTTTTCCATAGCGGTTGCACAAGTCTGCATTCCCACCAACAGTGTACTAGGGTTCCATTTTCTGGACAACCTTGCCAGCACTTGTTTTTTGTTGACTTGTTAATCATGGACATTCTGACTGGTATGAAGTGATATCTCTCATCATGGTTTTTACTTGCATCTCTCTGATGGCTAGTGATGCTGAGCATCCTTTCATATGTCTCTAGACCCTGTGTATGTCCTCCTTGGAGAAGTGTTTGTTCAGGTCCTTTGCCCTTTTTTTAATTGGACTGTTTTTCCTCCTGGAGTGGAGTTGTGAGTGTTCTTTATATATTTTGGAGATCAAACACTTGTCTGAGGTATCATTGGCAAATATATTTTCCCATATGGTTGGTTTCCTTTTCATTTTGCTAATGTTTTCTTTAGCCATTCAGAAACTTTTAATTTGATGTAGTCCCATTAGTTTATTCACATATTTTTATTGTTACCTTCCCCTATGATTCCCTGTTGGTGATTTTCTTTTACTCATGTGAGGCATAAATAGAGACTGTGTGGATGAGACATTTATATGTACCAATTTATAATATTTCCTTTTAATGTGGTTATTACAAAAAATTCAGGAAAAAGAAATCAGTTTACAAATTTTGTGGACCACCAGCATAGATTGTGACAGTAAACCCAGTTTCTTATTATACTAATTAAATGCTAAACTTGTAGTTGCATATTAAAATTAGACAGTTTTTATTAAAATTTCTATTTCTATTTTCCATATTTCTGTTACAACAGTGACTGAACAACATCAAAAAAACATAAATTGGAGAAAGGATATTACCAAGAAACACCATTAACTGGCCTGATCCAAGAATGAAAAAAATCTGCTTTTCTTTCCTTTTGCTATGGCTCAAGCTTTCAATTTCACAAACCAAAATAAATCCTGTGAGTGAAAGTATGTAGACCTGTGTCTGTTGATTCTTTTACCTGCTTGATCCTTTAGTAGAAAGTAAGCACTTTGTCTTCTTTTGAACCTGGGAGGCTGTTACACCCAAAGGCGAAAACATTCTATTGTCCACTATGCTGCCCACCCTCAGATGCCTGTGGCCAAGATAACAGTTTCCATCTCAAGAGAGGACACCTACAGTCCACACCTCTCCATAGCTCATGAGTCCCCTCCCTGTCCATTCCAGGCTTTGGATTTTGATGTGCTGCTAGGTCAGGACAGCCTCAAGCCCCCAGATAGTTGCTAATGTCTAGCCCATCTTTAAGGAATTGCTCAAACTGAGTTCCTGGTCATAGAAAACTGTTCTGTCTCCAAGTGATACTTCTGTGGCCTCATGTAATTTGAGATCTTGAATATATCTTTGCCCTTTCGGGGCACCTGGAATTGCTGTTCTTTCTTTATTTGAAGTTGACCTTTTCTGGATAAGATTTTCTTGCTTTAATGTCCCCTCTCCACATATTGCTCTTACTGAGATAGGTACACTTTTGTAAATGAACAAGCTGAGGCTCAGCCACATGGTGCCTTGACACATGACCCAACAATTAGTGTTGAAGGAAACAGGCTTTTATTAACAGGATTCCAACCTTATGTGGGCTAAGAGCACTCCTGCTCAGAGGCCTCTTCTCACAAAACCCCCAGCACTTCCCTTGCTCCCCAAAAGGCTAGAAGCCGAAACCATGCCCAGAAGTTGGCCATATCTTTATCTGTCCTTAAGCTGGCTGGGCAAGCAGGTTTCCATCCCCTCTGGAATGTGCATTTGTGGGTTTCAGAGTCGCCATTTCTCGCAGCAGCTCCCTTCTTCAGGATCTCGGGTATGATGTTCTCCACCTCTATGTAATAGTTCAAGGAAACATGCACCATGTTGCACTGGATCATACCCCAGGAAGGCACATGTCCCAAGAGAGTGGCTTCTCTGTACGTTTTTCAGAGAAGCAGAAGTAGCTCAGCATTCCCGGTCACAGTTCCGCTTCAGGCATCTCCTATGAATCCGTGCTTGGTTAGGCAGGCCCCCATACAGCTCCATCAGCTCTGCTGCCATCTTCTTCAGGCGGGCTTCCCAGGGGGTCTCCTCTCTTGCACCAGACCTTGTAGTGGACTCTCTCTACACACCAGACATTGTGACAGGCCGGGACCCCATCCTACACCCTTTCAGATTCTCTGGTTTCTTCTTGTGGTTTCCCTCTCTTCAGCCTGCACTCACTTTAAATGCTTGGCCCGGAAATTCCTATGTGACCTCATAACAGGCCCTTCTGTGATATGCTGTTTTTACCAGACCCCCCCGGCCCCGCCATTGTCTTTTACCTTCTTTCAGCTGCTTTCTTTAGTCAGAGTAGGAGTTCCTGGTGACACAGAGGCGTCCTCCTCCCTTGGCTATGTCATGAGTCACTACATACTCTTAAAGTCACATATACCTATTGCCCTGAGCAGCAGTCTGCTTCCTTTCAAGAAAGGCATGGCTATTCATGTGCCATTGTTATGCAAATCATCTTAACTGCCATATCATCCACTTCTCCCTTCCCCCAGTGAAGGTTTGCAGGGGGGGGTTCTCCTATTTTCAGGGGACCCCTGCTCTGCACCCCATTACACTTCTGCACACCTCCAACCATTATACATGGGTAAGAAAACCATCAGCCTGCTTGGAGATGATTAGGACCTAAAGATTCTTCATCAATACACAAATATGTTCCTGGGTCAGAAGTGGGAGTACCTCATCATAGAGGCTAAGAGTTTCTTTTTCTAAATGTCCACCAACTATAGAGGTAAGTGATGCTTTTGCCAGAGTAAGTGTAGGAAACTGTCAAGAATTAAAGCCTGCCTGCAATAAGCAATGAAGAAATTGTTTTACATTTTGATTTCTGAGAACTTACATCTGTAATTAAGTAAAGATTTCAGACTTTGGGAAAAGATGGTGGAGGAGTGAATGGGAGTCACGCTGACCTCCTCCTCCCAAGACTAAACCAGAATTGTGACTAAATAGTGGAGTAATCACCTGGAAAACAATGGAACTCTAGTGGGAGAGGAGCCTTGGAGCCACAGACAGACAGTGGATTCAACTCTCACACATCCGAACAGGTAAGAAGTGTGGTGGAGGCTCGAGAGGGTGGGCTGGGTGCCCATGGGCACTAGCACCAGAGGGACATTGAAATTGCCAGTTAGCTCCCCCCGAGAAGAACGGGGTCTGAATCATAAACAGGGACCCCTAAACTACAGCAGCTAAAACCAGGAAAATACAGACAAAACACAACCCTGAAAAGCTTAGGGGCGCTCTCTGCCAGAGACAGGTGGCTGAGGATGCAAAGAGACATTTGAAGCACCAACACAAAAATTGCAGCGGCAGCCACCCTCCTTGATCTCTGGGTAGAGGCGGCAGCAGGGTGGGCTGGTGCCTGAAAAAAGATTGGTGAGGAAAACTTTGTGAAGAGAACTGAGATGGCGGCCGGTGGAGCCCCGGTGATAACGCACCCCCAACTCTGCAGCTACCATCTCACTCAGGCATAAGGGAATCAATTAACCTGCCTTTTGTGCGCTCCACACACAGCTTGTGCGCCTGTGAGCTGGGGGGCTGAGTGCAGACTGGCTGGGAGAGCCTTGAGGAGAGACTGGGGATGGAGGCTTTGGGGAAAGAACGGGAGGAGGAACTGGGGAGTCCTGACTCCCTCCCCTTCCTTAGTCTCCATTTTGAACAGGAAAAGTGCGCCCCCAAAGAGGCAGAAGCGGGGCACGCATGAACCAGACAGCCCACGATTGAAACGCAGTCCACACAGGTGGTGGTGGATCCTTGGCCGAAGGGGTCACAGAACTGCCCAAAGACCCCTGAGGAGAGACTGGAAACAGAGGCGTTGGGGAAAGAACGGGAGGAGGAACAGGGGAGTCCTAACTCCTTCTCCTTTCCCTAGTCTCCATTGTGCAGGAAGAGGACACACCCCCAAAGAGCCAAAAGCCGACAAGCACACAATAGAGAGCCCAAAACCACCCAGTGCAGGCGCGCACACCTGCGTCGAGTGGTCAGCGAGGGTTGGCGAGTGTGTGTGTGACCCGCTCGGGCTGGCGAGGGCTTGTGCGGGCTGGCAAGGCCTCCCACAGGTTGGCACCGATGGAGCCTGCGAGGGAGTGCGCAGATTGGCGAGGGCAGGTGTAAATCGACTTGCACAGGCCTGCGAGTGTAGAGCAGTCTGCAGAAATAGTGGATCCCAGGCTGAAGGGGTCACAGAGCTGCCCAGAGTCCCTGGAGGAGAGACTGGAGACAGGATTAACCGGAGAGTCATGGAGCTGACTTCCTCCCATTTCCATAGTCTCCATTTGGTGAGGGCAGGCAATGCATCCAAAGAGCCAAAAGCGGGGAAAGCACACAATAGAAGGCCCTAAACGGACCAGTGCTGGGGTGCCTGCCAGCTTGGGGGGCCAGAGGAGTACGCGAGGTCGCGAAGAAGCCCCCTGGGCTGGGGCAAGCACGCATGAGCCCAGGCTGGCGGGGGATCCTGCCGGGCCAGGAAGCGCGATCAAGGAGCCGGCAGGAGAGTGCAGAGCGATCCACAGAAATAGTGGATCTCTGGCTGAAGGCGTCACACAGCTGCCCAAAGCAGAAGTCAGACACAGACAGTAGACTCCTGGAAGGCTCAAACAAATGACCCAAGGCCATATAGGGTCAACAACTGACATCATCAGAGGCAGGCCCACAAAGAAAAGTAAAGGGGGAAAAAATAAATAAATAAAAAGACCCACCTACTACCATAGAAGTTAAATCCACAAAGTCAGGAAATCTAGACGGCCCAATCGAAGCAGAAGCATAAATAAATAAATAAATAAATAAATTACTTAACAGACTCTCACAGAAATGGGAAAAAAAGAAGTTCCCCCCCAAATGAGTGGAAAAGGGAACTCCCCACAGAGAGAGCTAAATGAAATAGAGGCAAGGGAACTATCAGATATTGAATTCAAACAATGGTTCTAAGGAAGCTCAATGAGCTCAGCCAGCTCAAAGAGAACTATGAGAAACTGCAGAGAAACTCTCAGGATCTTACAACAAACTATATCAACCTGGAAAAGGACATAGAAACTATCAAGAAGACACAAGAGGATATGAAGAATACCATTTCTGAATTGAAGAACACAGTAGAAGGAATCAAGAACAGGCTGGATGAAGCCAGTGATTGAATCAGTGAGATGGAGGACAAGGTAGAAAAAAGCTCCCAGAAAGAAATCACCTTGTTTTCCAGGTGATTTCTCCACAGTTTAATTGCAGCTCCAGTTTGGTCCTGGGAGGAGGTCAGTGTGACTTCCACTCACTCCTCTGCCATATTCCCTCCCCTGTAATCTGTTTTCAGAAAGTTTGAGTCCTCTGGATTTGCCCCTTTCAAGACAGTTTTGGCTATTTGGGATTCCTTGACATTTCAAATAAATTTTAGGATAGATTTTTCTATTTCTGCAAAAATTGCTCATATTTTGATATATTCTATCTATAGATTGCTGAGGTTAGTACTGACATCTTCATACAGTTCTCCCTATACATTAACATGTGCTGTCTTTCTACTTAATTGTCTGTAGTTTTCATTGTACCTCTTTCACTTTCTTATAATAATTTATTCTTTTTGATGCCATTGTAAATAGAATAGTTTTCTTAATTTTTGGATTGCTCTCTGTTAAATGTATAGAAATATAACAGTTTTGAGTGTTGATTGTGTATCTTCCTCTTTTGCTGAATTTATTAGATCTAACAAATATGTGTGTGTGTGTAAAATCTGTATGGTTTTCTACATATAAGATGATACCATCCATGAAATAAATAATTTACTCCTCTTGTTCAATTTGGATGCCTTATTTTTTTCTTGCATAATTGCCCTGCCTGGAATTTCCAGTACTCTGCTGAATAAAAGTGGCAAAATGAGCATCTTTGCCTTCTGATTTTAGAAAAAACCTTTTCACGTTTTCACCATTGAGTAGGATGTTGGCCATAGGTCTGTCCATATGCCTTTTATTATTAGGAGGTAGTTACCTTCCGTTCCTAACCTGTTGAATGGTTTTGTCATAAATGGATATTTGATTTTATCAAATGCATTTTCTTTTGCATTATTGAGATGATCATGTTTTCCTTCATTCTGTTAAGGTGGGTACTACATTGATTGTTTTTTAAAGTTAACTCCATGATGGATCTTATAACTGTATTTGCTACAAACTCTGTAGAAAATAAAGCAATGAAATGTTTTTAGTATCCTTCCTTTACCTTATCCTTTGAATATAAAAATGTATAATTTGCCCTCCACTCTCTTGATATCATGTAACAGCATCACTTTATACCATTACTCAAGGTAGAGATCTGTTTCAACAATATAATATACAGACATACCTCATCTTATTGAGCTTCATTTTTTAAAAAAAATGGCTTCACTTCACTGTGCTTCACAGATACTACATTTCTCCAATTCACAACTTGTAACAACCCTGTGTCCAGCAAGTTTACCAGTGCCATTTGTCCAACAGCATTTATTCATTTTGTGTGTTTGTATCAAATTTTGCTATTTAAATTCTAATAGTTCAAACTTTTTCCTATATTTTTATGTAATTTGTGATGTTAACGTTACAATTGTTTTGGGGCTAGAAATGATTGAGCTTGGTGAGGAAGGCCAAAAGCTAGGCTTTTTGCACCAACAGTTAGCCAAGTTATGAATGCAAAAGAAAAGTTCTTTAAGGAAATTACAAGTGCTCTTCCAGTAAACACACAAATTACAAGAAAGCAAAATACTTCATGGCTGATAAAGTTTTAATGGTCAGAATAGAAGATCAAATTAGCCAGAGCAATGCCTTTTTAACTCTCTTCAGCCCAGAGTAATACTTTATTAACAACTCTCTTCAATTTTATGAAGGTTGAGAGAGGTGAGGGAAGTGCAGGAAAAAATCTGAAGCTAGTAGAGTTTGGTTCATGAGGTTTAAGGAAAGAAGCCATCTCCACAACATGCTGATGTAGAAGCAATAGCAAGTAACCCATAAGATCTAGCTAAGATAATGACGGTGGCTACACTAAACAGATTTTCAGTGGAAGCAGAACAGCCTGATACTGGAAAATGATGCCATCTAGGATTTTCATAACTAAAAAGAAGTCAAAGCCTTGTTTCAAAGCTTCAAAAGACAAGCTGACTCAGGTTCTGGGGGTGATTGGAGGTGTTTGAATATCAGCTCTGGCACCTGTTTGTGGGGTGGCCCCTGGAAAGTCACTGGACAATTCTGAATGTGCTTTGGTCTTTTGTAGAGAAAATAGAGTATCCCAGGATAACTTGCTTCTTGAATTTAAGATTATAATCTGTATGAAATATATACATGGGCTCCGTCAGAAGAATAATTGTTAGCTAATCAGTACTGTGGGATTTAATTGGGCACAACCACCACAAGTATCAAATGTATCGTATGAGTATGATCTCACTTATATAAGAATAAGTATTTAAATCACCAGTATTTTACAGCTAAAAGGTCAGTGGTCATTTTAATCCTTGAACGTGTAATTTTTCGAAAATCAAAAATGGTTTCATGATGTTTATACTGTATATTACTTGGAAAATAAAATCAAAACACTTGTCATACAGACAAAATGGCTCTTTAACAAAGTAAATTTGAACACAAACATAATTTAAAAGTGGATATGTGTGACTTGATTTGGGTCATGTAGTCCAGTAAGAATACTTATAAAATAATTTCTTAATTGGAAGTATTTCTGAAGCTTCGCCGTCATTGGTGTTGGTCCCAAGCTTCTGTGGCACTGTAATTCGCAGATGTGACATTTCAGAGTCTGCAGTAAGGAAAACATGCATGAATATCCCTAACGTGTACACACACACACACACACACACACACACACACACACACACACACACACGCTTTGTGCGATTCCAGGAAGAGGCTCCTCTCGACGCGACAGGACACTTGGGACTCGCGGGCCTCAACCCCACCCAGGTGGAGGAGAAGCGCTGGTCCGGGACCCCGTCCAGGCTCTCTCTGACCCCACCGCCCCAGAAGGGGGGCGATCTCTCCTGCCAGTGCAGCGTCAGGTAAGTGAGGGACAACTGCCCCAGGCCTGCTCCGAGGCCTCCAACCCTGGGGCGCAGCAGGACCCTGAAAGGAGACGGGCTCTGACAGCACCCTGGGCGATCCCCGCCCGGCCGGGTTCTGGAGCAAGGAGGGCGATCCCCGCCTCGCCCGGGGACTCTGCCCCCAGCGGCCGCCTGTGGCGCAGGTTCCCCCACTTACACTGGCCGGCGGAGGTCAGCCGGCCCAGGCCTGAGAGGACCAGCAAGACGAGGAGCATTGCGAGGCCGGTGAGTGAGGACGGTTGGTGGTGCACCCGCCCTGTCTCGAGGGCAGGGAGACCTGGGCTGGGTCTGAAAGGGGAGGGCAGTGGCCGGTGGAGGGCAAGGCTGCTCGCCCCGCCCACGCCAGAGGCCCCGCCCACCGCAGGCGGCTCCCACCCGCGGGACAACACAGGAGCCTGTGGTCTGCCACGTGCTTTATTTCCCCGAAGCTGACGTTTCAGAGGCCTTCAGGGTCACGTGAGGTTATCAAGCCGCTTTCTCCTCTAGGAGCCGATCATGGAGGATGAAGCTCCTGGCAACATTAGGAGTCCACGTCATAGCTTTTCTGGTACAATGGTTGAAGTGCTGCAGTGAAGGAAAAAGAAAATAGAAATTCGTGATATGCAGACAGTTGTCTATGTTAAGTGTATCTACTGCCAGATTTCTACTTAAGTCAAAACACACACAAGTACAAAACTAAAAACATCAAAAGTCAGTGTTAGTACAGATAAATTTTTCTTCTTAGAAAACTAAGGAGTCCTAATAACTATTATAAATACTAAATGTGCATTTGGGTTTTGTTACTTTCGTGTTGATTTATAACTGAAGTAGGTAGGAAGCAAAAAAAAAATTACAACTAAATGCTTCTCAAACATAATGAAACTCCGCAGGGAAAGATGACAGTGGAGTAGGTAGAAGCTGAGCCCACTTGCTTGTGCCCCCAGCACAGAATTTTGGCTGATCTTCCAACAAGTGACCTGAACAATCGATGGAATCTCAGCAGATACGAGTTTTTGAAGCCAACGAGTACAGAAAATGCTTTGCACCGTCTGGTAAGAGATTTTATAAATTGAGTGGGAAACGCCCTGAGTAAGATACCTGCAGCAGAGAGGAGAGATCAGAGAGAAAATGCAGCTTGGTGGCCCCCTCCCCTCCCAGAGCGGGGACCCTGGTCCTATACAGGAAACCACTAACCCTGATCAGGAGAGACTTGGAATAACATACAAAGTCTGGGAGACTTAGGCTGTACACACACAGCCAGCATCACATCCATCGCTAGAGGAGGGTTCCAGAGAGAAACTCTATCTATTAAAGCTGTGGACAGCCCTGCCCAGAGAGGCTTCATGCTTTTTGGGGAGGTGGAGAATGCAGAGAACTAGCCCAGGGCTCCATACTGCAGTGTAGGTGGCACATATAGGCTCTTTTAACAGGGGAGCTGAGATGAGACTGGACAGGGAGCCCATGCTTGGTCACCACACGTGCACGCAGCTCCTGTGCCAACAGAAAGACCAGAGTGAAAGGGCAGTTCAGTCCCACTGAGTCCAGCTTCACAGGAAGAACAGAAAGTGGCACTGCAAAGGTATTCTGGGACCTGACCCAGCATGGCTGGCAAGCAGGGGGCTAAGCAGAGAGGAGAGTTTGGGCTTGAGTTTCCCTGTGAGAATGGAAGTCTGGGGACTAGCCAGGCAGGAGCTGAATGCCTGAGATTTGTTGTAGGCACTCAAGTCCCCTAATAGGCAGGTGTGCTCAACCCTCACCTGCAGGACTGCAGACTCTGCAGATCCGTGAGACCAGGCTCAGAACGTCCCTGCTCGGTGCCGCTCTGCAGGGGAAAGGAGAAACTCTAAAAGAGCCCTTTCTGAACTTTTATTACACACTACAGGCTACACTGGTTCCTTGGGCCCTGATCCACTGAAACCGGCAGAACGAAGAGATTAGAGACAGGTGCAACAAGGGGCGTTCTGGGCCCTGCCCAGCCGTGGCTCTTGTACAGAGACGCCATCAGCACCAAGCAGGAAAGAGCTGCCCCTTTACACAGGAAACACACAGCTAATTCACCAGAAACTATACATTATTGGAAATAATCTGGGGCAGACCAAGACATGGTTGTCGGGGTGGAGGGTCGGGGGAGACAGGGGACTGGAAACATTCCCATTATTTTCCCTGAAGACTGAACAGTGCTCCCTGGGGGTGAGCCAGGGACCCTGCACCAGAGGCCCCCTCTGGAGGTAGGTGGTGATAGTATTTGCAGTGCTCTTGGAGATGAACCACTCCTGGGCCTTGTGCTGATGGAAAGCCAGCAGGGTAGAACAGTGGGGACCAGCCAAGCCTGAAGGAGACACCCCAGGCTGTGAACTGCGTGTAGATTCCAACAAGCTGCCTGGAGCTCGACTAGGACACCGTCTGACATTACCAGGGGCAGATGCAGAAAGGCTAGTGGCAAACACTAGACACTACTGAGAAATTCCACTGCAGTTTTCTTCATTGTTTGCCTTATTTTTTTCTCCTGCATAACTTTTTAACATTTTTCTTTTTCTTCAAGTTCATTCCTATGATTTCACTATGTTGTTTGGTTATTTCAAATCTCATATTTTACTCCTCCTTTCTCTTCCTTCCTTGTATTTTTGTTTTAAATTTTATTTTTTTCCTTTGTACATCTTGTTTCTATTCTGCACTCTATTTCTCTTCCCTCCAGCCTCTCTAAACCATTTTTCTTGCCATTAGCCATCTCACATTATTTTTCCCTTTCTTATAATATCTTTATTCTCTCTCCACCATTGAGATGGTGGTTGCGTTTAATTCCATTCCTAGAGTTTCACTCTTTTTGTATTTTAAATCTCCAATTTTACTGTTCCCTTCTCCTACTCCATTTTGCCTTCCTCCTGCCTTTCCTTCTTTCATTTAAATTTTATTTTTTTCCTCGCTTAGCCTGGTTTTCATTCCTCACTGATTATTCCTTCTCCCTCTATCCTCTCAAAATCACTTTTCTTTCCTTTATATCTTAAAAACTTTTTTTCTTTCTTATTCCCTTTCCACCTTTACTAATCTTTGCTCCTTTGTCTTTAATATTGCTGTAGGAGATGTTTATTCCTATTTTTTTTTCACTTTTTCACTTTTTTTAAACCTCATATTATACTCTTCCCTTTTCTTACTCCATTTCCCCTTCTTTTTTACAGCCAGAGTTGTGGGGGCTCCTCTTGCTGGCGCTAGTGTTCTGGGTGGGGAGCCCAGTGTGAAGCTGGGACCCTTTGTTCCTCAGGAGGTACCTCTACAGCTGAGATATCCCTCCCAATCTCAACTGTCTCCAGTGGGTGTAGGGCCAGCCCGTTTCGTGTCTCTGTTCCTTCTGCCAGGGTCCATGTAGTCTCTCCTTTTTATGTTTAGTTATAGGACTTATGTCCAGCTTGTCTTCAGATAGTTCTCCAGGTTGATTGCTCTATCATTAAGTTGTAATTCTGATGTGGTCATGGGAAGAGGCAAGCCATCTTGACCAGAACTCTCATCCAAGAGTTTTAAGTGTAAATAAGTTAGGACATTTTATGTCTTAGAAAAAAAAAACTTCTAATAGTCTGGGGATAATGAGAGCAGTGATGAGTACTGAAAACAGCTCTACATTTTGCTTCATCATGCATCCATCAAAAGAGTACTTGGGTAATTTCAAGATTGTAGCTATTACAACTAACACTGCTAGGAATGTTCATGTGCAGGTTTCTGTGCAAATGTAAACTTCCCTGTTTCTAGGATATATACCCGAGAGTGAAATTGTTGGGCTGTACGATAAGAACCAACAAGCTCATTGCCAGAGTAGCTATACATTTGCGTTTCCTCCAGCAATGTGAGTAACCCAGTTTCTCGCATCCTCATAAGTATTTGCTATTATCACTGTTTTGTTTTTTAATCTTGTCATTCTGTTGGAGGAAATATGATATGTCATTGTGACTTTAATTTGCATTTACCCAATGACTCATTATGTTAGTCACATTTCAATGCGCTTCTTTGCTATCTTATATTCCTTCAGTCAATTCCATGTTCATGCCTTTGCTCATTTTCTAACTGGGTTTTGTTTTAAACCATTGGGTTCAAATTTTTAAAAAATATATAGAAAAATTTTGCCAACTATATGATTTGTAAACACATTCCACCAGATCACAGTTTGTCTTTCACTGCCTTAAGAGAGTATTCTTCTGATCCAATATCTTTCTTTAGACCAAATCCAAATTTTCCTTGTGGTTCATGAATTGTTCTCATGTTTATGAACTCTTGGTATAGTCCTAGATCAACACAATGCTATGTTTTTCATCCCAAAAAGTTGCATAGTTTAAATTTTTACTAACTATAATCACTATGCTGTACATTAGACCCCCAGAAGTTACTGATTTTGTAACCAGAAGTTTGTACCTTTAGACCAACACCTCACCATTTCCTTCAATCCCAGTCACTGGTGATCACTGGGAGCAACTTCTAAGGAGAACAAAAATTTTCTTTTAGGGTGATGAAAATGTCCTAAAAAATGTTCTCAAACTGATTGTAGTGATAATTATATAACTAGGTGAATAAAGTGAAATCATTGAATTGTACACTGAAATGAGTAAATTGTATATTTAAAATTACATTTTAATAAAGCTGTTTTAAAAAGGTAATTGTTTAAACAAAAATAATTACAATTTATAACATATACAGTTATAACCATGACCTTCTTGAACCCTTGTGGAGAACCAACTGAACATTTTATATGTAATGTGAACTGAATATCTGAAACTTTCGTTTCACCAACAATGCATTGTATTTGAATAGAACCTTATGTGAGTATGTTTTACGGAGTCTATGAATTCTTTGGAATATACAAACCGGCAAAATCATTGCGAGACGAACTTAGTAACCTGGGTCAGTGACTGAAACCATCTGTAGTTTTATCTTAACATGTGTAGATGTAAGAAGATGTTAATGATTTCAGATTTTAAAAAAATGGAAATTTATAATTTATTTCTTTAATAGACAGTTATTTAACCTAGCAAATTATTTGAAACCCCAATTTCACTTAAAATAAAATGTTATGTCATGATCAAGTTCTCAAGACTGAGAAAGTGTTACTTGATAACAAATGTAGAAGTGGGTAGAAATAAATAAATAAATGCGTTATATGGAAACGAATTTCTGAGAAATGCAGTTCCCTTTCTAACTGAAATGTTCTGTTGTTTCCCCACTTGAGTCAAGATATTGTCCTATTTGCATTTTGATCTCTCGATCTCTCTCTCTCTCTCTCTCAAAAGATATACGTATGTGTTAATAACAAACTACTGGAAAACAAAATTGTAAAACTGTCATTTATATTAAATTAAAAATAACATATACTTAGAAATAAATATAATAATTGTTCTATATTATAAATATAAATTTATGACACTGGTCAATGTCTTACACAATTTATGACAGATTATTTGTATAATCATATTTACCCTTCATATTTTGAGTTCTCTCTGTTGCAAGGCTTTCTCATTTCATTTAGCTTCTTGACCATCATGATGAAAATTATTAAAAAGGGCAAAGCAATGTAGAAACTGAGAATAAGCCAGTTGTACTGATGTGCACTGTAGTCCTTTTTAATAAAAACTGTAGCTAGAAATAAAACATAGAGATCAGTGGGTATTCACTAAATATTTAAATAAATGTATATTTCCTTCACTTTAATCATATACAGGTAATACACACATACCTATATATTTATATACATATGTAAAAAACAATTGAAAACTTAATACCTTGGAATCTCATAGGGAAAATAGAAGAAAATGTAAGTCATAACCCAAAATTACAATGGTACTTTAAAAATAAATTTCCTGTTTGTCTTTTATGCATATTTATTTAATTATCCTGGTAGTAGGGACATGTTTTGAATATTGCTTGCTACCTTTAGCTTTTTGATGACATTGCTATCATAGAAGGGAATACATTAGTAAGGCCTGGGTTAAACATTTAAAAAGGAATGTACTGTGAAAAACCCCATCCTCTTTCCTTGCCAAACCACAGTTTCTCTCATTAGAGGAAACCATTTTTAAACCACTTGTGTTTTTCCATCTAGTATTTATATTCAATGCATATAAATAAATCCTTACTTATACCTATAATAAGTATAGGTATACTTGTATCTCTATCTATGTCTATATAACTATATGTAGTATGTGTGTATTTTCCCTCATTAAGTCTGTAAAACATGCTACACCTTTTATTATTTCTTACACTTAAAAAATTAAAGTATTACACAATTTCAGTATTCTTAATATGTTAAATTCTTACTGAAGCATAATATGTTAGAAATGCATGCATGCCATAATTATCCAGCTCAAAGAATTTTCTAAATCGAATATATCTATGTAAACAGCCCAAATCCAGGAAACATATTACCAGAAAATATTACCCCAGAAACCCCATTCTGTTTTCTTCCAGGCACTACTTTTCCTGAAGGTAATCACTACATTGGTGTTTAAAAGCATAGATCACTCTTGGCAGATTTTAAACTTTATATACATAGAATTATATTTTATGTATGTATTTTTGTCTTTTTTTTTTTTTTTACTCAATATTATCTAATTTTGGGATTCACCCATATTGTCCCTTAGGGATGTAAAATGTTCATTCTCATCTCTACATACTCTATCTGTATATAGATTTAACAGCCATTAATACATTCTATTCCTTATAGGCATTTGGGTAATTTGCAATTATTGATATTATGATTAGAGCTGCTATGAATATTTTATTACTTGTCTTTTAATCAACATATGCACACATATCTCTCAGATATATGTCCTTGAGACTAGCAATGATTATTCACAGCATATTCCAATATCTGACTTAGCAAATATTCCAATGATTTCCCTAAGTGGCTGTAACAATTATATTTTCATTAGTGAATAAACGTCTTGGTTGTTGCATATATTTGATGTTTCCCTTCTTTTTGTTACAGTTACTTTTATATACAATGAAATGCAAACATTTTTAACTGCACAGATGATTAAGATTTGACAAAGGTACACCCCAATGAGGCAACATATAAAAGAAGTTTTTTTTTGTTTTTGTTTTGACATTGTGGGTTTTCTTCACTTAGTGTACAAGACTTACATTTTTTTAATTTGATAAATAAATGAAATGCATTTAACTGGCACCCGAAATTTGACTACTAGTATGACTATTTTATGTTATTTAAATTTTATTTTAATAGCTTTACTGAAGTATTTTGACACATAATAAATTTACTTATTTAAAATGCACAATTTGATAGGTTTTTTTATATGAAACCATCCATGAAAACCATCCATGGAACCATCACATCGAAATGATGAATGCGTACATCATTCAAGCTCTTCTCTGGCTGCTCCGTGATCCTGCCATGCTGCAACTCCTCCACACAAGCAAACACTGAACTCAGTTTTCTAATATCGTGTGGAAGATTTTTGCATCTATGTTCATCAGGGATATTGGCCTATAATTTTCTTTCTTTGTAATGTCTTTATCCTGTTTTGGAATTAGGATAATGCTGGCCTTGTAAAGTGAGCTTGGGAGTTCTCCCTCCTCTTGACTTTCTTGGAATACTTGGAGGATAGGTGTTAGTTCTTTGAATATGTGGTAAAATTCACATGGGAAGCCATTCAGTCCAGGACTTTTGTTTGTTGGATTTTTAAAAAATTATTAATGCTTCAATGTCATTAGTTGTAATTGGTCTGTTCAGACTTTCTGTTTCTTCTTGATTCAGTTTTGGGAGATCTTCTTGATTCAGATTTGGGAGTCCCTGGGAATTTATCCATTTCTTTCAGACTGTCCAATTTGTTGTCATATAGTTGTCTGTAATATTTTCTTATAATCCTTCGTATTTCGCTGGTGTCAGTTGTTACTTGTCTTTCATTTCTGATTTTATTTATTTAGGTTCTCTCTCTTTTTTCCTTGATGAGCCTGATCAAGGTTTGTCAATCTTGAGTATCTTTTCAAAGAACCAACTCTGGGTTTCATTGATCTTTTGTAATTTTTTTTAGGCTCTGTGGCATTTTTGTCTGCCCTAATCATTATTATTTCCTTCTTTCTACTCACTTGGGGCTTTGTTTGTTCTTTTCTAGTTCCTTAGGTATAAAGTTAGATTGGGTTTTTTTTTGAGATATGTCTTACTTCTTGAGGTATGCCTGTGTTACTACCAATTTTCCTCTTAGGACTGCTTTAGCTGTTTCCCATAGATTAGGGGTTATTGTATGTTTATTTTCATTGGTCTCAAGGTAGATTTTGATTTCTTCTTTGATCTCATTGTTTATCCATTCGTTGTTATTTAGCTTCCATATGTTTGTGTGTTTTTCAGGGTTTTTTTCCTTGTAATTGTTTTCTAGTTTTATACCATGGAGGTCAGAGAGATGTTTGGTATAATTTCAAACTTCTTGAATTTATCAAGGCTTGTTTTCTATCCTAACATGTGGCCAATGCTAAAAATTTTTCCATATACACTAGATGTATTTTTTAAATTTTATTTTGCTTGAGATTCACTTATCTTCTTGTGTCTGAGAGTTAACTTTTTCATGTTTAGGATATTTGAGGGAATTAGTTTTAAAAACATTTTTCTATACATTCATTCTTTCTTTTTCCTTTTCATCTGAATTTTCTATTACACATATGCAAGAATGGTTGATATTTTTTCACAAATATACAATGATAAGCCTTGTGTTTCTCTTACCCCTAGAATCATAATCTTATACTATTGCCTTGTGAAAAATCTCTCATGTATTTTTCTATTATTATTTTTCTATCGTGGCAGAAGCCCTTGCAACTACTCCTCTTTATGTTCTTTCCTTTAAGAATCATCAGTGATCTAAGACATTCTGTCTCTGAAACATTGTTACTTTCTGAAGTTATATCCAAATATTTCATCTCATATCACATAAAATATACACACTTATACCATTACATAAATTACTTTAATTATAAACTGACCAACGAATACCAGTCTTGATGTCCTTATTGAGTTGGAACATTTTTATCAAGTTCCCATAGCTTCTGACAGACATCATCACATGCATTCTTCCACAGGTAAATCAAATGATAGGGCTGGGGGGCTGGGTATGGGGCTGAGGCTCCTCACTCCCAAGATATCACTCCCAAATTTTTGTCCACCACGCATGGATATGGGACAAGCTCGTTCTGTGTCTCTGCCCCTCCTACCTTCTGGATTGATGTGATTTATTTAATTCTATAGTTGTCAGACTTCCCTTCAACTCAATTTCTGATGGTTCTGAGTGATAGTTGTTCTACAGTTTAGTTGTAATTTTGACGTGGTTGTGCAAGGAGGCAAGCCATGCTAATGTACGTCTTCATCTTTACCAAAACATGGTAACTCTTAATCACTCAGAAGATAATGAGGGATTGGATGTGGTAGTACATTTCTTGATTTCATAGAACAAAATTTTACTTTGTTATAAAAGTTTAATTTCTAGATTAACTCACTAGATTTCTGAACATTTCCATCATCAATACTTCCCCCTGGTGAACCAAGCTGGAATTCACAATCTGGAGGCCGATAGCCAGGAAAGCAATGACAATTTCCCAAATTATTACATATCTAGAACAGAAAAACACATAATCACTATAAATCATGTTATATGTAAACAACTAAATTTGAAAGAGTAAAATCACTATTTTTTAAAGTTTATTAAGAATATATACAATCTTGTTCCACTTAAAGGGGATACATTCTGAGAAATGCATGGTTAGATGATTTTGGCATTGTACAAACATCACAGAGTGCACTTACACACAAACCAGGATGGCATATACCTCCTACATGTCTAGGAGGTATAATCTATTGCTCTTAGGCTACAAGCCTGTACAGCATGTTACTGTACAAAAAAACACAAGATTAAATCAAGCACAAGAGAAAATGATGCAATCAAGAGATGTGGTAAACATGAAATGTATGAGGCTGCTGCTAAGGTAACAGAACAAACTGTTTTAAAGCAAACTATTTTTATAAGTAGAAAGAGTGCACTTAAAAATAGGATAGTGTAATAAATGATAAACCAGTAATGTGGATGTTTATGATGATATCAAGTATTATGTACCTTACATAATTGTGCTATACTTTTACACAATTGGTAGAGCACTGGGTTTCTTTAGAACAGCAACACCACAACATGTGAGTAATGCATGGTGCTATGAAGCTACAATGGCTAAGACAGCTACAATGTCATGGGTGATAGGAATTTTTCAGTTCCACTTAATCTTATGGGACCACTGTCCTATATGCAGTAACTGACAGAAATGTTGTTATGTGGTGTATGATTGTAATGCGAGTAATAAGTTAGAAATAGTAGTGAAAACTTTGACACCATATAGTCAATGATGTAATCACTACTTACACAGTAGAGTGTGAGGTCTGTCCAGAAGTTATCCAGCCACTTAATATAAAAAATACATTTCTTGAAGAAGATACAAGATACAAGAAACATTGTACATAGGACAATGACATCTCCGTCCCCTTCAAAGTAGGCACCTTAGGACCTGACACAGATCTCCCAGTTGCCATCAGTTGCCTGTCATAGTTTCCTGAATCTCATTAACAGTCTGAAATCACTTCCCTTTCAAAGGTGATTTTGGTGTTGGGAAAAGCCAGAAGTCACAGAGCACCAAATCTGGGCTGTTAGCAGGGTTTTTAGATATTTCACCTAAAAACTCTGCAAGAGATGTGATGCATGAGTGGGTGTGTTGTCATGATGAAGCTGTCAATCACCAGTTGCTTGTGGCTGTGGCCTCCTACATCACCCAAATCGTTTCTGTGGAGGAATGTTCAAGCTTAACACAAAATTTGAAGCAGATTTGTTGCTCTACTAACTCAGTCATTTTGAATGCAACGGCCACACAGTGCACATGCTCACTCAATGGCGTCTACTGCCCCTGCTGACTTGTACAGTGAAGTTGTAATTGTTCATGCATGCACATTCCAGTCCACTCTCCTTTGCTGCTAGGTCACATTGATGTTGCACAAACCATTCTCATTATATTAACAATGTTTGGACTTTATTCAGACATACCTTGTATTTCTGGCCTCTATATTTGGACTGTTTTTGTAAGATTTTTGTCATCCCCAATCATATTAACAAATGTATTTTTTATTTAAATGTAGTTACTATAAAATCTTACATTGGTTATATTATTTTCAGATGTATATTATATTGATTTGGTATTTTTAAACCTACACTGTGATCACCCCATTAATTCTAGTAATCATTGGAGTCAGTAAAATTATGGCTATGGCATTAACAGAAGATAGCACTTTATTGGGTGAATTTAGAATTTTTCACAAATATATCAATTTATTTTCAAAGATTTGCTGTTACCACTTCCACATTTCCCACTGATGCACTTTCATTTCTATACAAAGTATTGTGATAAAATTATCATCAGTTTGCTTGGCCACTTAAATTTTTTACCCTAGCCCTTTTTAGAAATTTGACACTATTGATAAACCATATGTATCTGCTTTTAAGTGAATACATTTTTGAAAATCAAATAAAATGCAGAAAAATTTTTAAGTGAACTATAAAATAGAACTTTATGATAAACTTGCCTCACTAGCAGTTTATCGTCTGTGCACTTTACGTGTTATTTGTGATTTTTAATTTGAATGGTTTAGATTTAATTTTTATTTTAAAATAAAATAAGTAAAATGTTGTGAAATTCACACAATTAAAATACATGTAACTGAATGAGTTCTCACTCACTAATTCCCTCTCCCCAATGATAAGTAAGCATTTCCTGAATTTCATTCACACATTCATATGTAAACACAGATACCCACATCCACAAACACACATCAACACACATTAATGGATTTTTGCCAAACTAATATCACTAATGTTATACTGTGAACTTACTTTCATGTCTGTATGTGTAGATATAGAACTGGAACATTAAAAAAAATATACTCATGACCACAAAGTCAGGAAATCAAGACAGATCAACTTAAGAAGCAGAAGCAACAAAGAAGAGTCTCACAAACAATGGGAAGACAAAGAAACATCCCCCACTCGAAGGGAAAGGAAGAATCCCCAGAAAGAGAACTAATTGAAAAAGAGGCAAGTAAACTGTCAGATATTGAGTTCCAAATAACGGTTCTAAGGAAGCTCATTGAGCTCAGTGAGCCGACAGAGAATTGCCAAAAACTACAGGAAAACTACAAGGAACTTACTGCAAACTATATCAGTATGAAAAAGGACATAGAAACTACCAATAAGAGACAAGAGGAAATGAAGAACACAGTTTCTGAGTTGAAGAACAGAGTAGAAGGGATCACAAGCAGGCTAGATGAAGCAGAGGAACGAATCAGTGAGCTTGAGGACAAGGTAGAAAAATCTCCCAGAAAGAGCAAGAAAATGAAAAAAGACTTAAAAAAAGAATGAAGAGGGATTTAGGGAAATGCAGGACAACCTGAAACGAAATAATATCCGTATAATAGGGATACCAGAAGGTGAAGAGGATGATGAAGAGATAAAGAACCTGTTTGAAAAAGTAATGATGGAAAACTCCCCCAATTTGAGGACAGAAAAAGTCTCACAAGTCCAGGAAGCACAGAGGGTCTCATTCAAGAGGAACCCAATGAGGCCCACTCCAAGACACATCATCATTAAAATGGCAAATATTAAAGACAAACAGAGAATCCTAAAGGAAGCAAGGGAGAAACAGGTAGTTACATATAAGGGAGCCCCAAAACAGCTAGCAGCAGACTTCTCAACAGAAATACTGCAAGCCAGAAGGGAGTGGTAAGAAATATTCCAAGTAATGAAAAGCAAAGGCCTGCAACCAAGACTGCTCTACCCAGCAAGGCTCTCAATTAAAATGGAAGGTGAAATAAGGAGTTTCCCGGACAAAAAAAGGCTAAAAGAATACAGCTCCACCAAATCAGCACTGCAAAATATGCTAAAGGGACTGCTTTAAGAAAATGAAAAAGCGTCTATGAATACCCAGTTCCTTTCACAGTTGCCAATACTTGATATTACCAATATTTTTTAATATGTATTAGTCTGATTGTGACAATGATGTGTTATTTTAATTATTCCTTTATTATTTGTTGAAACTAAACTTGTTTTTATATATTTCTTGTCTATTTCTATTTTTAAAAAGCTTTAAATGACTCTTTGGTATTCTTTATCCATATTTTTATTAAATGTTTGTGAAATATTTTCCCTAAAAACAAGCAAATAAACCATTAACCCTTTTTCAGATGTGTTGCAAATACTTTCCTATTCTATTACTTGTCCTTAAACTTTTTTATACATATATTACTGTATAGTCTCAAATTTTTAATATAGTCATGTTGTCAATATTTTACTTTATAGCTTCTGGGTTTCAATATTTTACTTCAGCGTGAGAAAAATATATATTTGTATTTTCTCCTAAAACTCCTTAGATTCTACATATTGATTTTTAACTCACCTGAATGTTTCCTGTATAATGTGTGAAATAGGGCTCTCTATTTGTTTTATTTCAAGTAATAGTGGTCCCTGTGCCTTATTTGTTGAATAAGCCTTATTTTACCCATTGATTTGAAATATCAACTTAATCATATATTACATTGTTAGACAGATATATATGTTTATCTCTACAATGTTCATTATATTTCATTGATCTACTTGATTATTTCTGTGCTGGTGTCATGTTAGTTTAATTGCTGAGACTTTATAATGGTTTTAAATTTTTTGATATTTTATAATTTGACATTTAAAAAATAGATAAAATCAACGTGCATTTAAGAAAGAAAGAAAAAAAGAGGGAGAGAGATGGAACTCCTACTTTTTGTGACAACATGGATGGAATTGGAGAGTATTAAGCTAAGTGAAATAAGCCAGTTGATGAAAGACCATATGATCTCACCTATAAGTGGACTTTTTTCAACAAAATAAACTAAGGAACAAAATAAACCACAGGTATGGAAACATGGAACAGACTGATAATTACCAGAGGGATGGGGAAAGAGGACAGTGGTAGAAAGAAGAGGTAGGGACTAGACAAAGAACATGTATGAATGACCCATGGACATGGACAATGGAGTAGGAATAAAAAAAAACTCATAATATTAAATTATATCGATATTTCTTTTAACTCTACAGATATTATGTTGTGTTCATTGCAGTCATACTGCTAAATTGTTTGCCTTAAAGTTTATCAAAAATTTTAAACCTTTGTTTCCCTATACATCAAAAATGATTTCAATAAAATGAGTTTGAATTATAGCCTTCAATTTCACAAAGTATTTTATATACCTGTATATATTTAGTACACTGGTTATAAATATTTTAACATGAAGTTTTTTTCCCCCATTTTAAAAATTTATTTATTTTTGTTCAAATACCCACTTCCTAATTAAGATTGGAATATCATTGATTTATCAATTTAAACCTAATCCATAATTGTTTCCTCTTCCTCAGTTATAACTACCTCAGCAAGATAGGACAACAGAAGACACTTTCATTGCATTTTGACTAATTTCATTGAAGATAAAGGTGCTCAGCTAGAGCAAAAGCAACAACCAAACACATAGCACTATACAAATGTTCTTAAATGAAGAATGACTTGATATATCAGACTGGATGTGCAAATTGACATTCTAATAGGAAAACTGAAGCAAAAAATGCAAATCTCAGCCACTTGTCACCGATATTTTTAAGCTCAAGAATTAATCTTACAACATTCTGCAGAAAGTAAGGGGAATTAAACTCGCATCACATTACTCTTTGACAGGACTGAAAGCAACAGGACAGCATGACAGAATGTACAGCGTTTGGGGAGCAGGAAACTGAAATGTCATAATCCTATGACAACAAGGGGATTCTTTTGTGGGATGGCAATATTTTTGCATTGCTGGTATGTAACAACTCTAAATGTATATATCTCACATTCACTCTCTCTTTCCTTTTTGAATAGTCATATTCCAGCACTCCTCCTCTCCCATTAAAATAGAAAAAAAATATCATATTAGAAAGAATATTTTTGTCTAGTATAGTATTCTAGTATTTTTGTCTATTTTTGGCTAGTATAAATAGATTGGAATTCCATTTATAACATAATTTTTAGGAAAAAAACATTGTTATCACCTCACACTTGCCAGAATGACTACCATCAATAGTCAACAAACAGCAAGTGCTGGTGAGGATGTGGGGAAGAAAGAAACCTTGTATACTTTTTGTGGAAATGCAGATTGGTGCAGCCACTGTGGAAAACAGCATGGAGTTTTCTCAAAAAATTAAAAATCAAAATGCCTTTTGACTCAGCGATCCTGCTTTTGGGTATATATCCTAATGATCCTGAAACATCAATTTGAAAGAATATATATACCCTTATGTCCATAACGGTGTTATTTACAATCGCCAAGACCTGGAAACAGCCCAAGTGCCCTTCAGTAGATGAGTGGATAAAAAAGCTGTGGTACATTTACATTATGGACTACAACATGGCCATAAAAAAGAAAGAAATCTTATCATTTGCAACATCATGGATGGACCTGGAGAGCATAACGCTAAGTGAAATAAACCAGTCAGAGAAAGACAAATACCAAATGATCTTGTATACCAAAATCTGAAGAACAAGATAAACAAACAAAATAGAAACAGAGGCATGGACACATGGATCAGACTAACAGTTGTCAGCGGGAAGGGGGAGGGGAAACTGGATTAAAGAAGGTGAAGGAACTAGCCCCAAAATATTTATGCATAACCCATAGATAGACACAGTAAACTGTGTAGTGATGGCCAGAAGGAAGGGGGGTCGGGGAGTGGGTGGAGGTCAGCAAAAGGGCAAAATGGAGACATTTGTAATAGTGTCAACAATAAAAAAAAAGAAAAAAGAAAAAACGATGCGTAGAATCTCTCAGGTATCTCAAAGTCAAAGCAGCTACACAAAACACAAGTTCAAGGTGAAAGGTGAAGGATATGGAAAAGTACAAAAATGGGCTTAACTGTGTGTACAGGGGTAGATGCTTTTGTTTAAGTTTTGTATAAGGATAGAGGAATAAAGATCTTAGAAAACATGTTATAATTACTGATAATTAATAAGAAAAAACAAAGTTATACCCTAGAATTTCCTTTGTATTTGGGTAAAGAAGGGTAAGGGAAGGAATTGAATAACAATTCATTAAAAATGAAAGAAAATGTGTAAAGGAGAAATGCAAGAAATAAATAGTTGGTGAAAAAAATAAACTGTGGTAAATCCAGACAATGGGATATTATTGAATGCTAAAAGGAAATGCGTTATTAAGGCATGAAAAGACATAAAGAAACCTTAGAAGCATATTGCTAATTGAAAGAAACTACTCTGAGAAGGCTACGCACCATTCATTTCCAACTATATGACATTCTAGAAAGGGCACAATTATGGAGAGAGTGAAAAGATTAGTGGTTGCCATAGGTTAAGGTTGGGGAGGGATAAAAAGGAGGAGCACAGAGAATTTTTAGGCTAGTGAAAATGCTCTTATGATACCATCACGATGGGTACATGTAATTATACATTTGTCCAAACTCATAAAATATACAACACCAAAAGCAAATGCTAATGTGGTTCACCTATGGACTTTAGGTGATTATGATGTGTCAATGTAGGTTAATCAACTGCAACAGAGGTACCACTTTAATACAGAATGTTGATAGTAGGGTAGGCTATGCGTGTGTGTGGGTGAGAGATATATGGCAAATCTCTGTTACTTCCCCCTCAGTTTTGCTGTGAACCTAAAACTCCTCTAAAAATAGAGTTTTGCTAATAAAAAAGGTATATCATGAACAAAAAATGAGTAACACCATATTAACAAGCAACATTTCAAAATTAGATTTCTGAACAGCTACATATTTATAAAATTGAGCTGTTATTGTAAAGGAAGGGGTTGTAAATCACCTCTATCAATTCCATACAATAGAGTTGCCTATTTGTTGAGATATACTGGGATGTTAACACAGCTTCCTCTAGTCTCAGTTAAATTTTACTTGACATTTTGATTACTTTTAGTGCTCTTTTGAAAACATTTTAATTGTGAAATATAACATACATAGAAAAATGAAAAATAACAAATTTTATTTTATTCATTGTTTATTTCAAAATAAAAATAAAAAGTTTTATCAAAAGAAAAAATACATTTAAAAAGTCTAAAGAATATAAAATAGAACTTAAATAGGAATATGTTAAGAAAAATTCTTATCTAAAAAACAAGGTATCCATAATCTGTAATATAACTTTCTTTTTGATATTTTATGAAACAAATCATTGAACAAAGGAAAGCAAAAGATTATGCCAACTGTTGTATAACTATAGAGAAACAGAACATTAAGATGTAGTGACCCTCTTTGTTTACAGCCCACACAAAATTATACAGGGTAGTAACATTTTAAATCTTCTAAACTAATCAACTTTAAATTATAAAGTTGAATACTGATAAACTTGGTGAATTTGGGATCAATCATATAACACTGACTGCATACAAAGGACCAAAGAATAAGTATTAAGCAATGAAAATAAAATCTACAAGTAATGAAAATTGTATTACCAGATTAAATTAGATAAAATGCTCCAAAGAAACAAAAAAGTTTTTTACATGAGAATATATTTCCCATTAGAAACCTCCTTATGAAGAACAAACCGAAAATTCCATAACATGGCAACAAGTTTAAGTATTCTCTGTAAAATATTATACAGCCATAAATTTTAATTATCGAGTATGAGAGTAAACAAAATATGTTATAAAACATGTATGTATAGGCATTAGGAAAAAGTATATGTTTTTAATTTAAACATATTCTAATTCATAAGTTGAGGGTGCTCACAATAAATACAATGCACATATAGTATTGTACAATTGATTTAATAATGTTTGAATTATTTCAGCTGATTTTATGTGAGTTAGCTAGTTCTCGGCAAGGTCAGTTGGAAAGTAACCTAGACTCTCAATTCTCCCAAACAGGATACATTTTTTATTTTGAATTACCACAAAAATAACATGCAGTTTAGAACTACAAAAGGAAAAGTCACTTACCCCATTCCCTTTGCATTTTGTAGAGGCATTGCAGTTATATCCCTTTAAAGGAACTTCTTTGCAGGTTTTATTTTCACAATACTAAAACAAAACGATCCAACATAGTATTTTGTAATTATTCACAAATTTGATATGAGAAAAAGTATTTGTTACCTACACATAATAAATGCTCAAGTTGAGACTTTTTATTCTATATTACTCTTATTCTAGTAAAAAGATAATGACATATCAATACAAAATTCTAAAGAATATTAATTTTAAAAACATAGGGGCATTAGCTTTAGCATAGTTTAGGTCATGATGTCATATAATTTTGGCTTTGATACATACAATTGGGAATTAAGTTGAGGATCTCCATCACAAAAGTTTTCTATATAATGTTAATGTTCTGTTATAAGTAATTGGTTAAATTAATGTTAATGATTTACTCCTCAAAAGTTGGGAGACAATTCATTAATTTTATTTGGGACTTATATATGAGTTAATATTTTGGATTATAAATTATCATAAACCTCTTCTATAATAGTGATAATAATCTGGTTAGATAAATATTTTAACTCATAATTATTATGAAACCCTTGTTATGTCAAAGTGGGTAATTTAGTGGTAATTTGTTACCAGGATATATAACTCTTTACCTCATTTATCTTTTTTATAAATGGCCTCCTAGTTTATGTTCTTTTGATTTCCCTAAAAATACTCAGGAAGTGAATACCAGGAAGTGGGATCATTGGAGCCATGTTAGAAGCTGCCTACTGAGATAAGTCAGTCAGAAAAAGTTAAAAACCGTGTGATTTCACACATATGTGGTATAGAAAACTGAAAGCAACAAATGAACAAGCAAGAAAAACAAACAAGAAAAAGCTCATAGACACAAACAGGATGGTGGTTGCCAGAGGGAAGGGGAGCAGAGGGATAGTTAAGGATAAAGGGGGTCAAACATATGGTGATGGAAGATGATTTGACTTTGGGGGGTGGGCACACCATGCAATATAGAGATCATGTATCGTAAGAATGTATACTGGAAATCTATATAATCTTATTGACCAATGTCACCTCAGTAAAAAATAAAATTGAAGCTGCCTACCACAGTAAGCAAGTTTCTCAAGGGAATAGTTTTGCTGAGCCCAGATATAAGAAATGGCTTATTGATTGACCATTTCAAGGTTTCGTTTTATTTTTAATTCAGCAAGTGCTGAGTACCATTTACATGCAACACGCTGATTTACAATTGCTTTAAATCTCAGAGGGCTTATATTTTCTGGAATGTGTGTCTTCATACTTTCAGGCTAATAAACATCTGAACCATTTTTGTTCTCCCTTTATTTTATGACTATAGGAGTGTAAATGCTCATATGTATGTATATATGCATATGTACATAAGCTTGTAAGTCACTGTAACAATCTTTTCTTTGAACAGACTTCTTGGGTTTTTTCCCCAAACTTCTCACACATGCATTTTGGACATACACATAAGCAGATGATTTAAGAAATATGAAGTGTCAATTATGTTTCTTTGTGAAGTGGGGAAAACTGAAAACTCAATTAGAATATTTCCCTTTGAGATGATAAGGATGGACCTGAAGAGCATTATGCTAAGTAAAATAGGCCAGTCAGAGAAAGACAAATACCATATGATTTCACTCATATGTGGAATCTAATGAACAAAATTAACCAACAAGCAAAATAGAGACAGACTCAGATAGAGAGCTCACAGCTGTTGGGGTGGGGGGCAACTGAGGGAGTGCAGGGATTGAACAAAGGAATAAAAAGGAACAACTCAGGGACACAGACAACAATGTGGTGATTTCCAGGAGGAGGAGGTGGAGGGAGGTGGAAGAAGGTATAGGGGGCATAAATAGTGATGAAAGACTTGACATGCCGTGGTGAACGCACAATACAATGTAAAGGTGGTATGTTGTGGAACTGTACACATGAAACCTATATAATTTTGTTGACCAGTGTCTCTCCAATAAATTCACTAAAAATAAAATAAAATAATAATAAATTCAAACCAATCGTAGACTGAAAAAAACAAAATTAGAATTTTATGATTCAAAGTTGTTACAATTCAAAGGTCTTTTTTAGAAAAATCACCTGTTGGTGGAATCCTGTGCTTAAAACACATACATCCCTCCTCACATAAAAACTGATGACAGGTTAACTGAAAAAGTGTTATTGGGTACCTGAGGCTTAGTTTAATGATCTTTTCATTATCATATGGAAGCTAAGTGACAGCACCAGGTTTAAATGCACTCATTATAACTGTGATAGTCATCATTGAATGTAGTAGTAGATAATTACATAATTTATTACAGTTAAATATACACAAATATGTTTTGATACCATTTGGGTGCCACATGCAGTACCATCAGCCACATAGGCATAATCTCTTCCATCTGATCTCAGTGATGACCCCGTGGTTATAGATAAGCATATATGCCCTTGAGTATATGAATAAACTGCAGATTGAATATTACTTTTATAAGTATTATTATGTGGCCAAACACAAGCTAATTTTCCACAGAGAACATCTCTAGAAATGGAAAGAGAAAATTCCTTGTCATTTCTGTTTTTATGATACCAAGTTCCAAATAAATGTTATTACATGGGTAGTAACATAAATGTCATTCGATAGTATAAAACCAGGAAAAAAAAAGCCAAAATAACATTATCTTATGGTGCACAACTGAATGCGATTCAATTAATTAGCATTGTAGCAGAATTGAAAATTATGCACCACTAAATGTGCAGACATGATGTCATTTTCTATTTCAGAACTCAACTTTGTTGTCTGGCCTCCAGTTTTATAAGAGCAATCATCATATTTTACTACACTTTTTGGAGAAATCCATTACCTGTGCCCACTTTGGTGTAGCTTGACCAGTCTGGTCATTTGTTACTTAACATTTGCAGAAAGTGGCAGATGGCATTGATTTACTCCTTGTGTTATCATTTGAGCCCCTTCTGATGATGCCCATGGTCCCTGCCACGGTCTGCAGTCAGTACAACTCTGTAGTATATAAGCTCTTTATTTTTATCCTAATATTGTTTCTTTTTTTTTTCACCAAACTCTTTTGTTTTGCTGTTGCTCAGTTATGGTTGTCCCCATTTGCCTCTATTACTCTCCCTCTGCCCTGCCCACCCCATCTCCCACATTCAATCTTCACTCCTCCTACCTGTCGTCTTTGTCCATGGGTCCTTTATATATGTTCCTTGACTGTACACATGAAACCTATATAATTTTGTTGACTTTTCCCCTTCTTTCCCCAATTATCCTCCTATCCCCTCCCCTCTGGTTACTGCCAGTTTATTCTTTATATCCATATCTCTGTTTCTTTTATGCCTACTTGTTTGTTTTGTTGACTAGGTTCCACTTATAGGTGAGACTATACGATATTTGTCTTTCACCGCCTGGCTTATTTCGCTTAACATAATGCTCTCCAGTTCCATCATGCTATTGCAAAGGGTAGGAGTTCCTTCTGTCTTTCTGTTGTGTAGTGTTCCATGCTGTGAATGTACCACAGTTTTTTGATCCACTCATTTACTGATGGCCTCTTAGGCTGTTTCCAGCCCTTAGCTATTGTAAATTGTGCTGCTATTGCATTGAGCGTTGAGGCACATAGGTTCTTTCGAATTGCGGCTTCAGGATTCTTAGGTCATGACTCAAGAAAACATCAGCAAAATGAAAAGGGAACCAACTGTATGGGAAAGTACATTTGCCAATGATACCTCGGAAAAGGGTTTGATCTCCAAAAATATAAAGAGCCTATATTGTTTCAACATGTTGATACTTTCAGTAGTTCTGTATTCCCCTCTTGAGAATTAAGGAATGTTTAGATTCCCTTTATGCCACAAGCATACCAAAGGCTAACCCATAAACAGTTTATCTAGCCATTTAGATTTATCATTGGGTAGAATACTGGCTTCTCTAAGAGACTTACAAAATTCCTACTCTATGCCCTAAATGTAACCTGTATTATTATATTTCTTGCTCTTGAATTACCTAAACCTATAAACTCTCATCCTCAATGGAAACAACCATTCTTAGCTATTGACATGCGACTCTTGAGCATGTCATGATCATTTTTTACAAAAGTCTCCCTCTAGTAGACTTTCCAATTAGGACATTTATCCTTTTGTCCTAAAACACTTTTTTGGGTTCTTCAATATCACAAGGATTAGCTTAAAGGTATCATTAAGATTAAGGTATCATTAAGATTAAGATATCATTAGAAATGAGGCTGGGAGCCAAAACCTAAAGATCTTTCTAAGCTTTTCTCTCTTAAGCATAATTTTTCTAGTTTCTCAGAGCTAGATACTCATTTTTATTACTGCTCCACTCTGTTTCTATAAAATATATCTTAAACCAGCTTTGCACGGTAGGTCTCTTTCTAGTCTGGCTATGAAGTACAAACTCTTCCTCCAAAGTCCATTCTCCTTTGTCATTGAATTCTTCGTACTGGCTTTTCTTTTAGAAAAGGGACTATGATCTCCTTGGAACTGATGAATTGTGCCATTGAATTCCAGTCTCATCTAGTAATTTAATTTCAGGAAAATTTATGTGCTACTATCAGCTCAGATGAAGTGCAGATAAGTCATGCTTGCTAAATTTTATCTTCCACTTTTCTTTTTCCTTCTGTCATAAGTAATCTTAAACCAAGAGCAGTAGACATGCCTCTGGTCATCTGTGAGAGAGAGAAAGTGTGGCTGCTTTACCACCGTCTCTTGTCTTTGTTGGCATCTACTATGGCACTACACGGTCTGCTCTGTGTTGGTATCTAACAAGGTGCGGCTGATTAGACCTTGTCTTTTAGAGACTATGTGATTCCAGACCTCCTCTTTCAATCCCTTGTTCTTCCTGTGCTGAGGCACGGGGAATATTCTGCATTCTTTACCATGGTATATGTAATCCATGGTAAAGTCATGTGGTGACAGGTGGTGGAGGATACTATCTTTGTCACACCCAACTAGACACTTTATTCAGATATTTTTAATCATCAAAAATCTTCATAAAGGAAGCAAGTTGCTTTTTAACCATGCTGAGTGTGGTTTTTACCTGAGAATTAAACAATTTTTACTGACTGTGTCTTGGAGGTTGAAAGAAAGTCCTGCTTCTCCCTAGATCATCTGAGCTTTTCTGAGTGTTTTTATATTGTGTGCCCACTCTCTTAAGTTCTTGAATTTGGCTCTGTTTCTATTTTTAAGCCACTGACATCTAAAGGCCGCTGTACATATGTAATGTATACAACTTGATGAGTTTGGGGTCAAGTCCACATCGTGAAGCCATCAGCACCATCAAGAATGGAAACATATCAATCACTTTCCAAAGTTTCTTCCTGCCCTTTGTATTATAACAATTACTTTTGTGGTAAGGACACTCAACATAAGATCTACCCTCCTAGCAAATTTTAAGTACACAATATCACACTTTTAGCTATAGAAACTATGTTGTATAGTAGATCTACAAAACTTATTTGCTACTATTTTTTCCAGTTTTGAGGTATAATTCACAAAATTATAAGATATTTAAGGAGTGTATAGTGATGATTTGATATGGGTATACATTGTGAAAGAATTTCATTCATCTAGTTAACACATTCATCAGTCTACATATTTATCATGTGTGTCTGTGGGTGTGTGAAAACGTTTAACTTCTACTCTCTTATCAAATTTTCCAATATATAATAAAGTGTGATCTAGTCACAATATTGTACATGAGATCCTCAGACCTTATTCATCTTATAGCTAAAAAATTGTATCATTTTATCAACCTCTTTCTATTTCCCACTGGCAACCACTTTTCTATCTCTGTTTCTATACATTTGATTTTTTAAAATATTCCACATGTAAGTGATACTAACCAGTATTTGTTTGGCTATTTCACTGAGCATACTACTTCCCAGAGTCATCTATATTGCTACAAGTGACACGATTTTCCTCTTTTTACAAGCTGATTAACATGAGGTCTGTCTGGAAAAAGTCCAGCTATTGTTAATATAATAAGAACGGTTTGCATGACATCAATGTTACCTGTCAGCCAAGAAGAGTGGACAGGAATGTGCATGTGTGAACAATGACAACTTCACTCTACTAGTCAGTGGTGGTGGTAGACTCCATTGAGTGAGCATGTGTGTACTGTGTGGCCCTTGCATTCAAAATGAATGAGCAAGTAGAGCAATGAACCTGCATCAAATTTTGTGTTAAGCTTGAACTTTCCTCTGCAGAAACTATTCAGATAATTCAGAAGGTAGCAGGTATGGGCAACCGATGATTGGCAGCTTCATCATGACAATGTACCTGCTCATGTATCACATCTCATACAGAGATTTTTGGTGAAGCATCAAATCACCCAGGTGACAGCCTCGCTACAGCCCAGATTTGGTGTCCCATGACTTCTGATTTTTCCCAAAACTAAAATCACCTTTGAAAAGGAAGAGATTTCAGACAGTCAATGAGATTCAGGAAAATATGATGGGGCAGTTGATGGTGATTGGGAGAACTGGGTGAAATCCCAAGGTGCCTAATTTGAAGGTGATGGAGGCATCATTGTTCTATGTACAATGTTTCTTGTATCTTGTTTCTTTTTCAATAAATGTCTCTATTTTCCATGATATATAGTTGGATATCTTATGGACAGACCACGTATATGGCAAGTATTGTACTTACACTTCCATTAACAATGACTCTTGTTTGCTATGGTATTGTGTGTCTCCTGGATACAAGCTTCTTAGGCTCTCAGATATTTCATGATCTTGCCCTTCAGATGAATCTCAAATTTTGGGGCACTAAACGCAGGGTCCAAATCATTTGCTACTCAGGTAAAATTGGGAATTGGGAACTTCCATTTCAATTGTATGCTTCTGTGGAGAACAGGACCTGATGCCATGTTAGAGCATGCACAGTAGAGCAGTGATTCAGAGGGATGATGGCAGCCCCTCAGCATACACAGTACAGCATGGTAAACAACATGTGCTTATCCAAAGGGTAAGACCGCCCTCACAGAGAGTGGCATGTGCCTATTGAGACTAAGGAAAACAACACATACTTACTGAAATGTAGAGAACATACGGGACACTGTGCAAAAACCATGTGACTTTGCAACCCAAAGAAGCATAAAAGCAGAGGACTTCAGACCATGGATGATACATCCAGAGAACGAGTCACTTTGAGACATCCTGCACGTTTTGTCTCTGGAGAAAGAGCTCCCTGTGATCCCATCCCTCTGACTCTGCTTTGTAAGATGTTGACCACCTGGCCTGGTTGCCTCCTGAACCTGGACTTGATTTGGACTCTTGGTACTGGGGTATGTTTTCCCCTAGTCCTCTGGTGTGACATTATTGATGACTGTTTCTGAGTGATTATTATTTTATTAGGCAATTATAGGTTGGGTTGAATCGGCTTTAACAAAGCTTAGAGAATAGCATAGTCACTTGTGTTGACTCAGCTAATCCTTAGTGCAGGTGTGATCTGTAGGGCTGGTGGCCATATAGGTGGCCTGGCACTTTCAGTTCTTCAGGCCCGGAGTGGGGAGGCAGGGCTTATTTATAGGGAAGACTGTATCACAAAATATTCACCTGTGACAGTGCTGTGCCGGGTGTTGGGTTTATGATGAGAGTATATCTCCACCTGTTTCAACAAGGCTATATAGGAGTCACTCAGCTGCTTTCTGGATTTCTTTCAGAGGTAATCACTCCATGCTTACCTGGACATTCAGGTCTCCTATCTTGGAGAGAGGAGAATTCAGCAGCTTCCTATATTGCCATCATGGTCAACCTCCTATCTGTTACTATTTTGGTGATTCTTTTATTTTCAATACTCCTTTGAAATTCAGGAAGTATTTGTTATGGGGAGGCATTTTCTTTTTTAGATTTCATAAATCCCTTTATTCTATAGCTTATCGTGAAACTATATTCCAGAACTATGTAGTCAGCTGTTGATGGCTGCTGCCACACTTTACATATCAGTAATGTGAAAACAAGCAGCAAACAAAAAATTGTTCTTCTCAAAATCCTATGCCTTACGTCAAAGCACTTGCTTTATGATCATTATCATTTACTGAATTTATAAAAATTCCATTTTAATTCTCAAAATAGAGCACAAATTTCTGAATTCTTTTCTTTCTTTCTTTTTCTTTTTTTTTTTTTTGGCAGTATGCATCCACTTCCTATCTCTGATAATAAGCATTAGCCATTTTTTATTCTACTTTCATTATTAGAAAGGTTATTAGGGAAAAAAGAAAACTGAATTGTACAGAAAAAATACATATAATGTGATTTCAAATATTCTTCTGGCATAGGATTTACTTTCCATTACTATTTATTGTCTCTTGACAAGAAATAAAGAATTCAATGAAAAAAAATCATTTTTATATACATACTTTGGTTCACAAGGTAATGGTTGTGAAGTTTTAAAGCCACAGTTTCCAAATCTATCACGAAGAGAATTAACTTCTTCAAAACAAGCAAATGGAGCACCTTGAGCACCTTAAAATGCAAACATACCAGTTAAATAATTATTTAAATCCAAATTAAAAATTTTGTTAACAAAAAGCTAATATATCACTTATCGAAAAATCAAAATATCATGATCTTGATCATACTATTTTCCTGTGTATCTTGTCAGTTGTTCTACCTAATAGGAAATAGAAAAAGATCCTTTCAATTGTAGTGAATTACATGATCGTTAAAAATATGCTTCCTTTCCTTAAGGTAATGCATACTTCCTAATCCAAAGGGTATCAGGTTTACCCCTATAAATTGCTCTGCTTAATGAAATGAGAGATTTAAAATATGTCACTTATGAGCAAAAACTTGTGGATCTGGTACCTAGAGTTCTATTTTCTTTTCTTTTTTTTTCTTCCATTACGGTGGATCGGTAATTTTTAAGTAGAGGCTCATTTGGCAGTGTGGTGTCATTGTGAAGACAATGTGGAGTAGCAGAATAGTTGTGTTGGGTATGTAAATCTCAGAGATTTGATGATTATTTTAATTTCATTAAGCACAGGAATTGGTTCCTAGAAGTGGAGTTCTGTTATAAAAAAATGCCTAAAATACTGTGCTGTTGTAATTGGAGCCTGGCAGTAGGTGGTAAAAAGGAAACAGACAAGCAACAAAGGACCATCAGAGGTTACAAGGAGAGTAATGCATGATATGCGATGTTGAAGTATTTGGGAAAACTATTTTTTTAGTAATTTAATGGGAGATAGTGGCCTTAACGAATTTGTTGCCTTAAGCAAAAAGGTGGGAAACATCATTTTAAGTCAGGAAAGACCCAGCTATTTTAGAAGCAGTAATAAGAAAATTAGACAAAGTTCAGAATGTGTCCATCCTGCAGGCACCAGCATGGTGGTGACAGATGCTGGCTTAGGTAAATTGGCCAAGTCATCATGTCTGTCTAGTTGTTTTGTATCTCTTTCACAGTGAGTGCTTTTTGGTGAGTGTTGACTTAGTTAACTAATACAAAGATCTTCACATTGCTCCTTCTTTCCCATGTGCCTATCTACCCACATTCTGGAACTCTTGTTTCTAGTTTTCCAAACTTTCCATATCCAGGTTCCCCATGAACCAACTGGACCCTTTATCACTGCCCATGAGTACTATATTCTATATAGAATATATCTATATTCTAACCTCTGGACATTTCTTCTTCCACATAAAATAAATGATCAGGTTATCAACATCATTCAAGCCATCCTCCTAAGTGAGGTCACAGTATGGCTAATGTCCTTTTTCAGTTTATAGCCAGTTCCTGAGCCATAACTGTGACCACAAAACAAGCATAGGCTTCTTCTTTTTAAATCAGCTGGTCGACATAAAAGGAAGAAGCCATGTAGTCATAAGTGTGAGCTGACAGAGAAGCAAAGGTATAAATGGGAAAAAGACATACTGTTATGGATTCACTATTTGTAGATTTTTCTTCTGTCTTCTCTTTTTACATGTGCTTGAACCAAGATGAATGAATGACTTCCATCTATCTGACTAAGTTAGAGGTTTTGACATAACCGAGCTTATGATGCAGAGTTCTGAACACATGGTCACTTGGTATCCAAAAGTCAGATTTTCCATCTCTCCAGGGGCCACTAGTGTGCCCAGGTTCCTTTGTGAGAGTGGTATAATTCTCCAGTTTCAGTGGCACAGCCTTGCTGTAGGACCCCAGGGAATGGCGCTGTTAATCTTCCAAAGAAGCTGAGTATATGCCCTACATGGCAATTTTTTTCTCACAATCTATAACTCTAATATTACTGGGTCTGCTATGTTTGATGATTCAAAATGAGGGCTGGTTGCATTTCAGGCTGGACATGCTGCAGAGCCCTTTCTCGCTTTCACCTCACTCATCATTAGCAACATGTCATGTCATCCAGTAAATGGAACCGAGGAGTATTTCCCCACATGGGATATACTGCCTCCAGAACCCAAAGAGGCCTACCAGGTGTTGCGCTTCTTCCTTTGTCATAGTATATGCAAGGTACAGTTTGTCTTTAACTTCACAGGGGATGTCAAGTCATGCCACTGACCACTGGAATCCTAAAATTTTTACTGATGTGACCGTACCTGAATATTTCCAGGATCTATCTACTGCCCATTGTAACACATGTCTTTTACTTAGCCTTTCAACATATTAGCTATACTTTGCTTATTTAGCTAGAGTACTACAAAACATTTGTTGGAGTAGAACAATGTGACATTTTCTAGGATGTCCAAATGTCTTAACTACATTGTGACTGAAGGCAGGAGAGTAAATGTTGCCCTGGAGCAAAACTCAAAGTTAATGCCGTTATCTATTGCATTTTTCTAATTCTCTTTTCAAATAGGAATAGAAAGGAATATATTTGCCAAGTCAACAACTATACTCATACCACATATCTCAGGTTGTGTTCATCTGCTTTAGTCTAGACTCCACAACTAGCACAGTGGATACAATTACTGAATCTAACACTTGAATGCATTTGCAGTAGATTACTATGAACTTCCAGGGACCATGTGGTTTATCAGGGATCAGATTGAGTAATTAAATGTAGATATTATACAGCCAACCACCTATGAATCCTTTGGATTTTTGAAGGTAGCACTAACTTCGGGAAGAGGACAGACTTTCTCCTACAAAATTCTAGGAGCGAGAAGTAATTACCAAATGGATTTGTGGATCTAGTGGCCCCATTGTAAACTGAAACTTGGTAAGAACACCATTTATTCCCTGAGCCCTAAAAGTCCTCACTCTCACAGAGGAACCATGATGACACTGGGTTTCTGGGTATCCGCACCAATTCAGACTCTTTGTCCACCAGTTTCCAAAACGCGTGGGTGTTTCTCTTTCCCTAGTGTACAGGTACCTGGTTCAATAGTTGTAGGTCATTTGCAGAAGCACTAGGGGCATTGTTATTACAAATATTTCCTAGGTTTTGTGGAATTTTTCCTTTGGGCCTTTAACCTGCCCTTAAGTCAGCTAGTTTTGGAAGTAAAAATTGTCTTAGATTCAGAATTTGGACATGGGATTATGACATTCACTAGCGTAACTCTCTTCAGGTTCCTAGTTACCTATTTTCTATGTCGTTTAATTGTACACACCAAGTAATATCATTGTTAGTTGCCCATAGAACACATAGAAGAGAAGTCATATTCTATAAAGTACCTTCTTGTTTATAGATCAGGTATTTGTGTCTTCTACTCTGTCCCTCCTTATTAGAGTAATTTTATCCATCTTGTTTTTGGCAGCCAAGCACTACTATCTGGCCTTGGTTCTTTTTTTAACGATCTTGTAATGCACATTGCTATCAGTGATCCTGCTTCTATAATACCATCTCCTACCATTCACCTCTGGCCTACAGAAAAGGTCATCACTGAAACTTAGAGTGTTTCTGATAACCCTCTCACCAGTGTATTCCCTGTGGTGTTGAATTATTTAGCCCAACGTATATGCTGTAACACATTACAGTATATGCAATTGCCTGAACCCTTTCTTCTATTATCTGTATGGTGATTCCACCATTTAGGCTTCACTTGGAGGGGGTCATCATGGATTTTTTTGTCCATGTTTCTGGAAACAATGTTGGTAGAAACCTATACTATATTCTAGGATTCTTGCCGGGATGTTAAATCCTGTATCCTGGGAGAGTGCCCCCAAACAATAAACCCTCTCTTACCCAGTCTTACACGCCCTCATCTGCTTTTATGATCAAGCACTCTCACATCCAGTTCCATGTGTATTCATTCCACTTATTCTGGTAGTAACTGTTAGCTAGGACCTGCACCTTCACTGGGGTATAGTTCCTTGACTCTCCTAAGTACCAGCACACCTGGGCTCTCTTCTGCTGTGCCCTAACTCCATTTTCAGCTTTGAAAGTTGAAAGTAGGTGGTGGTGTGAGGAGACAGGGCTGTGCCATTCTACAAATTATAAGTTTCAGAGACATTTGGAGGCTCAGAATTATGAGGGAAGTATTTTCAATTGTTCCTACCACAAATGCAAGTCCCATTCTTTTCCCTACTGAACCTGAACCCTGAAAAAACAGACTTGACTGAGAATTTAACCTTCTCTGGAGTCCCTTCAATTTGATAACTGAGTCCTCCACTGTCTCTAACCTCCTCTATTCAGGGAGGGAAGCCTCCTTATAAGTTAGCAGGGAAAAGTTTCCAGCTTACACTTTCACTTAAAAGCATACCTTTTTGTTATCTTTTCCTAGGTCTCAATTTTGCTAGTAATAGCCAATCACTTCCATTGTGCTTGGCTTACCATTTCTGCCATACATTTCAGCTGTGACAGCTGATGCATTCTCTTTCACTACTATATTATCCCAGCTCATTGGGTGAACATATCACCAACTGCCACCAGTGATGGGGTGCTCACTGACAGCGAATGATGCAGTTTTGAAAATTTATCTTGTAGGCTATTTTCTCTACTAACTGTTTCTCTACCATACTGCTTTCAGTACCAACTGTTCATGGTTGGAATTTCCTAAAGGCAACATGTGGATGAAACATGATGTGCAAGCTATTTATTGGAGATCAGAGCATCTGGAAATGAGAAGAAAGCAGGATGGAACAGAGGAGAAGTCAAACTGAGATGTAGGCCCATCAAAGACTTGACCAATCCCACAGGCAGCTATGGAGCATGAATCACCTGCCAGAGTAGAAACCATGCCTCACTTATGCCTGATGAGGTCAAAATGTTCAGGCCTGGATATGTGTTGTCTTGGGAAGGGTGTGCTATTGGGTGAGCACACTGTGCAGTTGAGACAAATTCTGAAGGACTGAGCTGACAGCTTGAGAATAATGACAACTGGCAGTATTTATTTTGTCCACTACATCTCACTTTTTTCCCTGCATTCTATTTCTTTTTTACTTTAAACTGCACTTAACAAAATTATAGGTATTATATTTGCTTTTTATCTGTTTACTGTGTTTACCTTTTCATCATAGGCTCCATGAGTACATTAACCATGTGACTATGTTCATCTTGCTGGATATTACAACTAAGTGTGCATGTGCACTTAGGATATATATTTTAATAGACAAATATGATTGACCTGGTTAACCTTCTACAGTTCTCTTAAAAGTTTAAATTTAGATAATGCAAAATTTTAAAACTATTTAATTCATATATCTCATATATTAGACGACTTTAGAATAGCCTTTAGTTATATAGTTTTTGGTAAAAGAAGGACAAAAGAAAATGCTGGCCAGAGAGAAGAAGGGGTAGGGGTAGGTGGAAGGAGGAAAAGTGCAGTAAATGGGGACGGAAAGAGACTTGGCTTTAGTTGGTAAGCACACAATGCAGTATGTAGACGACGTTTTATTGAGTCATACACTTGAGACCTGTGTGGTTTTATTAACCAGTCACCCCCAATAAATGTAATTTTAAAAAAAGAAAAAAATGCCTGCTCCAAGTAGGACCTACATAAATGAATTAAAGAGGAATGAATGAATAAATGAATTTCATCAAAAGATTGAATTTTTGACCCATTGGGATAAGTTTTGCAGAGATACTGCAGCATATGTTCAAGGAGGAAACACACATAATGGTTAAATCTTACCTAAACATCTTTATTTTACTTAGAACTGAACAATATGTCAAATTTCAACTAATTCAATTCTGGGTCAAAGATTTATTTGTAAAAATAAGGAATGTGTCCTAGACTCTCCTTAATGAATGTTACGGAGGGTTGCTTAATTTTATTATAAAGTGATGTATAAACTTTGATCAAAAGTTTCTTTGGCAGTGGCAAATAACATTTTCAAATATAAGGAACATTGAAAAAGGAAAACAAAAACAAAGAAACAACAAAACAAAAGATAGCATCCTGAAAATATAACATACAGAAAATTACCTCTGACCTGTGATTTAGGAGATCATAGCTCTGCAGTTCTGGTTGACTTTAGGTTAAGTCACATCTAATGTGCAACTTGTTACTACAGACAACTTTCAAATAATTAAAAAGACAATTTGAACCACGTAGCATATCATTTGTTACCAATTATATTCATTATATCACTGCAGAGCAAATAACTGACATTTAGTGTTATGCTACCTTTACTCCATTAGTAAGTAATTTTATCTGGCTGTATTTTATTCAGTAATTTTGATATATTCAAATTTAATTTAACTATTCTAAAATATAAAATCATATTGGGTATTATGAATAATTACTGCCTAAAAATCAAGTACATATGCATGCCTTATTCAATTCTCAAGAAGTGCTTAAAAATCAAAATGAAAACATGAACTTTCATCAGTAGCCTATGACTGCTGTTATCGTAACAGTCCTTCAGCAATATATATACTTGAATGAAGTTCACTCTGAATTTTTAAGTTTCATGCCATTAAAATTAGATCATGAATATGTGAGTTAAAAGATTAATTGAAATTTCAGAATTTACCGACTTGCCATTCGAAGCTCCATATCAATTATGAGCTGAAAACACATTTTTACTCTGATAGCTAATTACCAAAAACAAAAAATCAAACTGTGAGGAAAAAATAGTACAATACTATCCTAGAAAACCTCCAACACTTCCACAAAAATTAATCTTCTTTAATTTAAATTTAGTCTTTACTGAGTTTGTGATTCGTGTTTTTCCTCTTCTTGTGGTGTGTGACATGCGTGATATTCTACAGAGGAATCCAAAGTTGAAGTAAAATAAATATGCAAGAAAGAGCAGTACCTTTTCCAAACACATTAGCACACTGGTTATCTGTAGTTTGGCATTGTCCATTATAACAATAGGCAGTTCCCAACCTGCACGAGTGGCCATTCAATGCATAAGTGTCAGGAACACAATTACTAGAAGTTCCATTGCAATACTCTGTAAAATCACACTCTTGATCAACACTTTTTCGACATGGAGTGCCTACTATAGACACCTAGGGGGGAAAAGAAAAAGAAAATCATGTTCTGTGAATGACTATCTTCAATTACTTTGTGAAGAGTTTTATCAAACTAAATATGGTTGATCACTGGTATTTGAGGGAGTCAGGGAGTTACTGAGGCAGAGAGTGCACTGAAGGAAACACCAGGCTCTTTAGGTGGTACTGACAGAAAATTAGTATTAATTAGGTGTCTTTTTTCACCAAAAAGAATTTATTTGGGAAAGAGAAAGGGTTTTGGCCCAGCATATGCAGCCATGACAATACACCTTTTGTCCAGTGAGACAGGATGAAGAGGTATTTATCCAAAGGAAGAGAACATGAAGGGAAGGAACGTTAGAACCACAGAGCTTTCTTATGAGCATAGAGTTCTTCCTCTAGAGTTCTCACGTAGGTTTGTGACTGCACAGACTTTTATAAGCCCTAGTTCCTCCCGCAGACACTCTGGACTGATTGGGATTTTTAAAGTTCCATCTAGTCTTTTTAAAAAAACTGAATGTACTGGGGTTACATTGGTAAACAAAATTATGTAGGTTTAAGGTGTACAGATCTATAATACATTATCTGTATTTCATATTTGTGTGTTCACTACCCCAAGTCATGTCTCTTTCTAGTTAGTCTTTATCAGAAGGCAAGATGACTCACTCTGAATTTGGAGAAAAACTAAAAAGATAAGTTTAAACATACCTGTTCCTCCAAAGTGGAGGGATATTACCTCTACCTTTTTGTTCATGGAGAGACACAGGATCCAAATTACCTGGTCTCAATCTCTTGGTCAGACTTTACTAGTTTATTTGTGTGGGTGAGACAAAAATCTCTGTGTGGTGCAGTTTTCTCATTTGTAAATTTAGGATAATAATGATCCTCTCATAAGGTTCTTGTTAGTATTCAACTGAATGTAAATTATATATAGAGCAACATATGATAAACATGTGTGTAATAGCTATCATCATCATAATCATTATCTTTATTATCTGAAAATAAAAAGTGCCCTTTGCATATCTCAGAAACATAGTATAGTTATTGTCAAATTTTTATGGCCCACTGACTTAATTGGTCATTCATTGCCTTCCATAATGAAATTCACCAAGTCCAAATGCTGACCCACAATATATATTGAAGTAACACACACACACACACACACACACACACACACACACACACACACACTACAATACAGTTTAATTAATAATAGAGACAAATATGACTAATGAATGAATCAAATGACATCTTAAGAATAATTAAAAAAAAAATCTTTCAATCTCAAAGTTTATACCTCGGAAGTAAATATTCCTAAAATGAATGAGAAATAATGACTTCCTTATGCAAATAATAACTGAGCAAATTCATTTTCAACAGACCCAAATGAAAAGAAATAATAAAGAGAGGTCTTTAGGCATGAGAAATAGAATACCAGACAGAAATCTACAAAAGGAAGTAAAGAGAGCTGGAAAGGGACTAAATGATGTTAATCATAAAACTCCCCTTTTCCTTATTTGTTTGCTCTAAAACATAAGACAATATAAAGCAAAAGCAGTAACAATGTATTTTGTATTTGTAGTATATGGGAGTGTTATGATCGGATCCATTGACACTGCACATGAAGTGGTATATTGTATGAAATCAGACTGATTAATCAAAGATTTATAAACCCTGGCCCAACGAATGAAGTAATTTTTTTTCATACATAAAGTATATAATTTGGTTGTTTTAACATATGCATACACTTGCGAAACCACCACTACAATTAATATAATAAACATACTCATTACTTCTCAAAGTTCTTTTGTGCTCCTTGGTCCCTCTGTCCTGTCCTTCTGTTCCCAGGGAACCATTCATTTGTTTCTTGTTATTATAGATTTGCTTACATTTCTCAGAATTTAATGTGAATAGTATTATATAGTATGTGCTATCCTCTTTTATGTCTGGTTTCTTCCATCTAGAATAATTATTTTGAGACTTATTCATGTTACTGAGCATATCAATAATTAATTCTTATTTTTTCCTCTTAATTTTTCTTTTTTGTTCAAAGCCAAAGGGGGTAAGGATTGAGGGCGGGAGGTGGGGGAGAGGGGCAGGGGAAAGTGGTGGTGAGAAGGTGGAGACAGATGTATTTGGACCAATGAAGTCATTTTTAAAATATAAATAATAAACCCACGATACAAATAATAAATGGATAGCAAAGATAAAATGAAACCATACATTGTGTGGGTTTAGACTTTACATTTAGTTTGCAGAGCAACTGTAAGTCTCATAAATGGTTGGTGGGGATTCAAAATAGTATAGCAACTTTGAAAAGCCAGTTTCCAGTTTCCTATATGGTTATATGTTTCCATATATGTTTACCATGACTCAACAATCTCACTTTCAGATATCTTAGTGAAATAAAGCTCTATGTTCACACAAAGTCTGCTTACGAATATTACATATAACAGCTGCATTTTCATCACCAAAAACAGAAAACCCAAATGTCCCCCAACTGGGGAATGTATTGACAAACTGTGCTCCATCCTTACTATACTTGCAAGAGTACTCAGCAACGAAAGAGAAATGAACTACTGACAAACACCTTAACACGACTGAATCTCACATGCATTATACCAAGATGCCTAATGACAATGTTTATACATATTGTATGAGTAAATTTATGTTTTCTCAAAATCAAAATTAGAAACATGGAAAACAGATCTGTAGTTACCTGGGTCTGGGGGTGAAGGTAGGATTGACTACAAAAGGGCACAGGGCTTTTGGGGGAGTTGTGATGAAATCACACATCCTTTGATTGTGGTGCTAGTTATAAAACCAAATTTGTTTGCAGTAATACTCTAAAGTAGCCAGTAAAAAAATTTACTACATTATATCTTAATTTAAAAATTGGGTTAAAATTTATGAAATAGATTATTTTTGGTACTATGGACATTTTGATGATGTTAATTCATCCAATCCATGAACACGGCATATGCTTCCATTTATCTGTGTCTTCTTAATTTCGTTCTTCGGTGTTGTGTGGTTTTCTGAGTACAGGTCTTTTACTTCCTAGGTAAGTTTATTCCTAGATACTTTATTTTTCTCATTGTTACAGTAAATGGGATTTTTTTTTCCTGGTTTCTGATTCCGATATTTCATTGTTGTTATACAAAAATGTCTTCAATTTTGTATTGAAGGCATTTGTATTGAAGAATATTGACTTTGTATCCTGCTGTTATGCAAAATTCACTTCTTAAATAAAAAGAGAACCAACCATATGGGACAACATATTTATAAATGATACCTCAGACAATAGTTTCATCTCCAAAATATATAAAGTACTCACAGGACTCCACTCCAGGAAGACAAACAACCCAGTTAAAAAAATGGGCAAAGGACCTGAACAGACACTTCTCCAAGGAGGACATACAGAGGACCCAGAGACACATGCAAGGGTGCTCATCATCACTAGCCATCAGAGAGATGCAAAATAAAAACACAATGAGATACCACTTCACACCAGTCAGAGTGGCCATGACTAACAAATCAACAAATGAGAAGTGCTGGCAGGGATGAGAAGAAAAGGAAACCTTGGTACACTGTTGGTTGAAATGCAGACTGGTGCAGCCAATGTGGAAAGCAGTTTGGAACTTTCTCAGAAAACTAAAAATGGAATTGCCTTTTGACCTGGCAATTCCACTGCTGGGATTATACCCTAAGAATCCCGAAACAGCTATTTAAACCTATGCACCCTAATATTCAGAGCTGCACAATTTACAATAGCCAAGTGCTGGAAACAGCCTAAGTGCCCATCAGTAAAAAAGTGGATCAAAAAACTGTGGTACATTTACACAATGGAATACTACACAGCAGAAAGGAGCTCCTACCCTTCGTGACAGCATGGATGAAACTGGAGAGCACTATGCTAAGTGAAATAAGCCAGGCAGTGGAAGACAAATACCTTACGATAACACCTATCAGTGGAACCTATCAACAAAACAAAGAAACAAACAAAATAGAGCCAGAGACATGGATATAAAGAATAAACTGACAGTAACCAGAGGTGAGGGGGAAGAGGGATAATGGGGGAAAACAGGGGAAGGGCTGTCAAGGAACATGTATAAAGGACACATGGATGAAGCCAAAGGGGGTTGGGATTGAGGGTCGGACATGAGGACAAGTTGGGCAAGAGGTAGCAGTTGGGGGGAAAATGGAGACAACTGTACTTGAAGAACAATAAAAAAAAGAACAAATGAAATAATTGTGATGTAATGTATTAGCATTGACATCATACTGTTTAAAAAATTTTTATTTTCTTGCTTTGAATTTTAGTCTTTTTAAAAAACATTATTGTTGTTTAGTTATGGTTGTTCCACCTTTTCCCCCATTGATCTCTCCTACCAAGTCCCCCCGACCCACTTCCACAGTCAAGAAGGGGAATGGTCAAGCAAAGGAACACGAACAGAGGACTCACGGGCACAGACAATGGGGAAGGATTGACTCTGCAAATCATAAAATATTTTTCATTATAGAACTTTCTTTCTTATTCAAACATATGCCTTGAAGATAATATCACATTAGTGCATGTATATTTAGCTTGCATTTATTCTCTTGGACAACATACAATAATTTATATAACCATTCCAATGCTAGTAAATATTAAGTTTGTCTTTATGGCTTCCTATTGCAAACAATTCTGTAATTAATATTTCCAGAGCTTTCCACATATGTGCATGATTCTAAGATATATACATATAAGAGATAATGATGATGATCAATTAATTTAATAACTTATACCTTCCTCAGAAATATACAAATACTGTTCATCAAAGGAATTATAGCTATTCAAAATTCCATAAACGCTATCCAAAAAATCTCTGTCCCCACTCCTTAGTCAATATCTGACATCACCATTTTTAAGATGGCTAGTTGGATATCTGTTCTATGATACTGCCTTATTCTTTTTATTTATGCTTACCTAATTACTGCAGAGGAGCAATGTACACATTGAACAATTGTATTTTCATTCTTGTAAATTACCTGGGTACTTCCATTGTCTGTGTGTGTGTGATTTGCCTTTTGCTTATCAATATGTGAGAGTTCTTTGGATATTCTGTATGCTACACATTCATCTGCTACTCGTGTTACAATTTTTCACAATTAATAACTTACCATTTATTTGGCTTTACAATTTCTTTGAGAGTGGATTTTTTGATATAGTAATGGATATGATTATTCTACTCTTTATCTGATCACTTAGATGAGAGTAAACTCTATTTTCAACACAATACCAATCTGAGATGACTTCTTCATTCACAGCAGTTTTCTTTCCATGCTTGTGGTTGTTTAAGCACTCTATTTTGTTCCATTGAATTACTCCTACATTCTTTCATCAGTTCTACAGCAATTCAATCAACATAGCTTTCCATGATCACATTCAATTTCCTTTTCATAAATATTGGAAAAGTACCTCACATTCTGGTGTACAGCATGGTCCAGAACCACATTTCACTGAGCCTTTCAGTTTACATGTGTTATAATCACAGCACTTCTTAAACTGACAGTCCTAAAATTTCATGAGAAGAAATGTTACTCTAGTTCAATCATTAAATTGCTCTTGTTTCTTAATCTCAACTTATATTTAATACTTTTCTGTGTTCAATTTTTCTTTTTATTTATTGTTCAGTTACAGTTGTCCCACCTTTTTCCCCATTGCTCACCTCAGCCCCTTTGCCCCAACTCCCACAGTGGGACAATCCCCGCTATTGTCCATGCCCATGAGTCCTCTCTCTATTCATGTCCCTGTGTTTGCCCCTTCTCCTTGTGTTCAATCTTTCAATTATACACCACAGCTATTGTCAATGAAGCTTTACAGTTTTTCTACTTCTAGAATATCCAAAGGCACATCCAACTATAAGAACTAAATAAATAACATCTAAAATAGCAGTTGATCAGTGATATTACCTAAAATATTTAGTAATTAATTAGTTGCCAATGAACTAATTCACAGGATGTCAATCTATATGTATCTTTGGTGAAAAATGTATGAGTACAAAAGAAAACTTCCCCAATTGTGTTTTTAATGATTTGTTTACTCAAGTTTCCTTCTGTGAATAAAGTTAGTAGAGTTAGGCAATGTATATCATAAAAATACATTTAGTATATTAATCATGTGTCATGTTTTACTATAATGGAAATAAAAAAGGATATATTGATACATACATATTTTATAAGGTAAGATAACAAGTCAATTGTTATTTAAATAAGATAATTTTAATAATGTTAATAAAATAAATATTGTTTTCATCTAGATCTATTGCATTTATAAAATTCATTAATTAATATATATATTTTTTATCTCATGAAAGGACATACTTGTTGATTTTAGAGAAAGGGGAAGGGAGGGAGGAAAGGGGAGAGAAACATCAATGTGAGAAACATCAATTGGCTGCCTCTCATATGCACCCTGATTGGAGACCAATCCTGTAACCTAGCCCTGTGCCCTGACTGGGAACGGAATCTGCCGCCTTTTGGTTATGGGACAATGGTCCAACCAACTGAGCCAGACTGGCCAGGGCTAAAATTCTTTAATATTTTTATATTCTTAACATTTTTTTCTAATTTACTATTAGTTGGATTGTTAATATGTTGATAACACATTTTATGTGACTTGACTTATTTCATCATTACGTACAAAAGCTCAGGACAGTAATTTATCTTTTTTAACTTAAAACCATATAAATTTAAAAAATTCATTTTTATTACAGTCAACATACACTATCATATTGGTTTCAGTTGTACAACATCATGATTTGACAGGCATGTATCTTACTGTGTAATCACAATAAGTCTAGTAAATGCCTGTCACAATACAGTTATTGTGATATTACTATTTTTCCTGTGCTGTATCTACATTCCATTGTTATTTTGGAGAGTGGTGGATGATTAAGAGAATTTAAGTAGAAATTTAATGTTATGTAAATAGTGGTGGTGAGTTATTTTTGTAGGTGAATACAAAATTGAAGTAACTTGGGGAGTAATCAAGAAAAAAAGTTAAGGAGAAGGGGACAGTTAAATATTATACCTTAATGAAATTATAGTAGACAAAATACGTGGTCCTGTCTGTTGGCAATAGTGTGCTTTGAATATGCATTTGATGGAACTATAGTAGACTGCACACCTATATTTAAAAGTGAGCAAATAGAACAGATTTTGATCATGCTGACACTTGGAAATGCAGGAATGTTTGAGAATGATTATGGAAAAATTTGAACCAAATTCAGGAAAAGTTTGTAGAGAAAACAGAGACTGTTATATGAGTTAGGAAATCAGTTGTGGATAAAGAGGAACTTATTTAACCTAAATTTCCAAATCTCTCTGGTAGGATAATTAGAAACAGTATGTGCAAACCGTTTTCATGACTTCCTCATCTTCTCAGTTGATGAGGTGTGCGAAAGTGATTTGTGTATCTTAACTTATTCCCATTTTCATATCGTGATTCTATATTGAAGACATCACCAATGATATTATCCCATATATAGTGTACCATGTCAATCACTTATTAGAAACACAAAAAATTGTGCTCAAATTTCCATCTTCATTACTCACCTCTTCACTACCACAGTCACATTCTTCATTAAGTTCCAAAATCCCATTACCACACACTGACTGAGTTTTATGTAACAGTTGCAAATTTGGAAAGTTTTGAAGACATTGAGCATCCAATTTTGAAACAAGATACCTATATTCATCCATACTACAGTTGCTAAAAATCTTTACACCACTGGAACCCCTAAGATGAAATAAAATTCCTCAGGTAAATAAACCTGGTTAATAAAACCATATCTAAACAGTGCTCCATGTATTAAGATATGCATTGCAAGATGGCGCAAATGTAAAACTTGTGCCTTAGCAGAAACAAAGTCAATCAAGATTAAATTTTAATTTATCTTTAACATTTTAAAATACATTGAAAGTGTATCTTTCCAGGAAAGCAATAGGGTGTAACAGTTAACTCTATCTATCTATCTGTCTGTCCTTCTCTCATCTCTCTCCACCAAATATGCTCTTCTCTTATATATTCAAGTTTTCCTTTCCTTCTTTAAATCAAATGTCTGTTCAAATGTCACCTTCTGAAGAGCTTTTTCTTGACAACATTATCTGAAATTATGTCCCCTCCCACATTCTACTTCCATTTTCAATATTTATCATTCTACATAGTACTATATTAGTATTTTTTAAATTTTTTTAAATTTGACCTTAATTTTTATTTTCATGTTCAAAGCTATATTTCCAGTGGAGTATTTAACAGGTATGACTAATATCTAATAGGTATGACTAATACCTCTTCAATGTCCAAAGACATTTCAAATATCTATGTACAATATTGAACTATTGAACTCAACCAAACCTGCTTCATCCACTGCACTCAGTTTCTGGCAACTCCATTCTTACGGTTTCTCAGAATAATTTAGTGTGATCTTGGGTCCTTCTCTCTCTCACACACTCTATACCAATACACACAGACACAAGCAAAAGTAACGTCTCCAATTAACAAAGTTGGTGTAATTTACATGTTGAAATAATTGTATTTTGAATATACTGTGTTAAATAAAATATATTATGAAATATAATATTGCAATTAATTTTATCTTGTTCTTTTAATATTTTAATGCAGCTATTAGAAAATTTAAAATTACATATGTGGCTCACATTTTATTTCTATTGCACAGTGCCATGCTAAGCAAGAATGTCTGAAATAGTATCACCTAAATAGCTATATTTAAGATGACAGAGGTCCTGGGTTGTCCCCTGAGCCTCTAAAGAAATAAATGTGTAACTGCTAAGGCTTCAGAGTTGGGAGAATATGAGAAAAAAGAAATGCTTCAGCTGTCACTGACATAACTATTGGTAATGAGATAAGTAAAAGAAATAATCACAAGGCATTAAATTATTTAAGCAAATTTCTCTATTACTTTTAACTATTTTGTTTTAACAGTCATTAAGAGCCACTCTAATACTGCAGAGCAAGTTCATGCAAAAATCTACAAACTTTGAGCGCTGGTATCTTTTTACATAAAATTAGTTTAAAGATAGACAGAAAACAGATTATTTTCTCTTTGTACCATATGGTTTTTGAGTGAAAATTAAAAGTATTAATCAGAACTAGGAACTTTTGTTTAAGGTGGGTATAAAGCAATTTATATATTAAAATTTCTGCTTAAAAGATATATATATATCCTACTATATACTATAATCACATTATATATAATATATACCATAATGTTTATATTTTTAATACGCACAAGACATTTCAATGTAAATATTAAATGATTGGGGTTTTGTGGGGAAGCTTACCATCCAGGCCTAAAGACAACTCTAAATAAAGTGAGCTAAGGCAGCTCTCTCAAAGTACTTTCTTTTTTTTTTTTTTTTGTCATTTCAGATGATTTTATTTTATTTTATTTTTTTAATTAATTTATTTACTTTTTAAATACATTTGTCTCTGCCTTCCCCCCACCTCTTTCCCTTGCCCCCTCCCACCTTCCCTCCCTCAGCTCTTCCCCTTTGGTTTTGTCCATGAGTCCTTGCTATATGTTCCTTGACTTTCCCCTTCCCTTCCCTTTCCCTGCCCCCCTTCCCTCTTGTCTCTGTTGATTTCTTTTCCTTTAGTGTTGCTGGTCATATTTTCCTTGCTTCTTTGCATTGTTGGTTAGGCCGTTAGGTGAGATTTGTATTTGTCTTTGGCGATGCTCGAGTTAAAGTTTAATTTCTTATCCAAAGCTCCAAGTGCAGGGTAGGAGAAATGCAAATAATTATTTCAAAAGACCACAGCTTCCCTTGCAGCCCTAACTCTGAATTTCATGGACATTAACTTGGCAAAACCTCAAGTATTTATCCACTTCCTTTATATATGCATTTTGGTAGCTGAAATTAAATGGACCAAAATAAACAAATCTGCTACTTTAGTTCATATTAAATTTGTAACTACAAATTCTAAGTATGTCCTTAAAAAGATCCACAATCTTATCACATTCCCTAAGTCATTTCTGATTTCCAGTCTCCATGACAAGCGTTGCACATCTACCATGAAAACTCTTACACTCTTGGCTCTCAGCCTCCTGTCAGAAGAAAGGGTCCTCATTTTTACCACCTCTACTAACCAAACTACATCCATCTTTACCTATCTACTCTCCTAATGTTCTATCGCACTGCTTACATCTACCCAGCTCTACAAAAAGCCAGTCTCTCTACTTATGCCCTAGACCCTGTCCTCTCTCATTTGCTCAAGATTTGCTTTTAAATCATTGTCATACCCAATATCATCATTTTTTTGTCCCATTTCTCTTTACTTATATCAGTCTATAGATATAATACGTAGTCTCCCTTCAATAAAACCCCTCCATGACCAGAAATTTCACTTCATATTCCTTAAAATGTTGTCTTTATTTATCATTTCCACTTGATAACCACCCACAGAAATGATCAATTTCCTTAAAAAAACTAAAATATTGATCGGAACTGTAATAAATTTACAAACCGCTTCTGAAAAAAAACCAATATTACAATAAGTTATCTATTTTCATGATGATGGTACACACATACTAAAATTTTTTTCCAGACTGATCATCCTAATAAATTTTTGATGCTTTTGTTGTTCTAACTGTAATTGGATTCTGTTGAATTATATAAATAGTCAATCATAATATCTGTAAATAAGGACAATATTTTCCCTGTTCAAATCCTTCCTCCTTTCCCTTTCCCTCAAAATACTAGCCCGAATTGCCAGTACTGTGTTACATTGTCAAGGGTGATTTTAGACATCTTTGCCGTGAGCATTGAATACTACAACCAAAAAACAATAATATTATATGCTTATATAATATTTCATAGTCTTCATGTTTCTTAAAAATTTCCCTCTAATTCCTTTGAGTGGATATATCTTAATCATAGGATTTACCACTTTTTAAAGTCTTGTATCACTGAGAAAAATTTGTCACTTGCATCATGTACAACATACTTTTCCAAGGTTTGATGTGGAGTTGACACAACAATAAAATATTTATTAATAAAAGGATAGAAAGCTCATCACATCTGTAAACAACCTCACCAATATATATGCAAAGTTAATTAAGAGGAAAAAATGTCTTACACTGCTTTGTGATTCATTATGCACGTCGTTCTTGGACAAGAACACTCACTGATGTTATCGTATGTTAGTCCTATTTTAAGGCCAAGTAGTTGAGCTACAATAACTGAAAATCCCTCCAAAGTTATTGCATCTGTATACTAAAATAAAGAATGTTGAAGAGTAAACCATTTTCAAGAGGAAAACAAAAGCAGGTAATAAATTAATATATTTCATTTCTGTAAAAAATTATATTTAAATACTTGATATCTTCAGTATATTTTACCACACTTTATTTCGATATGTCATTGCTATGAATATCCATATGAGTTTATTTATTAAGAAGCATAAAATTATGTAAAAAGCAAACTACCAGCATTCTCTGGTTTAAAATCTGACATACCCTATGAGTCTATGTTGCTTATTCGTTCAGTTCGTTCATAGTGAGCAGGATGACAGTTAAAGGGGGAGGGTAGGAGGTAGAGGGATTGAGCAAAAAGGAAAAGGGACTTATGGACATGGACAACACTGTGGTGACTGCAGGGGTGGGAAGGAGAGTATGAGGGGACTAAATGGTAATGGGAAAAATACAGCACCATAGAAAAAGTAAAAATACAAAAACTCAATTAAATCTGACATCCCTAAATTCTGTAGCACTCAGGCTAACCTTAAATACACTTAGAATTCCAATGCACTCAATATATAACCCATTTATTTAGCTTTCTCATTAAAAGAATTCATCTAATTAACAAATATTAATTCAGTATATACATGTGTCAAGTACTCTGATAGAAGGTGGAAATGTAGCAGCATGCAAAAATGGACTGTGTCCACACCTGGAGCTTATAGTATAGATGGGAGAAAGAAAAGAAACAGGAAATTCACAATAAGCTTCCCAAATATAATGAGATAATGAAAAATACTCTGAGAAATAGAAATGTTCCCATGGAGAATTTTGAGGAGGGGTATAACTATTTAGTTAACATAATTAGTAAAACGTTTGTGTGGCACTGATACTTAGGTTGAGATATAAAGTTTGGGAAATGACCCAGTAATATGAGCCTGGGTAGGCTGCTTATATGGGAATCTATTCAAAGGTTATGGTATAATGAGTGAAGCGAAGAAATAGCTTAAGTTAGAGATATAGGTAAAGCCATGATAGTATCCATTATGCCTACTTGGTAAATGAATAAACTAACATTAATAACATTTTTCTTAGGTGTAAGATCTGTAACTAAGTAAGCTTTCTGAGACTAAAATAATGCACCAACAAAATAATAATAAATATACATGTAGAGAAAAAATAAAGTTATTATACATTACTTAACTATAAATAATACTTATAAAATATAATATTATAATGGACAAATATTACATACCACAGCTATATTGGCATCATAGCTTCTATTGCATATTGTGCCAGCAAACGTTGCTCCCATATATTTAGGATGTTTCCTGTAACTACATCATTATAGCATGGCTTTTTAATTAGCATAGTTATTCAGAAAAATTTATTCACTTATTCATTAAATTAAATCTTCCATAAAATTTAAAATGATTTTTCAAACACAGAACATTTTGATCTGGATAATATCTATGACACAAAATGCTCAGATCACAGAAAATTACAATTTACTTTAATACCAATAATCTTTCCTCACCTAACTCCTAGACTCGATATGCTTTTATTATCTCAAATTCTCTTCAGTTTTTATTACTTTGTCTTCACTGTTTTAATCATGAAAACTTAAAACAAAAAAGATTTTTAATTTGTGGAAGAAAAAAAATCTCACCTCTGCTAAGGATAAGCATTTTTTAAAAGTTAAATATTACCAACAAACAAATTTCTCTTAGTCAAACAGTACACGCAAAGTGTATTAACATATTATAGGTAATGTTAACTGAATAGTGTCAATTTTTCCATCATTAATAAGCTAAGGCTCTCATGTATTTATTCTGTAGTACAGTGGATATCATAAAAATTCATGAAAGGCAGATGTTTTCACATAAAATGAACCCCAAAATATATTACGACATAACTGATTCATTTATAGAAATTTTTAAATCATTTCCTAACTACACTTTTACCTCCATGGCAACAGCTGTGTTTTATTTAATGTTTTCAAAGGAGCCTACAGAAAGTTGAAAAAACCAATAAATACATTAAATTATCAAATTAATAATGTCACTTACATATATATTCTATTTATGTAGAACATCATGCTTACACAAATAAGAATGTTACATCATGGGGCGGTAGGATAAGATAGCCCCTTTTTCCCACCAGAAACCTTTGTAATAAATCATCAACATCCCCACTGGTAGAAATTTGATTTCCATCTGACCACAGTTCCAGGGAGGACAGATTCACAGTCAATTTGAACTGCACAAACATCTAGAAATAAAATTTATGTTATACTTATTCAAGTAACAAATTATTACATCCAAACTAAAAAAATAGAGGGAAATATGTAATTTGCTATTTTGGATGTTAAACTAATTAAGAGGCTTTAAGACATTAACTTGTTATAATAGAATGGAAATCATTTTCAATGACTTTTGATAAAATTATAAATGTGAGAAAGTTAAAACTTACAGTGTTGACAAGACCAATACTTTGGATGATTTTCTGTGTTACAGCCATCATTTCTGATCCCATATAATCATACTGAAAAACAAATATTTTTATGGTTTCTTTAAAATGTGAATTTTTTTAATGATGAATATATGTTGATGTTATTAGAAGGAAAAACATAGGATTTGTCAAACAATTTAAAGCATACTAACATAAAGATAATAACATTTATAATAAAAGAAAACAAACAACTAAAAATTGTATTTGGGCCTTCCAAAGAGAGTCTCACTTGTCACATATTTTGAAGACACCTTTGAACAGAAATATTTAAAACTCTCAAGCAGTACCTAAAGTAACTTTATATCTTCCTTATTAAACAGGGATTTCTTGAGCTAGGAATTTTCTGTTGACACATACATCATTATAGTGTTTTTGGCTGTGTGCTTAATGAATAAAAAAGAGTAAATAAATAAACATTAAAAATAATCAAAATGATCAATATATTTATGGTAAAAATAAATCATAATTATGTAAAGTAAGACATATGTGGATTGAATTATTCAGAACAGTCTGATAAAGAGTGAGATGAAATAATATGAAGGAAGAGAAGAAAGGAAGCTGTTTTCTGTAACTGCTAATTCTTGAAAAGATATAACCTCCTTTTTGGGAGCTGAATGAATACTTCTGTACTTTGGAGTCATATTTGGAAAATGCTTAATACCCTCATAAAAGTTGCCAATTTGACAAATAGAAAATAAGGAATCCTACCAAATCTTAGAATAATCTGTATCTCTCGCTCATTCATAATTATCATAGTTATTGAAACTGGTATCCTCCTTATAAATATTGATAAAAGAAGAAATATAAAATTAATTACATATTTCTGTTGGATGAATTAAACATTAAATATATTCAAGACAACATATTTTCCTTGTAATACAAAGGTACTGTATTATATAGGCAAGTGTTATACAGGACTTCTAGTCCAGCCCAACACAAAATCATAAATTTACTTAAAACTTGTTTTTGCTCACCAGTTTTTGTTAGTGTTTGTGTATTTCATGTGTAGCCTGAGACAACTCTTCTTCCATTGTGGCCCAAAGATGGCAGAAGCTTGGACACCCCTTACCCTAAAACTAATATAGTGTATGTCAACTGTAATTTAAAAATACATTTAAAAAAATCACACTTGTTTTGTATGTTTGTGTGTGAAGGGAAATTTATAGAGAAATTCTAAAATGTGTTTAAATGCAGCAGAACCTAAATAGTCAAAGTAATAATGAAGAATAAGGAGAGGATTTAAACAAATAGATTAAATGACAATAAAGCTAAAGTAATAAGACAGCGTAGTATTGATTCAACAAAACATCAATAAGCCAATGGAAAAAATAGAATTTTGAGACGTATGTCATACATATTCCATTACATAATTTCTTTAAAAATTGCCAACATGATGGAATGAGATAAAATAAATCCTTTTTATAAATGGTGCTGGAGCAAATGGATATGAAAATACTCTGAAGTAGATTGACAGGCTTTGCATGCATGCTGTATATCTCTGTGCGCATTTTGTTCTCAATAAAAGCCCCTCAGCTGGGGAGACTCTGTGGGACAGGGTACCCCCTTTCATAAAATCTTTATTAAAGTAATAAAAATATGTGTAAATTCTAAAATAAAACATAGGTGATATGATTTATTCCTTGGTATAAGAAAATATTTCTTAAATAGAAAAGCTAAAGCAATAATAAAAATCATAAATTAGACATAAATGCATAATAAGTAAAATATGTATGTACATCAAAAGACACCATTAAGTGAGTGTAAAAACAATTCTCAAACTGAAAGAAGATATTCCCAATATAGCTATCTATAAAAAGGACTCATATTCATGATTTATAAAGAATTTCCACAATGCAACAATTTCTCATTTGCAAAAAAATGAAAATGAGAAATATGTATATTTACTCTTAAAAAGAATACATAAATTGTCAATAACATTATGAAATTTGTTCAAATTCAAAATCATGACATAAATACCAACAGAACTAAAATGTGATCCCACAATACGTACATAAGAATGGCTAAATTAAACTATCAATACCAATTGTTTCTTTCTTTTTTTACTGTCCCCCCAAATAATTAAAAAAATTTTTTTTATTGTTCAAATACATTTGTCTCCACCTTCCTGTCGCCACTTCCCCCTGCTCCCATCCCCGACTTTCTTCCCTCGATCCAATTGTTTCTGAGGATATGGGATCCTTGGATTTTTCATACATTGTTGATGGGAGGGTAAATTTATAATCACTTTTGAAAACTATTTATCAATATCCTCTAAAGGTAAAATATACTGACTTTATAACACAACAGTTTCACTCTTAAGTAGATACTCAAAAGAAATTATGTCAACCACATGGTCATTTTTTCCAAGAAGACATACAAATGGCCAATAGGTACATGAAAAGATGTTCAACATCGGTATTCAGGGAAATGAAAATCAAAATCACAATGAAATGTCATCTTACACCTGTTAGACTGGCTATCGTAAAAAAGAGAATAGATTTCAAATGTTGGCAATAATGTGAAGAAAAAGAGAACACTGTAGGAATGTAAACTGGTAAAGCTTTATGGAAACAATATGACAGTTTCCTTAAAAAATTAAAAAGAGAACCACCATATGATCCAGCAATCCCACTCATGGGTCCATATCTTAAAGAAATAAAATCAATATCTCAGTAGATATCTGTATTCCAATGTTTATTGCAGCATTATTCAAAATAGCTTAGATATATAAACAACATATATGTCATTAATAAACAAATGCTCAGGGAAAATATGCACTATACACACAAAATGGAATGTTGATTCAGTCATAAAAAAGAAGGAAATTGCCCCATTTGCAACATGATGAACTTGGAAGGCATTATGCTGGGTGATATCAGCCAGACAGAGAAGAGCAACAAAAACTGTAGGGTATCACTTGTATGTAGAATATTAAAACAAACAAACAAACATGTTTCTATATAAACAAATAGAATGGTGGTTGCCAGTGGTTGGAGGGAAAAATAAAAATTATATAGGTCAAAGGATACCAACTTCCAGTTATAAGAACAAGTTCTTATATAATGTACAACATAGTGACTAGACTAATTACATGATATCATATTGTAGCTGAAAGTAGATCTTAAGTGTTCTCACCACACACACACAGAGACAAATGAAAGAAGAGAGTGAACTATGTGAGGTGATGGATGTGTTTATTATCTTGATCTTGGTAATGAATCTGCAATGTATATGTACATCAAATAATCATGCTGTATTCTTTAAATATATACAAGTACATTTGACAATTATTCCTCAATAAAGTTGAAAAAATTCTAAGTAAATTTGCAAGACAGTAAATACCTGGTATGTTCAAAGAAAACATATGACCAAAGAGGATACAGTAGGTCAAGGGATGGGCAAGGGCAAAGCTGTTAGAAAATGGGGTCCGAGATCCTGGGCTGATCTGGAGATGAGGCATGGGGTAGATATTGCAAAGCATTCTAGGATAGTTTGGGTTTTTAGTCATTATTAACACTTAAAATAAAGTACCTTTATTTGGAAATGATTAAAAAAATTGCATTGTGATTTCAAAATTAAGAAAAAGTTTCATTAAGTTTAATGGAAGAAAGAGGGAAAGTGGGAACAAAGGTGTGTGTGTGTGTGTGTGTGAGAGAGAGAGAGAGAGAGAGAGAGAGAGAGAGAGAGATAATATGAATGGAGGGAGGAGGGGAGGAAGAATTTGACTTACCAAAGCTTTTTCCACTATAATATGCATTTCCAGGTATTGGGGTAATAGCTTTGAAAGAGTTTTTTCCTGGAAAAAAAAAGGGGGGATTGATCAAATGATCGCATGTATTGAATTTGTTAAACACAAGGAGTTATATATGAAGAAGGCAAAAAAGAATCATAGAAACCCTTCATAAGGACTTAAAAATAAAAATTTTTTTGAATTTTTAAAAAAATTTTTTTGTTCAAATACATTTGTCTCCACTTTCCTGCCACCACTTTCCCTGCCCCCCCATCCCTCCCCTCAATCCTTCCCCACTTTGGCTTTGTCCATGGGTCCTTTGTACGTGTTCCTTGGCTTGACCCTTCCCTTTCCTCCCCCCTCCCAACCCTCCCTCCTTCCCTCTTGACTCTGTTGGTTTATTTTTTATTTCAAAGTTGCTGTTTATATTTTCTTTGCTTTTTTGTTTTGTTGGTTAGGTTCCAATTATAGATGAGGTCATATGGTATTTGTCTTTCGCTCTCTGGCTTACTTCACTTAGCATAATGCTCTCTAGTTCCATCCATACTGTCGCGAAGAGTAGTAGTTCTTTCTTTCCTTCTGCTGCGTAGTATTCCATTGTGTAAATGTACCATAGTTTTTTGACCCACTCACCTACCAATGGACATTTATGTTGCTTCCAACACTTCGATATTGTAAATTGTGTTGCCATGAACATTGGGGTGCATAGGTTCTTTTGAGTTGGTGTTTTGGAATTGCAAAGGTATAATCCCAGCAGTGGAATCACTGGGTCAAAGGCAATTCCATTTTTAGCTTTTTGAGGAAATTCCAAACCGTTTTCCACAGTGGCTGCACCAATCTGCATTCCCACCAACAGTGTACTAGGGTTCCCTTTTCTCCACAGCCTCGCCAGCACCTGTTGCTTGTTGATCTGTTCATGATGGTCATTCTGACCAGTGAGAAGTGGTATCTCATTGTGGTTTTAATTGGCATTTCTCTGATGGCTAGTGATGCTGAGCATTTTTTCATATGTCTCTGGGCCCTCTGTATCTCTTCCTTGGAGAAGTCTCTGCCCAGGTCCATTGCCAATGTTTTGATTGGATTGTTTGTCTTCTTGGAGTGGATTCATGTGAGTTCTTTATATATTTTGGAGATCAAAATATATAAAGGTATACCTTGTCCAAGATATCATTGGCAAATATATCTTCCCATATGGTTGGCTCTCTTTTCATTTTGCTGATGTTTTCTTTAGCCGTGCAGAAGCTTCTTATTTTGATGAAGTCCCACTTGTTTATTCTTTCCTTTATGTCCCTTGCTTTAGGGGACATATCAGTAAAACTATTGCTGCGAGGAATATCTGAGAGTTTCCTGCCCATGTTCTCCTCTAGGACTTTTATGGTGTTATGACTTATATTTATGTCTTTTATTCATCTCGAGTTTATTTTTGTGTATGGTGTGAGTTGGTGATCAAATTTCAATTTTTTGCATGTAGCTGTCCAGTTCTCCCAACACCATTTGTTGAAGAGGCTATTTTTACTCCAGTTTATGCCTCTGCCCCCTTTGTCAAATATTAACTGTAGAGACATGCGTTTATTTCTGGGCTTTCTATTCTGTTCCACTGATCTATGTGTCTGTTCTTGTGACAGTACCAGACTGTTTTGATTACAGTGGCCTTGTAATATAGCTTGATGTCCGGTATTGTGATCCCTCCTACTTTGTTTTTATTTCTCAAAATTGCTGTGGCTATTCGGGGTTGTTTACTGTTCCATATGAATTTTTGAAATGTCTGTTCTATGTCTGTGAAATACATCATTGGTATTTTAATAGGGATTTCATTGAATCTATAAATTGCTTTGGGCAGTATGGACATTTTGATGATGTTAATTCTTCCAGTCCATGAACATGGTATATGCTTCCATTTCTTTGTGTCTTCCTAAGTTTCTTTCTTTGGTGTTGTATAGTTTTCTGCAAACAGGTCTTTTACCTCCTTGGTTAAATTTATTCCTAGGTACTTTATTTTTTTTGTTGCTATAGCAAATGGTAACTTTTTTTCTGATTTCTGCTTCTTCTCTTTCATTGTTGTACAAAAATGACTTCAATTTCTGATATTGACTTTGTATACTGCTGTTTTGCCAAATTCCCTTATTAGGTTGAGTAGTTTCTTGGTGGAATCTACAGGGTTTTCTATGTACACTATCATGTCATCTGCAAACAATGATAGCTTTACTTCCTCCTTTCCAATTTGGATGTCTTTTATTTCTTTTTCTTGCCTGACCAATGCGGCTAGGATTTCCAATATTATGTTGAAAAGAAGTGGTGAATATCCTTAAAATAAGCGGATATCCTTATTTTGTTCCCTATCTTAGTGGGAAAGATTTTTGTTTTTGCCCGTTAAGTATGATGTTGGCTGTAGGTTTTTCATATATGGCCTTTATTATGTTGAGGTATGCCCCCTTTATTCCCATTTTTTCTGAGTGTTTTTATCATAAATAGGTGCTATACCATATCGAATGCTTTTTCTGAAACTGTCGAGATGATCATGTGGTTTTTATCTTTCCTTTTTTTTACGTGAGGTATTACATTTATTGATTTGAGTATATTGAACCACCCTTGCATCCCTGGGATGAATCCTACTTGATCATGATGGATGATCTTTTTAATTTATTGCTGGATGTGGCTTTCCAATATTTTGTTGAGGATTTTAGTGTGTTTGTTCATCAGCGATATTGGCCTGTAGTTTTCTTTCTTTGTAGTGTCTTTATCTGGTTTAGGGATTAGGGTGATGCTGGCTCCATAAAAAGAGTCTAGGAGTCTTCCCTCATCCTGGGTTTTTTGGAATAGTGACAGGGGTTAGCTCTTCCTTAAATGTTTTGTAAAATTCTCCTCTGAAACCGTCGGGCCCAGGGCTTTGGTGTGCCGGGAGTTTTTTGATTGCTGCTTCAATTTCCCCAGCTGTTATTGGCCTGTTCAGGTTTCCTGCTTCTTCTTCATTCAGTGTTGGAAGATTATACTTTTCTAGAAATGTGTCCATTTCATCGAAGTTTTCAAATTTCTCAGTATATAATTGTTCATAGTAATTTCTTACAGTCCTTTGTATTTCTGTGGTATCAGTTGTTATTTCTCCCCTTTCATTTCTGATATTATTTATTTGGGTCCTTTCCCTTTATTTCTTGATGAATCTGCTTAAAGCCTTGTCAATTTTATTTATATTTTCAAAGAACCAGCTCCTGGATTGGTCGATCCTTTGAATTGTTCTTTTAGTGTCTATGCCATTCACTTCTGCTCTGACCTTGATTATTTCCATCCTTCTACTTGCTCTGGGATTTGTTTGTTCTCCAGTTCTTGAAGCTGTAGTGTTAGGTCACCTATTTGAAATGTTTCTATCTTTTTTAGGTAGGCCTGTGTTGCTATGAACTTCCCTCTTTGGACTGCCTTTGCTGTGTCCCATAGGTTTTGGACTATTGTGTGTGCATTTTCATTTGTTTCCAGAAATTTTTAAATTTCTTCTCTTATCTCATTATTGACCCATTCATGTTTTAATCATGTGCTATTCAGTCTCCATGAGTTTGCAAGTTTTTGAGGTTTTTCCTTGAGGTTGGTTTCCATATTCAAGCCCTTGTGGTCCAAGGAAATGCTTGCTATAATTTCAATTTTCCTGAATTTGTTAAGGCTTGCTTTGTGTCCTATCACATGGTCTATCTTTGAAAATGTTCCATGTGCATTGGAAAATAATGTGTATTTTGCTTCTTTGGGATGAAAGGTTCTATATATGTCAGTTAAGTCCATTTAATCTAATGCATCATTCAGTTCCACAATATGTTTATGTTTTGTTTGGAAGATCTATCCATTTTTGACAGTGGGGTGTTAAAATTCCCTACTATCAGTGTGTGGCTGTCTATATCTTTCTTGAATCCTCCAAGATTTTCCTTATATATTTGGGTGCTCCTTTGTTGGGTGCATTTAAGTTTACAATGTTTATGTCTTCTTGATGGATTCTTCCTTTGAGTATTATGAAGTGTCCCTCTGGGTCTCTTTTTATGGCCTTTGTTTTAAAATCTATTTTGTCTGATATAAGTATTGGTACTCCTGCTTCTTTTTCCTGTCCATCTGCTTGGAATATTTTTTTCCATCCCTTTCCTTTCAATCTGTATAGGCCCTTCATTCTGAGGTGGGTCTCCTGTAGGCAGCATATGTGTGGGTCATGTTTTCTTATCCATTCAGCTCTCCTGTGTCTTTTGATTGGGGCCTTTAGTCCATTTACATTTAGAGTTATTTTTAATAGGAACTTATTCATTTTTTTCCCTTTATATTTGTGTTCTTCTCTTTCTCACTCTTTTCCTTCATCTTCTTAAAGCAGTCCCTTTAGCATATCTTGTAGTCCTGGATTGGTGGAGATGCACTCTTTTATTCTTCTTTTGTCTGGTAAACTCCCTTTTCACCTTCCATTTTGGTTGAGATCCTCGCTGGGTGAAGCAGTCTTGGTTCTAGGTCGTTGCTTTTCATTACTTGGAATATTTCTTACCATTCCCTTCTGGCTTGCAGTGTTTCTGTTGAGAAGTCGGCTGCTAGCCGTACTGGGGTTCCCTTGTATGTTACTACCTGTTTCTCCCTTGCTGCTGTTAGGATTCTTTGTCTTTGATATTTGCCATTTTAATGATGATGTGTCTTAGAGTGGGCCTCTTTGAGTTCCTCTCGAATGGGACCCTCTGTGCTTCTTGGACTTGCGAGACTTGTTCTCACCTCCAATTAGGGAAGTTTTCCATCATTACTTTTTTATAAACAGGTTCTCTCTCCCTTGCTCTTCTTCTCCTTCTGGTATCCCTATTATGTGGATATTATTACATTTCAGGTTGTCCTGCACTTACCTAAATACCTCTTCATTCTTTTTGAGTCTTTTTTCATTTTCTTGCTCTTTCTGGGAGCTTTTTTCTACCTTGTCCTCCAGCTCAGTGATTTGATCTTCTGCTTCATCTAGGCTGCTTTTGATTCCTTCTACTGTGTTCTTCAGTTCAGAAATGGTATTCTTCATTTCCTCATGTCTTATTGATAATTTCTATGTTCTTTTTTCAGCATGATATAATTTGCAA